GGAGCAGCTGATTGGGACCGGGTGATTCTAGTTGTGCTTGGTAGAGTAGACGTTGACTGGCGTCGTACACGTGATTCGGTACTGGGGTTTGAAGCCATAGTTTAGACGCTGTGCCAAGTCTGCGCTTTGACCACCGGTGAGAGAATTTGCGTCTGGTGGGCGTGGACGCTATTGTGATGGAGCCTAGCCTTACGGCCGCGCTAAGGCGGTGCAGGCTTTGCTACTACGATAAGGTGTTGTGTGTGCTGTGCGCCTTCTTTTGCTGGTAGTATTGGCCCGGGTCGGGCCTTGGTTAGTAAGTTCGGATCTGGCTTTTGGTTGCGATTTTATTGATTGATTGATTGATTGATTAGTTGATTCATTGGTCAATTGGACGTGTTGGTCGTGTGGTTAGTTGAGTTCATGTCTTGCTTCACTTGCTTGCTTGCCAGGCTATCGGGCTCCATTGGTATGGTGTTCGTTGTTGTTCAGTCATACATAACAACCCACCCACCGCTCATGCAAAGCCTGACATTACGTCTTTAGGTCAGATGTCCTAACCCCCAGCGTAGACAATGACCGCATCATTCCACCCACTCAGTCCTTGTCCGCAATCGCCTGTAACCGCTCGTCGATCTCGTCCTCAGTCAGGACCCTGAACTCGGCGTTGGCGCCCTCGTTGCCGTCGGCGCGCGGGCCGCCCACAATGCCAATCTCGAGCTCGCCCTTCTTGAAGTCGACGCTCAGCACCTGGCTCAGCGTCTGGATGCCCAGCTCGACCACGTCCTGCCATTCGCCCTCGGCGTGGTCCTTGTTCTTGAGCTTCTTCTCGAGGAAGTTCAGCGCCTCCTGCGTCTTGGGCCCGGACGCCGTCGCCTTGTATCCGATGTAGTAGCCCGCGGGGTCGCACTTGTAGAGCTGGGGGCCGTACTCCGAGTCGAGCGAGATGAGCGTCGTGGCGACGCCGAGCGGGCGCATGTATGCCTGGAGAGCAGGTTTTGTTAGTGCTTGCTTGTTCGCCAGGCAGACAGACTATGCGTGCGTGCTAACCGCCACGCGTTCATCCATCCGCGACTGCTCCACGACAACCACTCACTCTCTGTGTGTACACCTGGCTGATGTTCGCTATCCGCTTCGCCAGCACGTCGCACGGCATCTCGTAGCCGTACTTGTACCTGAACTCGGCAGCCTCGCCCTGCGCCCTAACAACCGACGCACGCGCGTCGGCAATCGACCCCGTCATGACGCAGCCGACGGACGACGAGAGCTTGAAGACGTACGACACGGAGGCGGGATCGATGAGCTTGTCCTAGACAACCAAATAAAAGAGTGTCAGAGAACGGAGTCCAGCTTGCTGGGGGGGGGGGGTCGGTGGTCGATTGCAGCTGCACCACTACTACTTACGGGAACCTTCTTCTGCGACAGCACAACCGCACAGTTCTTGCCCCGCACGCCTACCGACGTGATGTTTGCTGCCGTGATCGCCTTGAACGCATACTCTGCACACGAGGAAACATGTCCATCAGCCCAAATTCACCCGTTGTCGTTGAGCAGGCACGGCCACCGCGGCCGACGAAGGAGGCCGGCTAAGAAAGCTGACGGAGGAGGCCGACGAAAGAAGCTGACGGAGGTAGACGGAGGAAGTAGCCGTCGGAGGCGGCTCGTCCGTCGAGCCAGCGCCGCCGTGCGCGACATCGATTGGGGGGGGAGAAGAACGCGACATACCGACTTGGTAAAGCCTCCCCTGATCCGAGAAGATGGTGATATGTCTATCGTAGCCCGCGCTGCCTGCATTCGCACATTAGCTCTGGAAGCTCTCTCTCACCTCCCAAACACAGGTCCTTACGTACCAGACATGGTGACGGTAGTGGAGAAGGTTCAGGGCCGTGGAGCGGTTGATGCTGAGGCCGGGCGTGCGAGGTCGTGGCGCCGGAAGAGGGATGCTGATGGCTTGGGGTGCGTGGGTGCTTGCTTGCTGATGAGGTGGGAAGCTCTGGCTAGGTGCCAGCTGCGAGTCGGGCACGTCGGTGCTCCGGCGCGCTTGTGGCCCGTGCGTCTGGCTGTCGGTCGTGACGGTGACGGACTTTGGACTTGTCTCGCGACGAAGTACCTTAGGTGTTAGCACCTCACAATAATTGTTTCTGTTAATAATTGTCTGAAGAACGGGGAAAGGATAAAGGCGCAGAACACTTTTACTCGTCGCCGTCGTCGTCGTCAATCTCACAATATGAATGGAATAGGTACCTAGTTACAACCATAAACCATTCGCGACGGTTCGCGCAATCATCATCATGGCCTAACGGTGCTGCACGCATCTACAAAACGCAGTCCAAACCAACGCAACCCAACAACTCCTCCCGAAACACACAAACACGCTCACGTCAACATACGTACGTACGTATCTACACACAGACTCATCTACCCTTACCCCCTCCGCCTCGGCCGCAGCGTCCTCGTCCTCGTCTGCTGCACCTCGACCGAGCGCCGTCCGTCCTCCGTCAAGCCCCGCGCGACTAGGACCTCTTGCTTAATCTCAGCTCCAACAAGCCCCGCCTCAGGCGACACCTCAGGCGACGCATCGAGCGGGACCTCATTGTCGGTGTCAAGATCGATGCCTTCGATCAAGACGGGATCTCTGGCGCGGCGGAGTGGGGTGGTGTGACGTTTTTGCGCGGGGAAGAGGGCATCTGAGCCCGTGGCGGTTGCGACGGCGGGTTTGGCGTCGGCGTCGAGGATGGCCGCGGGGGCGGCGTGCTCTTTCTTGGTACCGAGGGGCGGCGCGAACCGCTTGCGCACTGTCTCGATCATCTTGCTGAACCAGTACCAGTTCAGGGCGTTGAGGGTGAGGTTGGCGGCGAGGTAGACGGCCGCGAGCCAGAGGGGGATGGCGAGCTCGTCCGCCGACGAGGGCGCAAAGCGCATTATTCCGGTGTTTAGGGCCAGGTTGTGGTCGAGGTTGGTGATGCTGTCGTTGAGGGCGTCGCTGGCTGAGAGCGCGCGGTACACGTCCTTGAATACCGAGTAGGATTGGTAGGAGCCCCAGCAGAGGCGGGCGCCGAAGAAGCTGCCCAGTAGGAGGAAGCCGTTGTAGAGTTGGATTTTGGAGCCCGTCAGGTTCAACTTGTCACAGAACCAGTGGACGTTGAGGAAGGGCGAGGAGAGCTCGTAGAGGATGAAGGTGGGGCCGTAGAAGTTGACGAAAGGGCGCTGTTTTCAGGGTGCTGGTTAGCCGTGTCTAATATTCTCCAGACGGGATAAAGAATGCGCAAGGCAGGACGAAACATACGAAGCCCAAGCTAAAGACAGCCAACGCGCTGACGGCGTGCGCGAGAAGCCCGACGCCGAAAATGCGCACATAGCGCAAGCTGATCCACAGGTCCCAGAGGAAGTAGCCGCACGCGAAACCCTGGACCAGGCCGCCGGCGCCTGTGTAGCCCCACACGCGCCCGACCCAGTTCATGTCGCCGCGCTCGTCGTCGACGGCCGACACCCACAGCGCCAGCGCGTTCACCAGCGTCGATTGCACCAGCGACACGACGTGCACGTCCCAGTTGAGCTGCGTGCGCTTGTTCAGCGCGGGGTAGATGCGCGGGAACAGCCATCGCGACAGCGTCGGCGAGAGGATCGCGTATGTGATGTGGTAGAGCGCGAATGCGAAGAGCACCTCGTGGATGTGCAAGGGTAGCGTCTGTAGTGAGAAGTAGTCGGCGAGTGGCTGGACGGCGGTTTGCAGCGCGGCGGGTGCGGCGAAAGGAAAGGGGTCTAACATGATTTGCGGTGACGGTGATGCGAGTGTTGGGAGACGGGCAGAGTGAGAAAGAGGAAGAGAGAAGGACGAGAGAGAGAGAAAGAGAGAGAGAGAGCTCGGAGCTATGTGGAGCTAACTAGGCGGGTAGGTACAGCTATAGTCAAAAGCCGAATGACGGCAAAGGGGTAGGCAGAAAAAGAAGGGGAAGAAGGGAAGCTCATTCAGCGGCGGAAGGGACGAGTAGCATGTTAGTTGGGTGGTCAGTGGTGACTGCGCACGCGGGAGAAAGAGGTCAGCACCGAATGTCGTGGTGGAGAGATACGAGTCGCGGTCCCGACAGCAGATCCGAGACCCTTGGCGGCGATCTGCTGGGCCGTTGGGGGCTGACTAACAGCCCTGTTCCCGAGATCGGCATTATTGCGTGCAACTGCGACTCGTCCTGAGCATCGTGAGTCGTGTGCTCCAGGAGCAAATATTTAGTAGTATTCTATCGGCGCACGCGCTGCCGGTGCGCCTGCTGACGCCGTCCCACCGCGGCCCGACCCAGACACAGGTCCGCGGCTCCTTGCTGCTAGCCTACATACACACATATGACCCTCTCCTGAGACCATGCACCTGCCCTTGCTCCCTGACCACCGTCTCTTCCGTTACCTCGGCTGTTCCAACCGTCAGCCTTGCTTCATGCTCCCCTTCTCTGCAGACTTCACAGACAAGCTTTCCAAATGCCTTTCCTAGTGCTGGAGGCAAACGTGACACCGGCACAACCCAGCGTGACTGGCTGTTGGCCCGCATTCCGCTGAGACGTCGCCTGGCAGTATCCATCTATAAGCCCTTGGCGTCTGCTGCACTGCTCCATGCCGAGAGCTGATCCAGATAGTGCCATCGGACCCTCGAATCTTTGCAGATTGATAGCTTAGCTACAGCCACACATCCAATATGCCAAGATGAAAGACAAAAGCTTAGCATAAGCTGCATATCGTCTGCGGTATCGATTTCACACTGCAGATGGTCCATGGTGACCTGTGCTTCTTCTGGGTCGCTCAGTCGAAATATATCGTCTCACGCATCCTTTGGAGGTTGTCAAGGAAGCCGCCGCTCCTCTCAGGGGGTCTAGAGCGGCTGTCTTCTCTTTTCCGCGGAGCTTGCGTCGCAGCTTGCTTCTGCCGCTGATTCGACGCATTCTGCAGCGACCTTTGTCTGTCTTCTGCCACCTTCACAAGCCCATCGACGAATCTCGTGCGCGCCTTCTCCTCCGCCGTATCTTTCCATACCTGCGACAAATTGCGCAGTGCTTGTATGCGCGCTTGGGCTGTCTCAAAGCCATCGTCGCTGCCGGTCACTAGCTCCGCAATCTCCGCGCGCAGTTTTTCGGCAAATTCGCGTCCTTTCTCTTCTCGACTGTGACTCTCAGACCCAGGCTCCGGTGCTGAGACTGAGATAAGCGAGGAGGCCAGAGACACCTCCGAGGGCGGCAACGACCACTGCATGGCCTCACCAAACACTTTGATGACACTCTCGAGCCGCGATCGCACAAGCGTCAGGGTGCGCAATTGTGTGATGTAAGGTGGCAGTTCGACGCCTTCTTGTGTAGTTTCGGCCTTGCCATCTGTTGCCTTTTCTTCCTCGCCTGCAGCAGTGTTGGCACTTTCTCTCTTGGCTGACCCGTCGGCCTGGGTCGAGTTCGAGCCTTCTGCTTTCGCAGCCGTCAAGCCACTGGGAACGAACTTCTCGACATCCGGGCGCAGACCGTCAGTCAAGGCTTCCGAGAGGCCGACAGTCTCCCCTCGCAACACCTCGACCTCGTAAGCAAGTCTGCCCCCGCTGCGCAGAATGTCATCGGTCAATTGGGTGAGCACGGTGGAAAGGCGAGTGGTCTGGGCGTTTAGTTGCGAGAGAAGCGACTGCGTCTGGATGGAGAGCTCGGACAGCGAGACGGCGTTGGATTTGGACTGAGAGGACGGAAAAGCGAGCGATGGAAGGAGGTTGTTCAGGTGGTCGGCGGGATCGAAGGCGGGCTGGATGAATGGGAGCAGCGAGGGGTCTGCGACGTGCGAGGACTTTGGTTGGGCCATGTTGCGGAGGTGTAAAGCGGAGGAGACGAGTGGGTGGCCCATGTCCCGACATCCATGGGAAGGGTCGCACTAGGGAGCTTGGGCCGCCACGGAGGAGGAAGGCAAGACTACCACGTCGGTATATGTAACTGACGCACCTCCGCCCTTCTCTGGGTAGGTAGGTCCGGCACGGCTGCCTGCCGAATGCTGGTGCTCGTTTGCACGACCTGCGTCGAAGCTTCCATCGGTCGCCCCGGCCCGCGCCTTCCAGTACCGCCTACCATCTACTCACTCACTCACTCACTTCACTTACTCACTACTAACACCGACCCCAACTAACACCGCCCAGCTGGTCCACTTCACTTTCACTTCACTCACTCATTGCGCCGTGCAGCTCCTCTCGTAAAGAGCCTCCGCCTTCGCTTTTTGTCGTGAGTCTTCTTGATCCTACTTCTCGACCACGGTTCCCTCTACCAGCACACTAGCCACCTGGCCCCACCCAACCACATAAATGTCCTTCACAGTATCCTTTCGCATCTAAACACCTTGTCTGTCGCGCGCCATCATGCCTAGGAAGGCCTTCAACGCCGACCTCGCTTCTGCTGTCGGGGCTAGCAGCCATCCCACTGGCATCTCCGCCGTCCGCCGTGGAGATGATGACGGATGGGTCACATTTACTCTCACGCCCGAAGCCGTTGGCTCCGGTTACCTCGTCACTGCCATGGTCACTGATGTTGCCGACTACCCCTCCAGCCATGCTTTCTTTCTGTCGGCTGAGGATGATATGCCAACTGCACTAGCCCAAACACTGGGTCACATCCAAGAACAACTATCACCAGGTACTCCAATCCTACAGCTCCTCAGCACCATTTCAAGCGCACTTTGTAAGGATCAGAACGGAGATTCGCCGATGGGCGACGTCAATTCTCTGCAAGGCCTTGACGTCTCAGACGACGAACTCGAGGGATACAGCAGCGACTTAAAAGATGATGACGACGACGATCCGACCAACTTCGATCTTCCTAGCGACGACGACGTCGAGGTACTCCAAACCGGACATGTCCGTATCGGAAGTTCGCCTACATACCAGACTCTGGACCGCGCCTCTCGCTGTCGCCTGCGCAACGACCTCGCTCTTGTCAAGAAGGCTGGTTTCAGGGTGGGTCATCTAGGGCCGCTCCTCGAAGGTGATAGCTCCTATCTGTCGATATCTTGCCGAGTGAGCAAGCTTGGCATCTCAGGGGAGGCCATGCAGGCCTGGCAAGTTCAGCCAGAAGAATATGTGACTTTACTCATCCAATACCCGAGTGGCTATGTGTCAGTTGAAGAGGTCAAGACGTACAACAACTCAGCCAGTGCACAGGGTGCCTGGCAGTTTCGCACAGGCATTGGCTCCTCATATAAACCGTCTCCGAAAGAGATCGTCCAGGCTTTTGCGGCTCGCAGTAACAAAGCGAAGGCCATGGCAGAGGAAGGTGAATCCTCGACTAGATTCCGGAAGCTCTTTATATCCTCTGCACTGGATGACCTCTTCCAAGAAAAGTTTATCATGCTCCTCAAGTACAGACTAAAGGGAATGCACTGGGACGGCGCCATGAAGTTTCTCAGCGACCTACGGGAGAGAGATCGCACCGAACAGATGTCTTCAGACAAGAAGTACACCCAATTGGAATCCGTTAAACACGACCTTCCGAGGCTTGTCACAGCAGATCACATTTCAGATGCTGGGTTTGGAGCTCCGCTATCTTTGCCATTGGTTGCCATGCAATTTCTCATGCGTCATTTTGTTCGTTGCACGGAGTTTTGCCTGGTGTGTCATCGCAAAATGCCAGACGGGCTTGAAGCTATCAAACCCTACGTCTGCGATGGTGAGCTCTGCCTCTTTCAGTACATGCAGCTGGGTTTGGGCCCAAGCATCGAGCATGAAATCATCACCCAACCAAGGGTCATCGACTTGCTAATCAGCCTTTGCTATGTGAGCGCCAAGCAGTTGGTTCTGCAATCTCGTCTCCCCAAGGGCATCAAAGGAAAGGCTCCTCCACTTTCTGTCCTTAAGCCTTATCCGGACGGTCAGAACGTTCCAGTAACTACGCATAATCAACCTTCACTCAACAACATAGTTCGGCACCCAATGAAATACCATCCAGTCAGAAGCGAGATGATGTTTGGGACCGAAGTCAAGGCTATTGATTTGGGCTTCACAGCAGGTGACTGGGTTGCCATCAAAGTCGCAAACTCAAACAGTGTCATCCACTGCAAAGTCGATAGCATTTGCCTCCCGGTCGTGTTCGTCTCGAAAGAACAAATCATAGTGGTGCCCAGCGTGAGCCAAGACAGCATCAACAACAACCTCAGCGTAGTAACCAAGGGAGACTGGAAGCAGACGGCACTCAACATTCAGAGTGACGCTGCCGCTCACGTGGAGGGCCTAAACGACTGCTACAATCCTGCTGACTGTATTCTCTACTCCGTGGATTTTGACAGCTTACCAGACTCTGAAAAATGCATGACGATTCAGTACATTTTAGAGTTACTGCCTAGTGTGAGTCAAATGAGAGACTACCTAACAAGCAGCATGCAAGCAGATCTCAAGAACTGGACATCCCGCATGTGTCCGTTAGCTCTGGGAATAGTCCGCTGGATCATCGCCTCGAACAGGGCCTGTATTATGCAGATTGACGGGCCGAAAGCATTTCCGCTGGACCGGGATTCTCGATCTAAGTCGAGCATAGATGAGAGAGTAGGCGGAATGCCAGGATGGTTGCAGTTCAAGTTCGCTATGGGTGCGCCGGTGAGTACCTTATAACTATATCGGGAATACTACCACAACTTTTTAAGATTTTGTTTGCTAACTTACTGTAGGAAAAGGAGCGCCGCTTCACCAACTGTGTCAAGAGCATGGCGGTGCAGCATAAGCTCAAGCATCCAACCATGTTTGCGTGGCATGGCAGTCCATTGGCCAATTGGCATTCCATTATTCGCGAGAGCTTCAACTTCAACCAAATTGCGCACGGACGGGCTTATGGAAACGGAGTATACTTTGCGATGGATTGCCAGACCAGCCTTGGGTACTCTGGAAACTCATATGTAAGGTCAAATCTCGCTGACTTTTAAAAGTCGGATCAGAGGTACTGACTAAGCGTATAGCACACAAAGTCCAATGGTACATGGCCCCTCAGTGAACTTGATATGGTCAATGCCATATCACTCAACGAACTGATCAACGCGCCGGGAAAATTCGTCTCACATCAACCCCATCTTGTGGTGGACAACCTAGACTGGATGCAAACTCGTTACCTGTTCGTCCAACGTGGGACCGGCGATCATGGCTCAGTGATGTACGAGACGCAAAATGCGTCCACTGAATCTGTACTTGGAGAGGTGGTTGATCAAGATCCAATTTACACACCCAAAGGTCCGAATCATTCCAGACTCGCTATCCCGATCACCGCTCTTCCAGGTGCACGGAGGCAGACTTCTCATTCCGTACACAAGGGATACAAGAAGGTCAAGGTTGATGGCACCGTACTCGATCCGATCATGGTCGACGATGACGACGATCATATGAGCATCACATCTGATGAGGAGGATATTATGCTTCTTGTCCCCGAACCCGATACGGATAAAGAGAATGTAAAACCGCAAACCGATTTCGTCCCGGGAAAGTTGGATCGGATGACTCTTCCCATGTTGAAGCCACCCGAGGGCAGCGCGGCCTCTATCTCGGCCTCCAAGCGCCTTCAGCAAGACTTCAAGAGCGTCCTAAGCATCCAAAACCGGGAACCAGCACATGAGTTGGGCTGGTATATTGACCCGGAGCTCATGATGGAAACTAACAATCTTTACCAATGGATTGTCGAGCTGCATTCCTTCGAGCCGCACTTGCCTCTTACGCAAGACATGAAGGCCCAGGGTATCAACAGCATCGTCCTCGAGTTGCGCTTCAGCAAGGACTACCCCATATCTCCGCCATTCGTACGTGTAATTCGTCCTCGGTTCCTTACGTTTCTACAGGGTGGAGGCGGCCACGTCACTGCAGGTGGCGCTCTATGCATGCAGGTGAGCACTTCACGTTAATACATCTGCCGAGCAGGTCTACTGATATCTCTGTAGCTTCTTACCAACGACGGCTGGAGTGCCGTTTCTTCGATTGAGTCTGTCCTACTTCAGGTTCGCCTCGCCATGTCGAGCACAGAGCCCAAGCCTGCCCGTCTGGAGCCCGGTCAAGGCTACGGCCGCATGCGCGACTACAGCACCAGCGAAGCAGTCCAAGCCTACATTCGCGCTTGCAGGATGCATGGCTGGAAGGTGCCGGACGGCTTCGAAGCGACGATGATGAACTCGATGAGCCAGTCGGCCTTTTAGCGGAGGAGACGTTTGAGGGGGCGAGGATTTCTGCGGCGTCTGAGCGGGTCACTGGGTCAAGGGTTTCTGCTTCTTTTTACATGTTGCGCTAACCACCGACGCATCGACTTTAGTAGTTTGGTATGTGTCCCGTCCCCCAACGCCTTTGCAGAGAGCGGAAGCCGTCCGCGTCTTTTTAAGATCCCCAACGCCTGTAGCTTCAAGACGGCCGTAAACTAGAACCGTGCTCAATATGAAATGGAATAGCTCTTGCGAAAGTCCAATCCGTCTAAACCCTTGCTTGCCCTTGTGCCATACTGAATGAATTTCCTTATTTCTCTGGTGCGTCGGGAAGTCTCTCAATGACGTATTTTCCGCGGGCGACGGACATGATGGGCACACCGGGGATCTGTGGATAGGCAGATCTCGTTAGTAATATGGCTTTTGAGAGAGAATTTACTAGGGGGCAATAGTAAAACTTGCCTTTCTAATCCGGCGCTTGAGATCGCGATCGTTGGTCGCGACGATGTAGACTTTGTGCTTGGTGACTCTGTCGACGATGCCTGTTTGCGCGCGAGGGTTAGTTAGCCCATATAATTCCGCGACATAAAACCAACAGCGCAAAAACTAAAATAAGATGGGTAGGAGCAAGCAGGACAGCGCAAGGAAGCGCAGCGCAAGTACGTAAGTAGGTAGGCAGGCAAACAAGCACATACAGTCATCGGCATAGACGCCCTTGTGGTCGCACTCGAGGCGCTCCCAGCGCTCGTCGCGCGCAATGCGCAGTGCAATGCGGTATTTCTGGCCGAGTTTCTCGAGCTCGGCCATGACGCACGAGGTTATGATAGGCGTGCACTTGGCGTACAGGCAGTCCATCATTGCGGGGAGGAGCTCGAGCTTGCGCTGGACGGTGTGCGAGAGGAAGTTCTGAGGGGAGAGTGGGGGTTAGCTGGGTTTGGTTTGGTTTGGGGGGGGGGGCTTACGGTATCGACAAGGACGCTGTACGGCGGCACCAGCGCCGTGTTGTACTGGAAGAACAGGTTCGACGCGACCTGCGGGATCTCGCGCACGACGTCGGGCTTCTTCTGCGCCGCTTGCTTGGCGTCCACGGCGACGGCGTTTTTCTGGAGGCGCGCGTCGCGCTGCCCGATGACGCGCTTGACGGCGGCGAATTTGCGCGTGCGCTTTTGCACTCCCATTGTCCTGGTGGCGGTGTTTGTGGTGTGGTGGTGTGTGGTGTGTGGCGCCGGGTTGCGTGCGTACCTAGCTGGTGATGCGCTCGTTGGTGGTGAGCTTGAGACAAAAAGTTCCAGGCCCTAATCTTATCGGCGCCTGGATCCCTATACGGGCGGATTATTCTCGGCCCGTGTGGTGGCGCTTGGCCTGTTAAGGTAATCCGGTCGTAGGGGGCGCTGTGCGTGTTGGAGCGAATTTTTTAATGCTTGAGGATGTACTGCCGTGACTACCTATGTATTGTCGAAACGTTGCCGGTCCTGATTGGTTTTTCTTTTCTGTGGGTTGTAGGTTTTTATTGTCCAGTCCACGTCGGGGCGTCGTCGGCAATCGGAGCGGGCTGGCGGGCCGACCTCTGGCTTCACAGCTCCCGTTTGGCGATTGGGGACAGCTTTCCCGCTCGCTCGCTCTCTCCCTCCCCAACCCCTCGACCACTTGCGACCGCAAGCAAGCCGCCGCCGTCTCCCGCGCTCCCGAACCCGTACCATGAGGCTTTGAGGGCGTCGCCGAATCCCCACACAACATGTTGCGCATGCTCGAAGCGCAGGCCCCGGCCAAGCAGACGGCCACCGACACCATCAACACGCTATGCAGCCGTCTCGCCAGCGCAACCCTCCTCGAGGACCGGCGCGCCGCCATCCTCGGCCTGCGCAGCTTCGCGAAAGAATACCCCGCCTCGGTTGCCTCGGGCTCCCTTCGCGACCTCATCAAGGCCCTGACGCGCGATGCTGAGGATTTGGACACGATCAAGGTGGTCTTGGAGACGTTGCTTATGCTGTTCAGCCCGGACGAGAATAGTGTATGTAGCAATCATACCGGTTTGCGCGGCGCTGGACCGAGTTTTGACCGTGCGTGCTACAGCCGGAAGCTTCTGAAGACATATCCTTGTGGTTGGCGGATGAGTTCACTCAAGTAAGCTCGTTGTCCTAGGCCGTCCAGCTATGTACTGAGCTTATGTTAGCGGCAAGATAACATAACCACTCTCCTGGACATGCTCGAGACCAACGACTTTTACTCGAGGCGCTATTCTCTCAAGCTGCTCAAGGCTATTTCTGGACTACGACCGGAGAGAACGCAAGAGTGCATCCTCTCGGCTCCTCTCGGCATACCTAGGCTTGTCGGAACTTTGGACGACCCTAGGGATGCTGTCAGAGATGGTACGGATTTGCGCATGCGGTGCTCAAGGATATAGACTAATTGTGCCTGTTAATAGTTGCCCTGGACCTCCTTATCGACCTTACCCAGTCCTCGACCGAGATCCAGAAGATCGTCGCGTTTCAGGATGCCTTTGGCCGAATATTCCAGCTGATTGAGGGCGACGGTTCTATCAAACAAGGTGGCATCATCGTCCAGGATTGCTTAACCCTCCTGGCAAACCTCATCCAGTACAACGCCTCGAACCAGCTCGCATTCAGGGAATCGGGCTGCGTGCCCAAGCTCGCGAAACTTTTGCAAAACGGTACGCATGTTCCAATGCCCACTCGGCCGGACGAAGAAGAGGAATGGGAAAGCCCGCACAAGGAAAAGAACTTGTTTGGGCTGTTGGCTGTTATCAGGATGTTCGTCGTAAAAGGCAGTGTAGGGACAATGGCGAACCAGGACTCTTTCCAAAAGACGGGAATGTTGCAACAAGTCCTCGAGTTGTCTTTCGAGAACACTGCGTCCATGCCCATTCGCGGACAGGTAAGATCTTGTTTGCAACTCTTCTTGCACCAACTGACCTTTTAGGCCCTGTACACGGTCGCCGACATCATAAGAGGAAACCACAGGCTACAAGAAATTCTAGCGTCGTCTCAAGTTCCGTTTGTGGCGGAGCAAATCAACGGCGAGGGACCTGTTGGCCCAAGCCATGTGCATGTCATCGACGCTTTGCTCCAGCTTATTCTCGGCTCGCCATCTGTCCTGATGTTTGATGCGCGGTTCGCCGGCTGCGAGCTTTTGAAAGCTTACTTCTACAAGCATCCTGGAACAGGGCGGCACTTCCTAAACCATGCCATTAATGTTCATACCGCCGGCGAAGATGATGCATGGAATGTCCTGACCACTTTGATAAACGGTCCGCAAAGTTTCCAGACGGTGGACTCCTACCGCCTCTGGTTCGCAGCAGTCATTGCTTTCCATTTGATATTCGAAGAACCAGATGCTAAGAGTTTGCTCATGAGCGTTGTTGAGGGAGATGCCGAGAGCGGAGAAGAAGTGGTTACATGCATACAAGCCATGAGCAGTAACCTCATCAGCGGTCTCAACAACGGCGAGGACGAACGCGTCACTATTGGCTATCTCATGCTTCTGTGCGGCTATCTCTTCGAGGATCCTGATGCTGTCAACGACTTCCTTGGCGAAGGAAGCAGCATCCAAAGCCTTGTAACTGCGGCTGGTCGGACAACGACCGATCAGCCGGTGGTGCGCGGGTTGTGCGCGGTCTTGCTTGGTATCATCTACGAGTTCTCAACGAAAGACTCCCCCATCCCTCGTCGCGAATTGCAGCCTGTCCTTCTCAACCGCTTGGGCCGGGAGAAGTATCTAGATGCGATCACCCAACTCCGCACGCATCCTTTTGTCCGTGAGTTCGAAGTCATGCCTCAAGGCGGCGCGGCAGCCTTTGGAGGTGCTCTACCGGACGTGTTCTTCGACTCCACATTTGTGGACTTTTTGAAAGACAACTTCAGCCGGTTATCACGGGCCATCGACAGGGATCCTGGCATCGAGATCCAGCAAAACCCTCAGGGCGTTGACAGGGATGTCCTCGATGAGATCCGTGGTCAGTTGGAGGAGAAGAACCAAGCATTGCAAAATGCTGAGTCTCAAATGCTCGTCATGGAAAGGCGGTTGAACGAAGAGCAGGCCAACCACCGCAAGGATCAGGAAACATCGGTAGCGGAGGTCAACCGGATCAAGAATGTCAACGAGACATTGCAACGCAACCACAACGCCGATATTTCCAAGTTGGAAGCAGAACACAAAGCCGCATGGCAGAAGCTGGAGGAACAGCAGCGGCAGCAACTTGCGAGCTTGAATGTTCAGCTACAACAAACGCAGAGGGAAGCGTCCGCCCAAGCCGCTCGGAACAAAGACCAGCACGACCGCGAAACTGGCCAGTTGAAGGCTCAGCTGCAGCAGGTGCAGAGAGAAGCTGCCGGCCAGGCGGCCAGGATCAAGGAGCAGCACGATCGCGAAATCAAGCAACTGCAGCAAGAGAGGGGCTTGTTCGAAGAGAGGAGCAAAAAGGCCGAGGCGAGCTTGGATGCCGCGAGTAAGCAACTCAAGGAGCTGCAATCGAGCTTCGACAAGGCGAAGACGGATCTTGCAGCGGCTCAAGCGGCTGTTGCTTCCCTTGAGGAACGGGCCAAGAAGGCAGAAGCAGAGTTGGACGCGACCAAGAAGAAGGTCAAGGAAGTGGAGCTCGCGTTCAGCCAAACCAAGGCCGACTTCAGCAGCGCACAGGGCACGATAGCCAGCCTGGAGGCGGACGTCAGCCGCAAGACGTCGCAGGCAGAAGAGCTGAGTCGCAAGGCGGAGCAAGCGGAGAAAGCTTCGGGCAAGGCAGCGGACAAGCTCAAGGCCGAGGTCAAGGAGCTCAACGCCGAAGTCAAGGAGCTCAAGGCCAAGCTGCAGAAGCAAGAAGAGCAGGCCAAGAAGCTCGAGGACGCGGCCAGGAAGCACGAAGCCGCGACCAAGGCTGCAGAAGAGAAACTCAAGCAGACCGAGAGCAAGTCGGCGAAGGCGTCGGATGAGGCGCTCAAGAAGGCTGAGGAGCAGGCGAAGAAGGCGCAGGAGGCGCTGAAGAAGGCGGTGGATGAGGCGAAGAAGGCAAGGGATGATGTCGGGGAGAAGGAGGAGGCACGCGCTTCGGCCCAGGCTGAGCTCGACGATATGCTCATGGTGCTGTCGGATCTGGAGGAGAAACGCGCAAAGGATAAGGTATGTTCTTCCTCTTGTTGTGCACGCGGCAGATGGGCTGGACTGACTTGCGATAGGCGCGTCTTAAGGAGCTGGGCGAGGAGGTCTCGGATGCGGAGGATGAGGACGAGGATGAGGACGAAGACGAAGATGGGGATGGGGATGAGGAGTAGTAAAAGCGATATACTCCATTTGCTGTGTATTATTTTGATGTTAGCGATTGTAAATAGATTGGTGGCTATTGAGGCTGAGAGACTGGTATGTACCGAAGTTTGCTGGCATTTGACGTAACTTTTTGGTGTCCGTGGCTTTGGTGACTATAACGCACTGCGTATTCCGCCATGACGAGCTCGATTAAATCCTAATTGCTCGGTGCAGTAGAGCTCTACATCGGTTTTGTGGATAGACGTTGTTGCCTATCGATGTTTTTAAACGAGAAGGTTCTGCAGAGCAGATATTTCAAATTACCTACCTACGCCTTTGGTATATCCTAAGGAGAGGGGATACACTTCAAGCCCTTGTACGGAAAGACACGCACGCGTCGGACGCTGCCGTTGCATAGTGTATGCGTTTCTGAGTTGCGGAGGTGCTGGATATGTGTATAGAAAGGGGTAGAGGGAATGTCAAGCAAGCATAATGAATTTTAATAACCGATACCGCAATCTCTATTCACTGGTTCTAAGGAATACCAAAACGCCCCCAACAGGTCACGCAACCTCACTTCTCAGAATCCTCTCTTCCGACCCCGGTCTCAACGCCCAAAGCCACGAGCGAGCAACCTCTCTTCTAGTAAGGAGGACGTAGTTTAGTCCGGGCCAGTTCCATGCCCAGAAACGCTTCTAGGTCGGCGATGAAGCCGATTCTCCGGGCCATGGCGACCATGATTATGCCGCGGAGCCAATACTCTCCCGGCGCGCCCCACAGGCTGCCGTCCGCGAAGCGGACTGCGTCTGGCCGCCAGGTTTTGGCCTCGAGACGCTTGCGCAGGAATAACCGCATCAGCATCGTGTAGTAGAGGTACTGGAATCCGGGCTGGTTTTCGTTTCGGAACTGGAGCTTTCGTCCCTGAAGCTCGGCCCAGGGAATTGCGTCGTGGGTTGGAGAGGTTTCTTGTAAGATTGTCTTGTCGATGACTTCGACTTGGAGTTCTATTCGCCCGGTGTTGTTGGTGGCTTCTGCTGGTACGATGATTATCTGGCTCTTGTGGATAGCCTCTGCAAGCTCTCTGTTCATAATTAAGCCGTTTCGAACGTCGAATAAGTGGCCGTGACGCGCTTCGTGTTCCCCTAAACTATATGCAATATTGTTCTCCCCTAGGGCGTGCGGGATTATGTCCATCGTCTTCATGCGTTGCGGTGGAAACCAGGCATGCGATATGCAGCACCAGATGGCGTCACTCTCGGTATTAGGGTCTTCCACGGCGTAGAATTTTTTACACTCTTCCTCCCAGACTTTGCGATGTTCTTCGCGTAGTGCCCTGTTCGGATTGTGCTTTGCGCAGTTCGCTGGTAGTATTTCGTCGTGCTTACAGAGTTCGTCGAGATATGCTTCCGTGGTGAGGCTTTGTACGCCACTACGGCTCTCTCTGATGAAGACGGTGAGAGCGCCAATGAAGTATTCTTCATTGCGCCGTAAACGGATACTGTTGCCTAGATTTTCGTGTGTATCTTTCTGTATTTCGGCAATTTTCTCGTCATACCATTTGGCTTTATCCGGCTCTTTCTCCTTAGCCGCGATGGTCTCTTCGAGGGTTAGGTGGTTCTGCTGAATTTTTGTCTCGATGAGCTCAATTCTTTGGTTGACGCGCTCTTTGGCTGTTTTCTGGATGTACTGTTCACGCAACTGATTGTTGCTTTTTTCTAAAACCTTTAGTTTCTTAGGCGGCCGGTCATTGGCGTTACTACTGTCGTCGGACAGATCAGAATGCTCGCGCTTTATCCTTGCCCCTTCCATTTGAAGCGGTTGTGATTTCGCTCCGAGAGTCGGTGTTTGTACTAACGAAGGGCGATGCCATCGTCTGGTTGTGAGCCGGGCAGGTCTTATATTGGGACGTTTGATTAGCCGGGACATCTTAAAAAGCTACCTTGATACAGTCAGGACTGTTTACAACGTCTGGGCTTATCAGCAAATTCCGGCCATCAGTCAGCTTGGGTTTGCGAGGCCTTCTGCATACATTGAATGTTATAATTAGAGAAATTTTATAACAGACAATGGACATATTCAAACCTATAGTAGACGACAAACGTCGACTGATAGATATGAGAAGTAAGCTGTGTACACAAGCCGGTCGGAGCTTATAAACCGCGTTTTGATAGGTCACCGTCACCCGCTCAGGTCCTGGTCTGCTCATTCGACTCTGTATGGACTTTTAAAATGCGCAGTTTGGAAAGATGTTGTTGGTGTTGTCGATCGACGGGATGATGCGGGCTGACCTCGCCGTGGTCGCTGACGGAATGACTCACCGCCCGAGCGCGCTGCTGCGGCGGCCGAAATTTGAACCACCACCCCACCAAATCAACAACACCACCCCGCCTTCCACGGTAGACCAAAGAGCCCGCCGGCTCGACACCAGAATTCGCAGAGATGTCGATCTCCTTCCCGCAAGAAGAGGAGCGCATCCTCGCCCTCTGGAGAGAGATCAACGCCTTCCAGCGCCAGATCGAACTGTCCAAGGGCAAAAAGCCCTACACCTTCTACGATGGCCCGCCCTTTGCGACCGGCCTTCCGCACTACGGCCACTTGCTCGCCTCCACCATCAAGGATATTGTGCCCCGGTACTGGTCTATGAAGGGCCGCTATGTCGAGAGGCGCTTCGGTTGGGACACCCACGGCGTGCCCATCGAGCACGAGATTGACAAGAAGCTGGGTATTAGTGGCAAGGATGCTGTCATGCAGATGGGCCTGGAAAAATACAACGAAGAGTGCAGGGCTATTGTCATGAGATTTGCTTCCGAGTGGAGGCAGACCATTGACAGGCTGGGAAGGTGGATTGACTTCGACAATGACTACAAGGTGGGTTTATTCCATGCGTGCCAATTGCGCGCGATTTCTGACGTTCTGCGCGCAGACTATGGACCCCAAGTTCATGGAGTCCGAGTGGTGGGTTTTCAAGCAATTGTTCGAAAAGGACGCCGTCTACCGCGGTTTCAAGGTCATGCCTTACTCTACCGCGCTCAACACGCCTCTGAGCAACTTCGAGGCACAGCAAAACTACAAGGACGTCCAGGACCCCGCCGTTGTCATTTCCTTCCCGCTGGTGGAGGACCCCAACACCTACTTCCTCGCTTGGACGACTACGCCCTGGACCCTTCCGTCGCACACCGGTCTCTCCGCGCACCCCGATTTCGTGTACGTCAAGATCCTCGATGAGGCGTCCGGCAAGAACTACATCCTTCTCGAGAGCCTGCTCAAGACGCTCTACAAGGACCCCAAGAAGGCGAAGTACAAGGTCGTGACCAAGTACAAGGGCTCGGAAATGCTGGGATGGAAGTACGAGCCTCCGTTTGATTACTTCAAGGAGGAGTTCAAGGACGTCGCTTTCAAGCTTTTGAATGCTACCTACGTTACTGCGGACAGTGGTACTGGTATCGTTCACCAGTCGCCTGCCTTTGGTGAGGACGATTACAACGTCGCGTGGGCCGCTGGCATCATCAACGAGAAGCGCCTGCCTCCCAACCCTGTGGACGAGAAGGGATGCTTCACCGCCGAGGTCACCGACTTCGTCGGCATGCATGTCAAGGCCGCCGACAAGGCCATCCTTAAGCACTTGAAAGCCACTGGCCGCGTGGTCGTCGACAGCCAGATTACTCACAGTTACCCCTTCTGCTGGCGTTCGGATACCCCTCTTATCTACCGGGCGGTGCCTTCGTGGTTCGTCAAGATTCCCGACATCATTCCCGATATGTTGGCTGGTATCGAGAAGTCGCACTGGGTTCCTTCTTTCGTCAAGGAGAAACGTTTTGCGAGCTGGATTTCGAATGCGCGCGACTGGGCTGTCTCCAGGAACAGGTACTGGGGTACTCCCATTCCCCTCTGGGTCAGCGACGACTTCAAGGAGGTTGTCTGTATTGGCAGTGCCCAAGAACTCAAGGAGCTGAGCGGTTACGAGGGCGAAATCCTTGACCTGCACCGTCACAAGATTGACCACATCACCATTCCTAGCAAGCAGGGCAAAGGTGTCTTGAGGAGAATTGAGGAGGTCTTTGACTGTTGGTTCGAGTCTGGTAGCATGCCTTATGCTTCCCAGCACTACCCCTTCGAGAACAAGGACCAATTCCACCAGTCTTTCCCTGGAGACTTTATTGCCGAGGGTCTTGACCAGACTCGCGGTTGGTTCTACACCATGACTGTTCTCGGTGTTCACCTTTTCGGCAAGCTGCCTTTCCAGAACTGTATCGTCAACGGTATCGTCCTGGCTGAGGATGGCAAGAAGATGTCCAAGCGTCTGAAGAACTACCCCGACCCCCAGAAGGTCATGGACGAATACGGTTCGGACGCTCTCCGTCTTTACCTCATCAACTCGCCCGTCGTCCGTGCCGAGCCTCTGAGGTTCAAGGAAGCTGGTGTCAAGGAGATTGTCTCCAAGGTCCTGCTGCCGCTCTGGAACAGCTACAAGTTCTTCGAGCAGCAAGTCACGCTTCTGAAGAAGGTTGCTGATGTCGACTACGTTTTCGACCCCAGCGCCGAGAAGACCAACACCAACGTTATGGATCGCTGGATCCTGGCTTCTTGCCAGAGTCTTCTCAAGTACGTTAACGAGGAGATGGCTGCCTACAGGCTGTACACTGTCGTGCCCAGGTTACTTGGTCTCATCGAGAACACCACGAACTGGTACATCAAGCTCAACCGTCGTCGCCTGAAGGGCGAGTACGGCATTGACGACACCCAGCACGCTCTCAACACTCTCTTCGAGGTCCTCTATACCCTTACCCGTGGCCTCGCTCCCTTCACTCCCTTCATCACCGACAACATCTACCAGCGTCTTCTTCCTCATATTCCCGAGAACCTGCACGGTGAGGACTCTCGCAGTGTTCACTTCCAGCCGTTCCCTGAGGTCCGTGAGGAACTCTTCGATGAGGCCGTTGAGCGCCGTGTCGGCCGTATGCAGGCCGTCATCGACCTCGGCCGTGTCTCGCGTGAGCGTCAAAACGTTGGTCTCAAGACGCCCCTCAAGACGCTCATCATCATCCACTCCGACCAGCAGTACCTCGACGACGTGAAGTCGCTTGAGGGCTACGTCTGCGAGGAGATGAACGTGCGCGACCTTGTCCTCTCCTCCGACGAGGACAAGTACAACGTCCAGTACTCGGTCAGCGCCGACTGGGCCGTCCTGGGCAAGAAGCTGAAGAAGGACGCTGTTAAGGTTAAGAAGGCCCTGCCCAGCCTCAGCAGCGATGACGTCAAGGGCTACCTCAAAAACGGCGCGATCACTGTCGACGGTATCGAGCTGGGTCCCGAGGACCTGATCGTCAAGCGCGGGCTCAAGGAGTCCGAGGTCAAGAAGACGCAGGAGTTCAACACGGACAACGAGGTCCTCATCATCCTCGACTGCGAGGCATACCCGGAGCTGGCGCAGGAGGGTCTGGCGCGCGAGATCATCAACCGCGTGCAGCGTCTGCGCAAGAAGGCCGGCCTGGTGCCCACCGACGACGTCGGAATGGAGTACCGTGTGTTGGGTGACCCGGACAGTGTGGGTCTCGAGGGTGTGTTTGACAGCCACCAGGAGATGATCAAGAAGGCGCTGAGGCGGCCGGTCGACAAGCACGTCGTCACGGAGGACAAGGGTGCCATTCCGGACGGCATGGTCGATGTGGTTATTATGGAGGAGGAGCAGGAGATTCAGAAGGCGACGTTCATGCTGCGGTTGGTCAAGTTGTAGAGTGATGGGGAAAATTTAGATTGCTCTAGAGCATGGCTCAGAGCTACGGTAGTAGATGAGGAAAATGAATGGAATGAAGGTATTTTATGGTTATGCTTTGTTGCCACCGAGTAAATGATGGTCTCGTTGCTTTATCAAGTTTTAATTTTACATCAGCATGCCCATGCAGAACGAACGAAACACTAGCCCTCCCCGTCTTACACCTTTTTAACAGCCGCCTAGGCCAAATCTCGTCAGCACGGCAGCAATAAAAAATCAGTCAAGGAAAACACGAAACGCACCAGATAACAGTCCTTGAGCCGCAGAAACTCCTGCAGACACATGTCTTTGTGCACGTTGTTGTAGTCGGCAAGGATGCATTTGCCGTACACAGCGCTCTGGGCGCTGGTTAGTGGGGGTGCTTCTTTGGTGGCGCATGGGAGGCGGGAAAAGGTACCTCGGCGGAGCACTTGGCGCTGGCGGCGGCGAGCTTCTGGATGGGGCGCGTGCGTGCGGGTGCGGACATGTTGTGTGTGGGGGTGTGGGAAGGGGTGATGGAGTGGGAGGATGGGTATTTGATGTAGGAGTATTTGTACAGTCCGGACTGGTTGCAACGGTTCGGCTGGTTAGCGTTAACTGCTGCTCGCTCGGTGTATGTATGTGCTGGTAAAGATATGCAAAAGGCTACGCAAATCCTAGCTGCATATACCCATGAACGCCTTGCTAAGGGTCTGCATTTGCTGATCAGCTCTAATGTTGCAACCAGACTCGGGATGCCGCTGGTTGGTTCGACTCGTCATCGTCGTCGAGGCCTGAGGCACGTGAAGAGGGGTCCGTGCGGGCCCCGCGCAACGCAACACCATATCGCCGTTGTGCCGTCGCGTCTCTTTGTTGTGACGGCACGCAGCTCGGCGCAGCTCTGATAACAACAACGCAACCTACCTCGTCGACGACGCATTTACTCCCCCGATTCTTCTCTTCTTCTTGGTTTTTATAGTAATGACTGTTTCTTTACCGTTGGCGCGAGGTCTTGCCATACAGCTACACGCTCACGCTCTCGCATAAAATCGTCCGCGCAATTGCTAGTTTCGCGCTTTTTCGCTCGTATGCCGCCATTGCAAAAGCGCGTGTCTAGCAGAACTACGACCTTCGAATGCCCCCTTCCAATACTACGGATGAGCTTCCTCCCCTCACCAATCAGGGTAAGCCACCGCTCAATCGCGACCGCTAGCCCCTACGCCATGTACCGAGCGCTGACACGTCGCAGATGTCGAGGTTCTCTACACAATCGTCACCACCGCGGCGACGCTCCCCGGCCCGTCCTACCGTGCCCTGTTCACAGCCTACGATCGCGTCCTCGCTGACCGCGGTATCAACGCCAACCATGACCGTATCTACTTCCGCTTCCTGCTGCGCATGCGCGCGCGCGAGGGCGCCGGCGCTTCCACCAGCATGTACGCTCGCTTTGAGCAGCTGCTCGCGGAAATGGGTATCCAGATCGAGGTTGACGATAACGGCGAGGGCGTTGAGGAGGTCACGCGCCACTTTGACGACTTGGAGCTCGATGGTGATGGGGAGGATTGGGCGCGCAACGAGCCGCAGCAGTTGCGGCCGAGACCCGCCCGGCGCGCCTCGTTTGATGACACGATGTACGAAAATACGGCCGGGTTGAGGGGGAGGGACGAGGATGGAGATGATGAATCGTTGCGGCGCCTGCCTTCTGGGATTGGATCCAGGCCGAGGAGGTCTTCCAGCCAGTCTTCGCATCCTGGTTATGAGCGCCTGAGGCGGCGCAGCTCGCAGGGTGCGCGGCCGGCTATGCATTCTGGATTCCCGCGGGGAAGAATGGACTCGCGGAACCCGGCGGGGAATTTGGAACATGGAGGCAGGGGACGACCCAGATCCGTGTCTAGTCACGGAAGCATCCGGATCACCAGGACACTCAGCAGAGACGCCAATAGGCCAGAACGCGAACCCTCGTTTGAAGACCTAGATGGATTCGACAGCACGAGATCGCGTCGCTCTTCCATTCCCGGCCCGGGGCCGGAGCCTGCTGCGCACTATGTCCCTCCGGAGATGCTGTATCGCCCGTCGCCCGCGGACATGCTTGCTGATGCGGAGACATTTTTATACGCAAGGACAATATCTAAGGCGCGGCAAGTATTGCGCAAATGGCACGATCAAGCATTGGGTCAACGACAGCTTCATGCACAGATGGAAGAGGCGGCGGACGCAATGAACAGGAGGAAGCTGCTCGATGCTGCGCTTGAGATGCTGAATGTCACGTTAAAAGAGCGACAGCAACAGAAAGAGACGGAACGCTTCTTCCAGCAGCTTGAGCGGCGAGCGGACAAAGCAAGAGATCTCTTCCTGCTCACAAAGGCGTTCACGCACTGGGCCAACAGTGCTGCCGACGAAGTCGAGCGCACCTCCGTCGCCCGGAGGCATATCCTTCGCTACAAGTATTTCAATGCCTGGCATGAGATAACTGCGGTTGAGGAGCTGAAGGTACGCCGACAGCAGCTCGGCAAGTTCTTTAATATCTGGCGGCGCAGGAACGCCGAGATCCAAGAGGACAGTGACCTTGCGCTGGCCTTCCGCTCTGAAACCATCGTTCAACAGGCTTACCAGAGCTGCTACTGGGAGTTCTCAGAGCGGCGAGCCGCCAAATATCATGATACGAAGTTGAAGAGAAACGCCCTCGCCAGTTTACTTAACCAGCTGTCACAGCTGAGGGAGAGGGAAGCGAGGGTGGAAGAGAGACGTGAACATGAATTGAAGAGGAAGAGCTTTCGGGGATTTTCGGGCAAAATGCTCTTGATTCAATCAAACGAGACGATTGCGGACGACTCTCATAAACGACACCTGCTGCGGAGTGGCTTGGAGAACCTGAGGCTTCAAGCACGCCTGAGACCACTGGAAAGACAAACATCGCAGGCTATGCGGAACCGGCTGGCTAAGCAGGCGCTTTCAAAATGGCGTGTACGCGCTCAACAGTCTCGCCGAGCGACGGAGATTGACCGTGAACGCATTCTCCGCAACGCTTTTACGGCCTGGAATGATAATCTCCGTTGTCGCGCTCTGGCAGCTCGGATAGACGAGCGTGTGCTTGTAGAGGCCTTGTACAAATGGTCTCTGGCTTCGAGGGCGGCGCTCCTTTCTAGGCTTCATAATGCCAGAACGAAGCAGAACGTTTTGCTCGCTTGGGCAGAGCAAGTCCGCTCCAAAGGAGACCAGCTGGCTCGGAGGGAACAGATCTTCGCTGCATCCCAGCAGAGACGCCTGAAGTCACGCGCATTCGCTTGCTTGAAGGGCGCACTGGAGAAGCAGAAAGTGCTCGAAGGCCAAGCTCTTAGCATTTACGAGCCTCGGATCGTTCGCCGGACTTGGCAGGCGCTGCTCGCTCAGCATGACCAAGTCCAGCAGCTGGAGCAATGGGGCTCAGACGCCCAGTTCTACACGCTGACGAAGCATGCGCTGGTCAAATGGCGCGAGAGCACGCAGCTCTCCCAACGCCGGCGCAAGCGCGACGCCTACGCCACGATCCGCCGGCGTACGAAGCTCTCGCTTGCCCGCAACGCCTTTGAGACCTGGCGCAACAAGGCAGCAAACGTGGAGATGATGGAGCGGCAAGCGCACGAGAAGCGCGAAGACGCGGTCTTGCATGCGGCGACGCAGCTAATGCAGCACTGGCACGAAGAAACGTTGGCGGTGCTGGACATGGCGCAGCAGGCGGAGGAGCTGCAGCGGAGAAAGCTGCTAGCGAGCGCGATGGGCGCGCTGCGCAGCCAGCTGAGGAAGAGAAAGCAGAACGCTGCGCGCGCCGAGACGCTGTTCGAGGAGCACGTCCTCGCGGAGGCGAATGGCTGTCTGCGCAAGTTCAGGTGGCGCCTCTTCAATATCCAGCGGCATGAGCCGACGTCGCGCGCGTTTGCGGAAAGGAACTTCGAGAAGCACGTTAAGAGCATGTTGAGGCATTGGGCGGATCAGGCGATGCAGTCGCGGCAGGCGAGGATGGTGGTTTCGCATGGTGTGAAGGGAGCGAATGAGGAGCAGGGGGACATGGAGCAGGAGGAAGACTTTAATACGGAGGGAGAGCCGGCACTGGAGAAGGAGAGAGACGAGACTGAGCACAACGCCACTGCCTCCCGCAACGAAGGCTGGGCTCCCTTCAATGAGTCAGCCCTCGGTCTCGGGAACCTCGGGCTGGACCTCAGCCTATTCCCGGGTGGCCGCAACGGCAACAACAACATCAACGCCCAGCCCGCCGTACCGCTGTCGCGAGCCTCCTCCCCGCTTAGACTCGACACAGAGCCCGACGCCGAGCAAGAGCAGGAGCGCGAACGGGAGCGCGAGCAAGCAAGCCTCGCGCCGAATCCGCTCTTCGCGCGCACGCTAAACAACGCCCCCTTGCTCAACCCCGCTGCCACTGCAACGCCCCAGCCCGCCTACCTCCGCACCCCGAGCAAGCGCAGCACTGTCCGCGCGATGCGCCTCGCGGCGCTGAACCTGCCGCTGCAGCAGCGCTTGGCGCAGAGCGTGCGGCTGCCGGTCCGGGAGCGGGAACAGCAGCTGGGCGGTGCACAGCTGGGGCAAGGCAGCGCAGCAACGCAGGGGCAAGAGAAGGAGGGCGAGGGCGAGCGCCCGACAACAGCAACAGCGACAGTGACGGCTCCGTCCGCGAGCACGTTCGTCCTGCCCACCGCGACAGGGAGTACTACGCCCGCGGCTGCGCCGCCGCCGCCGCTGCCCCTACCGGCCATGGGCACGCCGGCCGTGACGCCGTTTGCGCGCAAGCTGGAGCGCGGGTACCGCACCCCTGCTGCGTCTTCTGGTAAGGGGTTCTCGTCGTCCGGCGTGTTTGCGCGCAGGGGGTTTGGTGGCAGCGTCGGTCCTGGGACGGGGTTTAGAGACAGGGGCAGGTTGGGGGGGAGTGTTGATGTTAGGGGTGCGGGTGGTGGTGGTGGTGTTGGTGGTGGATTAGGGCTGGGGTTGGGCTTGGGGTTGGGTGGGTTTGAGGATATTGAGGAGGTTGCTGGGGAGGGGAGTGCGGAGAAATGGAGGGGGAGGGGGAGGGGGGGGGGGGGGGGAGGGGGTTGGGCTTGGGGTTGGGTGGGTTTGAGGATATTGAGGAGGTTGCTGGGGAGGGGAGTGCGGAGAAATGGAGGGGGAGGGGGAGGGGGAGGGGGTAGGAATGAGATGGTTGGGTTGGGTTGGATGGTTTGTTTGGTTTGTTGTTGTTGGTGGTGGGGGTGGGGGGTTGGGTGGTTGGTTGATACCTACGTACGTTTGATAGATACCCATGGATTGTTTGCCTGCCTATCTACCTAGGTATGTACTCTACCTGTCTGTCTGCTGTATGGATATGGAAATGTGGGCTTGGGGTGCGCTTGCCTTCTGCGCGAGGGAAGTGCAAAGGGGAAGGCGCGCCTGCCTGCCTGCCTGTCTGTCTCTGCCTGTATATCTTTCTGCCTGCCAGTCCACGCACTCTTGGGCATTACACCATCAACAGCACAGCATCCACACGGGAGCAGCAACACCATAGAGGTAACACCATAGCAGCTACATCACAGCATCAACACCGCCAGTATTAGCAATATCAGCTATGCGCTTGTCCAAGGGCTCGACGCATCTGCTGACCAAGGAGGATTGGGAGGATCTGTTTCGGCCGCAGGCAAAGCAGTCGTCGGCGCCGGCGCTGGCGTCACGGCAGGAAGAAGAGTTTGAAGATGGAGAATTAGAGGATGGGGAAATAGAGGAAGGAGAGATAGAGGAAGGAGAAGAGGAGTGGATAGACGAGGAGCAGCCGCCGGCACCGCAGCCGCAGCAGCAGCAGGGTAAGGAGGATCAACCAAGGGTTCTTCAGACCTCCAGACTTATCTACTCGGTATGCCCGATCATGACAGCACTAACCGACGGCGTAGGTGTACAGAATCACCTCTTCGCATTTGAGGCGCCTTCGCGCCAGATTTAAAGGGTTTGAAGAGGCTCGAGACAAGGCTCTCGCGGCCGGGCAGGCGCTTCCACCGATTCCGCCTTGGATCCTTATGTTTCGTGAACAGGAGTGGCTATTTAATCGGCAGTTACCGGCGAAACCTAAACGCAACAAAAGGGAGGGGATACAGAGACGCAAGGAATTGGAGGGGACACAGAGACGCAAAAAATTGGAGGAGAGACAGCTGAGAGACAAAGAATGGGAGGCGGAGTTGCTGGAGTTGATTAGAGAGGTGCTGAGGGGTGCGCCTGAGGAAGAGCCTAAGGAAGGGCCTAAAGAAGAGTCTGGGGAACAGCTTGAGGAACACCAGCCTCGAAAGAAGGTGAGTTTACCTGGTGTCTATTCTGCTTGGTGGCGGATGACTAGGCACAAGAAGAAGAGTACTGACAGACGTTTACAGAAGCGTAAGTCGTCCAGGGAAAGCCCTCCCTTGCACGTTCTCCGTCGGCGCAAATTATATGCAGAAGCAGAAGCAGCTGAAGCAGACCAGCCCCCTCCAAAGAGACGCCGCAGCCGTAGCAGCCAGAACCACAAGTCAACCAAGAGCAAGCGAGAGGAGCGCCGACGCCAGCAACAGGAGCAGCAAGAGCAGCAAGGCGCGCTTCGAGTATCACTCCCATCTCCACCGTCCTCTCCCGAAGCAGTCTCGATCTGGTTGTCTCCCTCTCCTGAAAACTCTTCGATACCCTGCAGCAGTCCGAGCCTGCCTTAGCAACATAGCACATCTTGACACAGTGAGTGGTAATCGCCTGGATTGTCTAGCATTTATCAAGGATCCTTGTCGAGTTGGAAGGCTTAATGCCAAAATGCTAAACAGAAACTCAGGGTATCCGTCACGACCAGTTCAGTGTCCAAAACCGTCCAGTCAGCTTGTTCTTTCTTCGCCGTATCCGCCACCAGCACTCCAGCTTGTCCACACAGTCCACGTCACCAATGCTCCAGCTTTTCGTTAGCCTTTCGAGCATCCCACTCAGCATCTGCTCAATCCCCCATGATCGTTCCGTCTCGTTCAGCGTCTTGTATAGGTCAGCTATGGTGTCTAGCAGCACATGTCCATCACGCAGTCTGTTCTTATCCCGTAAATGCCTCCCGACGGCCGCATCCAAATTCCAACTCTTTCACTTTTCTTCGCAATAACACGGAGCCGTCGGTCCTCAACGTCAAGCCCAATCATGTACGTTTTCCTCGTCCGCGTACAAGGTTTCGGATCTCTCTGTGTATGAGTTATCGGTGCAGGTCACGACGGAGCTTGCCCTCGCTGGAGATAAGCCGTTCTCTGACTTTCGTTGTGGAGGATATTGTCGGGAAGTTGATGACCAACTATTCTTGATGTTTCTTTTTTGCTTTCCTTGCTGCGGGCGGCTCGTGTTCTTTTAGCAGGTGGCTAGGTACTGGCCAATGGCACGGGTGTACGAGGCATAGATGAACAAACAGCGTGGGCTTTTTGCTCTGCATACAGAGGCTGTAACGGTGTTTTGTGACGAGAGTGCCGCTGTTTGAGGGTACAAGCGTGTGCTGGAGCTTTCAACATGATATTCCTGGCCGCATACATGACACATATGCAGTCATCCCAAAACGGCAGTAGCACCATCCCTGCCGTCGTCGAACGGCGTGGAAAAGGGCGAAAACGCCTCTGTGCTTAGGCGTTGGTGTGCGCGCTGTGGTTGGCTGAGAGGGTGCAGGACGCTGCGAGAGGGCGCGCTGATCTGCGCGGCTGTGTGACGCGCGGGTGGGTGGGTTGGTAAGCCGTAAGCTGGTGCTTTGTGTGTATGTATGTATGTGGAGTGAGTGCATTGTGGCCAATTCTCGATTTATTTATATTGATATTTATATTTATATTCTTGGTCTTGGTCTTAAGCGGGGATTCATACCTATGGCTGGACCGTGGTTTGATTGGTGGTGGTGACGATAAAGAATTTCTTTTTTTGGCAGCGTGAGGTCAGTTTCCGGGTTGGAGGGGTGTGCCACTGACCCGGGCGTCTGCCATGGCGTGCGATGGAAGTGGCATCCGTGCGGGGGACCTAGCTAGCGACCAACTCGCCGCTCGCCGCTCGCGTGCTCGCAAGCTCGCGAATATCACACAGAGCTTGGCTGTGCTTAGCGTGGCGGCGACGTGTTGGGATCGACGGATTGCGCTGGCGACGCTGCGACAGGCGTTTTGCATTTGTTTCGCATGGTGGGACACGTAAGTCGCGGCGGGAGAAGAAGACGACTCGCAGCAGGGCGCGTTGAAACGAGCTGGTCGAAGCCCCCAATGCGCGCTCGCACCCCACTCGATTCCTATCAATATTGGTATTGGGGTGGACCGAGTTGCGCCTCTGCGAGCCTCCATCTGGCCGGCGCTTGCTCCAATTTGGCCGCTGTCATGCAACGACTTCGACATGCTCGGCGCAGACGTCAGCACTACCCTTGGATTTGTAGTTCGCTTTGCCAATCACGGCCTTCTCCTTATCTCGCAGCGCACTTGGACCATCAAACAACTCGGCGATCTCTTCGAGGCTGTGGCCCTTTGTTTCGGGGAAAGTCAGGTACGTGACGGCCAGGAATAGCACGAGCAGGCAGCAGAAGACAATGTAATAGTGCCAACCGATATTGTCCATGCCGATCGGGTTCACAAAGGCCGCAAGGACCAGCGACGAGTATGCGCACAGTAATTCGCATGTTATGCCCTTGCTGCGCAGGCTGTAGGGGAAGAGCTCGGTGGGATAGGAGAGCAGCAGCGGCGTGTACGCGATGTCGTAGTGGAAGTAGAAGGCGAAGAGGCAGACGACGACGACGACGCCGGCGGCCTTGTCGCCCGTCGTGTTGTTCACGGCCGAACACGCCGTCCACACAACATACGAAGCCAGCATGCCGATCCCGGACCAGAGGAAGAGGAAGCGGCGGCCCAGGCGATCCACGAGAAACGCAGCGGACAAGGCGGCGGCGAAGTTGAAGACCTGCAACAGGCCGTTGATGAGCGTCTGGTCGCTCGAGGCCGTGATACCGATCGAGTCCAACACGAGCGTCAGGTAGTAGCTTACGACACCGATGCCGTTCCACTGCCCGAAGACGCCGAGACAGAGCGCGATGAAGAGGCGTCTGCGGTTCCCTGGCGAGGTGATCAGCGTACTCCACCGCGTCGCGCGCGCGGCTTGCTCCTGTCGAATCGTGCGCACAATCTCGTCGACTTCGAACACGACGAGCGCGCTGCCCGCGTCCCCACCGGCGTGGTGTTGGGCCAGCAGGCGCGCGGCCTCGTCCGTTCGCTCTTGCGCAACGAGCCACCTGGTACAGCAAACACACGCACGCGTCAGCACTTTTCTCTTTCTCCAAAACCGCAATCTTGCCAGCCAACCAGCCGGCGCGCAGATCGCTCTTGCAATGCCAATGCCATACGCACCGCGGCGACTCAGGAACCCACTTCACAAACGCCAACTGCAGACACGGAAACGCGGCCTGCAGCAGCGTCGGGAGGCGCCAGGCCCACGGCCCCCCCAGCCCCGCCGCCCCGTACGTCGCCCAGCTCGCCACGATCGCGCCCAGATAGTACACGCACCAGACGACGGCGGTGTAGCGCGCGCGATGGGTCGGAAACGCCAGCTCGGCGATCAGCAGCGGTGCGGGCTGGACGACGAACATGTTGGCGGCGCCAACCAGCAGCCTGGCGACGATGAACTGGGCGAGCGAGCGCGCCGACGCCTGGATCGCGGTTGCGATGACGACGCCGACGAGCCCGGCGACGAGGACGCGCTTCCGCCCGTGGGTGTCGGTCAGGGTGCTCGTGAAGGGAAGCGCCAGGATCGAGCCGATCGATTGCGCTGCGTTGATGCTGCCCAGCACCGCGCCATGTGGGTTGTCGAACGAGGTTCTCCATGCTGACAGCGATTGGAGTCCGTTCATGAGAGAGCCTGGTGCCGTCGTGTTAGTTGGGTTGTTGCAGGGGGTGGGAGGGGATACCGTCATAGCCGGCGACGGCAGACGAAAGGAGCGGTACGAGCAAGAGGAGGTTTAGGCGCAGGAGATGCGGCGTCCGGATCCAGTGCTTGTCTGTTGCTGGGAGCACCTCAGCAAGGCGAGGACCTACAATGTCGGCGGCTTTCATGACTACGGGTCAGAGGTAAGGCTTGAGAGGCTTCATGTTGACTGCTGCAGATATCGGGAGCATATTTGAGGCCGCTGTACCCCGCAGTTGAGCTCGAGGACCATAGCCGGCGAGAATGGGGGATGTATCCCAGGTAGGCAGGCGAGGTTGACTGTTTTACCAGGACTCTATTGCGTACAAGGACATCGATGTCGTCCAACTTCTTGGCTGCAAGCTGGACACCTACCAAGCCAAGAAGCATGAAATCACGATGCATTGGCCTTTGACCGGGTTACCCCGTGGGGTAAAAGCAAGGACGATACCTGCGCACGGGCCAGGCAGCCGAAATGCATCCGACAATGCGCAATTGGGAGGCTTGGAGGCGTGGGAGGCCCGAGGGGCTGATCGTCATCAACGCATGCCAATCAGTGTGTCGGCTTCGTGTATTTCGGGGCGCTTCGGCGCAAGCCCCTGAAAGTGCAATAACCCCGTCCTCTTTACTCCGCTTTCAGGACCATCGAGTGGTGGCCATTGAGCTAAACTCGAACATCCACATCGTGCACGGGGACCATCTTCTGAACTTGCTAAACGCATATCTGCCTCCGGGCTCCTCCCTCAAGTCGTTAGTCCGCGGTCTATCGGATTCGTCGCTCTAGTTCTATCCGGTATGTCGGTTTCTCTCTGTACCAAACCCCGAACCTTGCTGATGCGGTGAACTATCTAGGCTCCTTCAGCAGAAGCACTGGCTGCTTGCTCCTGACGATGTCCGACACTATGGATCCTAACCCGTCCTTCATCGCCCAGGAAGCCTTTTGCTTCTACCGGATCAGCGACTTTTACGGTCCCGCGCCGCGGTTCCTCTTCTATATTCTCCTCGTGGCTAGCATAGCTACCCGCCGGCACGGGTGGCTTTTTAGCGCATTACTCGGAGCCGCCGCCACATACGCCGGCACGGCAGCCATTCACGCCTTCATCCTGCTGGCAGGACGACCCCATGTACCCGAGCCCGTGCCGGTATCCATTCCTTATGTCTCTCCCGACAGCAAACTCGTGTCCTCCATCTCGTCTCTCGTTACCGGCGTCACCTCCGTGATGGTGCAGCCCGGTGCCGTGGAGCTCGACACCGACGCCATCCTCGCCATCGTCGTGACAGGCTACCTTGTCTTCCTGCCGATGCAGTGCTGGTCACGCGTTGCGCGCCGTGGCCGTGCTCGTTACTACCTGATTCTGTTGTGGAGCTTCCTCATGCTGCTCGGCACCATCTGCGCCCTGGTCTTGCGCCCCGACGCTTACCACCAGCCTCGCCAGTACATGTTCTGCCAGCCAGAGTTCCCGTCCGACAAGGCCGATACTAATGAAGGTTGGCCGGAGGAGGTTGCCTCTATGTCCAAGCACGATGGTTGGAACAGCACTGTTTGGAATATCTTCCAGGACAGAACGCTGTGGGAAAGCCTTGCGGACAACTGCTTTCATCCTTGCTTCACAACACGCCAAATCTTGCGCAAGCCGGGTCTGCTGGAAGGCGTCCCCGTAGGCGACATGAGTGTCGTGCGCATTGCTTCACACAGCGAGATTTGGCAGAGCTACGTCTATGCCATGGTTGCGACGTCAACGGTCGCAAGTGTCTTCCTTCTCTTCCTCGATATCTCGAGATACGAGTCCCGGGTCCCCTACGCGAATCCCCGCAACATCTGGAAGGACCGAAACATCATCTTCGACAGCATGATAGCCGATATCAGGGCCGACCACAAAAGCGATGGGCTGCTGCAGCCTGCTCGAACGTGCGGAGAGTGGTGCCGGACAATCGTTATGCGGATGAAAATCTGGCACAGCGTTTTCCTCGACATCATTATCCTCACTGTCCTGGTTAGCAGTATGCTTCTGTCTCCGCTGGCCGCCATCGTCTTCGCGATGTGGATCGAGTGGAACCTTACTGGCGACGGCTCTGCTGAAGAAAGCGCAAAACAAGTAGCCCAATGGGCACCGTCTGTAAGCATCGGGCTGTTGCTCGTGTCGGCCATGATTCTGCAGCTGAAATATCGTTTGGCAACAAAAGATGAGATTGAGGAGGAGATTGAAGAGACGAAGACGCATTTGAAAAAGTTGGAGATGATAGTCGAGCACAAGTAAGCGAGCGTTTTTTGTTGTTTTTTTATAGCGTCTGTCAATTTTGCACGCCCTCGATTACGACCTTGAATACCCCCTCTTTTGCTGCTTTCACGAGCTCGAATGCTTGCTCGGCTTCTTCAAACTTAAACCTGTCTGTAACAAGCCGCTTTACCGGGACTTTTCCGGAAGCGACTAGATCAATAGCAGTGGGGTACACGCCGGTCGTGTATCTTATTGACCCTTTAATGTTCAGTGCTTTTATACAAGCAGCTGTGATTGGGAACATGACGTTCTGTAGTATCGGTTAGATTTAGTACTGAAAAAGGATTGCGAATCCGTAATATGCAACTTACCTCTTTTCCCATACCGACTTGGACGAATGTCCCTCCTTTCTTCGCTATGAAAACACCGGTCTGGATACATGGCTCGGCTCCTGTGCACTCCAGAACGACATCAGCACCCTCACCAAGCCTCAACTCCTCTTTCATCATTTCAGCCACAATCTCAGACCTCTCAACCGGCTCCAGACCCTCCTTCTCCGGCTGCGGCGGCGCCAAAACCTCACTCCCAGCAAACTCCCTAGCAAAGTCCAACCTCGCGCGCGAAACGTCGACGCCCACGACCCTGCTGGCCCCGAACGCCCGCGCAACAGCCTGGCACAGCAGCCCAATAGGCCCGCAGCCAAACACGCAGACCGATTTCCCAGCGACACTGCCCGCGGTCTTGCACACCTGCACGGCGACCGCGACGGGCTCGACCAGCGCCGCCTCCTCCATGTCCACGTGCGCGGGGACGCGGTAGCAGAACGCCGCGTCCGTGACATAGTACCTCGCGAGCGTGCCATCGCACGGCGGGGTGGCGGCGAAGACGCACTCAGCGCACAGGTTGTACGCGCCGGCTCTGCAGTGGTCGCAGCGGCGGCAGGGCACGCCCGGCTCGATGGCGACGCGGTCACCGGGTTGCAGCGTGCGGACTTGTGTGCCGCATCTTTGCACCGTCCCGCTGGACTCGTGCCCGAGGATTAGGGGTCCGCTGAGCGTGAAGGGCCCGATTCGCCCCCGCTGCCAGTAGTGGATGTCGGAGCCGCAGATGCCGGTGTGCGAGATTTGGAGGAGGACGTGCTTTTCTGAGGGGAGAGGGGGGATGGGTCGGTCTTCGATTGTGAGGGTGTTGATGGCGTGGAGGACGAGGGCGGGGTTCTGGCGATTGTTTGGGTGTTGGTGAGTTGGTTGGTTGGTTGCGAGGGGAGTGCTGTTGTGGGTGCAGTGCTTACGGTTGAGCTGGCGGGTAGTGCGGCCATGATGTCGGGGTGGTGGGGTGGGAAGGAGCCACTGTGCTCAGGATGAAGGGGACAGAGAGAGAGCCAGCTGTCGGTGTCTGACTTCTATCCACCTTCCTTATTACTTGCAACGGACGTCCCGTCCGGCACCTGAATCAGGATCTCCGTCCTTGGCTGCGCATGTCAATCGCCGATATGCAGGGGCCCGCAGCCACCCCGCTGCGGGGGATCGCCGGGCCCGTTGCTCGTTGCGGTAATCCGTGAGAGCGGGGTTGCGCTGCAGACGCGCCCGCGTAAACGGCTTCGGACTTCACTGATGCGAGCACGCTTTTTTAATATCGAGGAGGAGCTGCTGTGGGCACCGTGCCTTGTCTCGATGCCTTATGGATCCGCTTTTTGAGTGGTCGAACGTTGGCGTGTGGTTGGTGTTTGGGTAAAGGCGGGCAGGTCTGCCGTGCAGGTAAATCTCAATCCCACTTCTGATATCAGAACTGCCTGCAAGCTCCACATTTTGCCTTTATCCGTTCTCTGCTTGTGCGAAGCGTGAATCTTTTAAAGCTACAAGCGCGTCGTACACCATATTCCACCCGCATTCTCAACTCAGCGTCCCCATTCTCTCTTCCAACATGGTCCTCCCACAGCACCCCAATGCCTCGGCGCCAGTGCTCAGCCACTTCTCACTGCAAGGCAAAGTTGCAGCAGTCACCGGCGGTGTCCGGGGCATCGGGCTCGAAGTGTCGCGCGCCCTGGCCGAAGCCGGCGCCGACGTCGCCGTCATCTACAGCACGACGAAGACGGCCGACGAGATCGCTGCGCAGCTGGCACAAGATACGGGCGCGAAGGTCAAGGCGTACCGCTCCAAAGTCGAAGACAAAGCAGGCATCGCCGCGACGCTGGACCAGGTTGTTGCCGACTTTGGCAAACTCGACGTCGTGGTTGCGAACGCGGGGGTTTGTGCGCATCATCCGGCTGAGGAGTACAGCGAGGATGACTGGCGCCGCAACATGAGCGTTAACTTGGACGGCGCGTTTTACACTGCCCAGGCGGCTGCCAATGTCTTCAAGAAACTGCAGGCCATTGGTAACGTCATTTTCACGGCGTCGGTGTCTGCGACCCTGGTCAATGTCCCCCAGAAACAGGCTGCGTATAATGCGTCCAAGGCTGCGGTTGTGCATTTGGCGAAGAGCTTGGCGGTCGAGTGGGTGGATTTCTGCAGGGTGAATTGCGTGAGCCCGGGGTTTATCGACACGGATAGTAAGTTTGTCATCTGGGATTGCGGTGAAAAGAGGCTAATCGAGAGTCTGGTAGTGCTGAGTATACATCCTGACGAGTGGAAGAAGAAGTGGTTTGAGATGATTCCCGGACGGCGGTTGGCCGATCCTGCGGAGCTCAAAGGGGTATGTTGAGATTAAGCGTTCAGTTGTGTCCGCGGTGAAGGCTAATGAGATATAGGTATACGTTTTCCTTGCAAGCAATGCTAGCAGTTACATGGTAAGTCAGTCAGTGGTTATGATATGGTTCATCGTTACTGACCTGCTTGACAGACAGGAGCCGACCTCATCATAGACGGCGGGTACACTTTGCCATAAAGATAGGCACGGGAGCCTGTATTCATTTTATGTCGTTTGAGTTTGAATCGAAAGGCAGTCTTGGAGCAAAGTCAAAAACAGCTCGTGTCGTTGTGCCGCTGTGGAATTGTCAGTGATTGTCCGGTGAAAACCGGCTTGAGGTTACGCTTGCCACTATCCGTAAAACCTCATCTCATCGAACAACAATGTCCGTAACTGTAGAAGAGAGCAGAATCTGATCGACAACTGTAAAGCGACGTCACGGGCAGTGAACATGTTCTGGACAAAGGGTTGTGGTGGTTGAACAGAAGGTGCAGCATGCCCAGGAAAAACAACAAGGCAAGTCGTAGCTTATGTCATTACGGCAAGTAGAGCTAGGATTTTTTTTAACTATGTAATTTTAGCTGTCGAATTTGTTTAGTAACGAACACGAGTTGTCATAAGGTCGAGTGGCCTATTGGTCACCGTAAAGGTTCCTCTACACTTCAGTGGTAGCACCTGGAGTTCGAGTGTTCGAACCACAGTGTCTTCGGATGCTGGGGAAACAGCCACCGCCCTTGCACTCTACCCGGCTGTTTATAAGGCCTTCGGCCTGACTTTTTGCTTCCCTGTCGTATTTTAATTTTTTTTTAATTTTTTTAATTTTATTTTTTGTTTTATTTTTCACTGCCCTCGACCGGAACGCGTACGTCACCCCCATCCAGCCTTTTATTTGTCTACCTAATCCATCCATCTTGGTGGCGTTCCTTGGTTCTCGCTCGTCCGCTCCTGCTTCCATTTCCACTCCAATGACGTCAGTTACTTCATCCTTCCGGCTCGTGCATCTCATTTACAGTGACAAGAAACTTATAGATCCCTATGTGAGTAAGGTCGATAGTAATATGTTCGGCGACTTCTGGCGGCCAGTGAAAGTTATAACACTGGGAGAAGAAGACCATAAGACCTAGGCTAACAGTCCCGTGGCTAAGCCGGCCCCGGATGAGCTTGAGGTTCGGAGCGCGTGGACGTAGGCATGATGATGATGTGCTTGGATGTTGAGTGAGGCTCGTGCGCATTTTTACGTATATTGTACGGAGCTGAAAGACGTGTGAACGATTCGCTTTAGGTTCTGCTATGGATGTCCTCTCCTACCAGTTGTCGGCCATGTACTGGTCTTTTTTCAGTTGCAGAAATGATTACAATATCTTTTTTTCATTGGAGTTAAAGTTCAAAGGAAGTGGTTAAAATAATAACGCCTGCTTATTCCTACTAGTAATTCCTCAAACACTGAAAAACACCATTTTATACGCTTTACAGAAAACAGTGGAAAGTACAACAGCATAAACTCAATGAAACCATGCATCAAGAAAACATTTCAAAAACCTAGGCAAGCGATAGGTTGGCTCAAACAAGTGATATTTCCTTCATGATCGGGGTCGCTGCTTCCCAGGCGGTACTGCCGATCTGGGCATATGCTACTCTTTCTGCGACATTACCGTGCCACCTGATGAGCAAACAATTCAAGAACGGTAGACAAGAATTCTGCTCAAGTGATGGTCCGTTGAAATGGTAATGAGCCCGCGGTGATTTGCCCTTTTTGTCTGAAAGTGGTTGATTGTAAGAGAGGGCGATAAATTCCAGTGATTGGTCCTCGATTATTGTCTGCGAATCCAATGAGAAGATTATGCCCCGCCCCAAGCCATCAGGATTTTGCTGCACCATGTCATACCCAGGCGGCGAAGCTCTATAGTTAGTTCCTACAGCCAGTTTATACCGGGGCACAATCTCTGTGTTGTGGTTTGGTAGATGAGCGACGGTCTGGTCTACAGTAGCGTGACGATATAAAAAGCACTTAGATGAGACAGATTGTGCAGTGAAGCATAACAATCCTTGTGGACGATGTAGACGAACAACTGCAGAAGTATCCGATTGGTGTTCATAACCACTTTCTGTCCACGGACTTTCGATAACCACAACGCATCGGGTATCCACAAGCTCGACGAAAGACCAATCTTGCTTGATGTAATAGAATACGAAATATTCGTATGGCATGATCGGCCATGTCCATTGAACCTGATTTTGCCAAGAGATCCATGACCAGCTGGGAAAGATCTCATGATCAATGTGTCGTCTGGGAGCACCTTGGTGTTTCGTAGTCCAGAGCAGAGCCTTTCCTAGATTCGCTAGGGGCATTCCGAAGGCAAACCCAGCCTTCATTTGCTTACTCAATGTCGCTTGTAGAGCTGCAAATGCGTTGAGGACATCTGCCTCAAAAGTGAGATGCCGATGAGTGTACGACTCTACAAGATTCGCATATAGGCTAATATATGGATCTAGCGAGGAGTTGTTGTTCTGGCCAGATGCTAATCCCGTTTCTGCATTTTTCTGTCCCACTTTAGGCTGCATCGGGTGGTAGTCTCCGTATAGTCTGAACTGCCCTTCTAATAGCTTTTTGCTCGAGGGATTCAAGTTATCGTGAGTGACCTCGTCCATTTCGCACCTCAAATTGGATAGACAGCGAAAGTAGAGCTGGTCATATGTGATTATCAGACACCTGCGCGAAAGCAGGATTTCTTGAAACGTCCACCCTCGAGATTGATGTATTGTGCCGGTATACTCTTTGAAAGCGCTTGGCATAGCCTTCGTGAGTTGGATTCCGCCTATTGCGTCTGATACAAGAGACAACCGCGTAGCACTCCGGACTCCTGGTAGACATGAATATGCATCTCGTGCGGAAGCCGCTACGATGGTAAGGCATGCTTGCGCGAATATCTTGTGCATCTGGTTAATTCCACGATATTTTGCTACGTTATCGTTTTGTACCAAGCATAATGCGTCGACCCAGAGGTACTTCTCTCCGATAGATCTCGTGAGAAGGATTGCATCGGTGATGACCGTAGGAGTACCATTGGCTTGTACAAGTGCCCCTTCTTTGCGGAGTTGTGGGAGGTTGTGTGTTGTGGTTTTGAGAAATGGCATATTCCCCCATACATAGCTTAAAGTGATGTATCTGCAAGTTGAGTCTGCAGACACAAGGCAGAAGTGGCCAACATCAATGAGAAGAAGGTCGAGCTTTGAATGGTTCCTGTTTTCGTTTGTATGGCACCTTCTGTGATCGGAAAATATCATGTCAAACCCATGTCCCGGATTGTTTTCGCAGTCTTGAAGCCAATGTCGAATTCTTCTTGTATCCATGAGCTCGCCGTTTCTAGTATGTTGCATCCAATCGATGTAGTTTTCGTGTGACCAAAAATTTTCAATGGGTCGTATGGGCAAGTTAATTATTTTTATATCGACTAGAATTCTCCCTTGTGCTGACAGGATTTGGAAGCCGTTTTTTGTCCAGAGGTTGTTCCGGGCTATGCACCAATGTTTCTGTTCGGCTCCTAAAAACTCTTTGCCTCTGTCGTTCATAAGCTCTGTGATTATGAGTTTCGCTATGAAGGAACAAAATAAGCAGTCCTTCCGAAGGCCAATGTCTGTGATCGTGCCATAATTGAAGGGCCTGGATCCAAGTCTAGGCACTGGGACGTTGATGCCAAGGATATCCTGGAGCTTGCGACGAACATTTCCCAAGTGTCCAAGGAAGCGGCTCCGACATAGCTTGCATAGACCCCTTTTTTCAGAAGAGCCAACATCGGGGTTGGGGCTAGGGGTATCCTGAACCGACATGACCAGAGTTGAAGTCCGGTATATCAGAGCCTAGGTAACGAGTAGGATGCGGTCTGAGCTGTGATGCAAAATGTTATTGCCTTGCAGCATACTCGCTATAGAACGGCAGCCGAGCATGGCCGATCAAAAACTGTGCTTTGTTCGATAGCTATAGTCGCTTGACTCACAGGCTGAATGTTGAGTATGAAGGAGGAAAATCAATGGATCTGGAAAAGAGAAGTGAGCGAGAGAGCTGGCCATTACCCCGACAAGGCTTGGTCAAGCACAGCATGTGATTAGTCTTTCTTTCCGAGCATGCTGTGATACATCATCTCAGTGGTACAGTACAACCGCTCCCTACCTGGCGCGGTCGAATAAGTCTCGACCGGTTTGTGTGCAGTACACAACTCTAGATGTAGTCGGAACAGCCATTTTGCAGTAGAGTTGATAGGCGTCTTATATAGTCCTCGATCGTGTTTTATTTATTAGCCGGATTGATCTCTGTCCAGTCGACGTTTGGCATCTACTGAAGGCCTGAGTATGTTTATAACACTGCACACATGCGCGATGAAAAAATGAACATGACTAGATCAACCAGAGCTCGTACAGCCGCTTTCGTACCCGCTGCAAGAATGAAGTCATGGCCGGTGCTTGTAGGTTACATTCCGGCTGAGCGCAGTTGTGCAACAAGATCCATATCGGCCGTTTCGCGGGGGGCCAAGACGGCGGTTGATGCGCTGTTCCCGAAAAGGAGACATCATCCGCTTGGGGTCCGTCTGGTCCTTCAGTATGAACTCTAAAACTCGCAATTTGAGGTGTTGTCGAGTCTATGGGATGCGGACAGAGCTATGCGGGAAATGCCTCGGGCGCACCAGCGCGACCCCCGGATTTCCGCACAATAGGTTGAGTCGTACACCCCGGATCGTCAATGATCCGACAGCCGGTGTCGGCAGTCGGAAATCCTCGAACAGCTGGTTAAGTGTGTGCGTGATGTTGGAGGCTCCAGCTAGAGTCAAAGGATGCAAGCTAAGAATAGTAAAGGCGGCGATTGGCTCCACCACGTAATCTGAGGCAGGCACGCGACAATCCCTGTGGCCCTACGAACGCCGCGCGGATAGGAGGTGCTGCTAAACCTCGCCCTCTGCGTATTCGTACAGCCACCCAACGCTACGGCCCGCTCGCCGTTGTTGATTCACACCGCTGTCCGCTTGCAACGCCTCTCTTTTATACCTTTTAATCTCGCGACCGCCCCGGGCTACCGAGAAGCCTGACCTTTTCCGCCAGCCTGGCTGCTACCAAGTTGTCGCAAATTCCTGGACGGTTCCCAACATCATGACGAAGCCGGACACTATCACCTACCCGATCGAGGAGCCGGTATGGAACAGCAAGCCGGCTTGGGTCCTGCCGGGATGGGCAGAGCCATTGGTATGTGGGACATCCTTGACGTCGTTGTGCAGAAGCTAACAGCGATCCTGTAGATGGTCGTCTCTATTCTTTTCGGCGCAATGTACATGACTAGGCGAAGGGATTACTCTATAATCAGGAAGAAGAAGGGATACAAGTCCATCTTGGACGAGGAGCCTACGTCGGGACGCTCCAGCGACGAGCTGTTGCGGTACGACTCCGAGAACGAAGACGATGCGCAGGACCCCATCGCCGCCTCGAACCACCAGCCCAAGAAGCGCGACTGTTGCTGCGGCTTCACCGTTCAGACTCCGAACACGTCGCGGTTCAAGAACAACATCCACAGCCGCATACTCCAAAAGTTTCCCTTCTTGATCGAGATGTTCTACTGGGTCATCAACTACCTGTTCTACCGCATGACCGCCGTTCTGTCTCAGCGCCTATTTGCCGGAAAAGGCATCTGGAATGTCGCTCAGGCGCACGGTATCAGCGTCCTGGAGGTTGAACACCTGAGTTGGCTCAGTTTCCTGTTTCCGTGGCAGGAAAGGCAGGTGCAGCAATGGTTCATGCATGGTCACCAGGACGCCTTGACGATCTTGAACAAAGCGTACGCGCTGATCCATATTCCGGGCACTGTTGGGTAGGTAACCCAGGCGATCTTATGATATCACACGGCTGACATCGTATAGCTTCATCTGCTGGTATTACTACATCGCCCCTTCGCACCCCACCTTTGCTATTGCCCGCCGCACCATGACCCTCACGAACTTCCTGGCCTTCATGACCTTCATTTTCTATCCTTGCATGCCGCCTCGCCTGCTGCCGCGTGAATACGGCTTCCTGGACACGGTCCGCCACGACGATGCGCAGAGTGTGTGGATGAGTGGCAAGTATGTCAACTCTTTGGCTGCGATGCCGTCCATGCATTTCGGATATTCGTTCTGCATCGGTACGACACTCATCTACCACTCCGGCATCTTCAGGCGGACCCTTGAGCGCGGCGAAACTAGGAAGAGCACATTCTGGAAGCTGTTTTATCTCATCGTTGGCATTGCCTATCCCAGCTTCATCCTCACAGTCATTGTCGCAACTGCCAACCACTACTTCATGGATGCAACAATTGCGACTGGTTTTGTCTTCATCGCGTATGCCTGCAACAAAGTATTCTACGTTTTCCTCCCGCTGGAGGATTGGCTTCTGTGGTGCTTGCGGGCAGAGAAGCCAATCCCTTCGACTGGCGAGAGATTTAGGGAACGTGGTGGTAGGCTCTAGAGTCTTTAGAATTGACTCTTGCAGCACTCCCACCTTGCATCCGCGAAGTCCCTACCGTGGACATTCGCTTCCGATGTGTACTGATGTAAAGGTCAATGTGGCGTTAGTGAATAGGCTTAAACAATTTACTGTTTAGAACAGAACCAATACTTTAATAGAGACTGCAAAACACGTTTATACCGCATCCTGCATTTGGGGGACTTTCAGGTGCTTGGATTTGCCAAGCGACAGGGTCTGGGTTACCTTGGCGACAAAGCTTCGGCGTGAGCTCCACCACCTTTCCCGCAACCGCAACATCACTAAATCCCAGTCTTATTATTTGGCTCAGCCCTTCGCCGCGTAGCAATTCTTCAGGCTCGAGCAATTGAAGCTCCAGTCACTTCCCATGCTCACCCAACACTTCTCTTCACCCATCGCGCCGCTTCGCTTGAGCTAGTCGCGTCGCGTCCTCAACTCGCGTTTCGGTCCATTTCACGCGCGTCCCTCACATCACTATGGCGGAACCCGAGGTCAGAATAAACGACACGCCCGCCGAGGGCACCCCGGCCGGCGACGTCGAAATGGGCGGCTCGGAAGAGACGCCTGCACGCGAGAACACCGAGACGGCGGAGCCGGCGGGTGCAGGTGAGGGCGAGGAGCCCGTCGCCGAAATGGCGGATATTGAGCCCGAGGCGCCGAAGAGGGAGACTTTCTTGGAGTAAGAGCTGCTATGTGCCCGTTTCGTGCGCAGCACTTCTGGACGCGTGCCATTGGAGCTGCGCGCGACACGCCCGTGCTCGTGTGGATTGGTGCTAAGCTCGCGTGTAGATTCTTGAAGTCGCCGATTATCGAGCTGTTGGTCGGCAAGGGCGAGGAGCAGACGCTTCTTACGGCGCATCAGGCGCTGCTTGTCAAGTCGCCGTACTTTGAGACGGAGTGTGCCAAGTTCGAGGATGGCGACGATACTGTATGCCTATCTTACAAGCGTCTTGCTTTATGATGCATACTTACCAACCCCCCAGAAGCGCCGCATTGAACTGCCCGACGAAGACCTCGACGCGACCGGCTCCCTCCTCGAATACCTCTACCACGGCGAATACTTCCCGAAGCGGACCTCCGACCACAAAGACGCGGCGCTGGAGCAAGACCCGACGATCCCGACGCCGGACGAGCAAGGCGTGGGCCTGCTCAAGCACGCGCGCGTATACAACCTGGCGGACAAGTTCGGGCTGCCGGCGCTCAAGTCGCTCGCGCACACCAAGATCCACCGCACGCAATCGACGGCCAAGGGCGAGATCGCGTACGCGCGCTACGTCTACGCCGAGACCAGCCCCGAGGACACGACGATCCGGCGCCCCGTGGCCGCGTTCTGGGCGCACCGCTCCCACGTCCTGCGCCACGAGGCCGAGGCCGAGTTCCGCGCCATGTGTCTGCAGTACCCCCAGTTTGGCTTCGACGTGCTGTCGCTGGTGCTTGATGCCAAGGAGAAGCGCGCCCGCCCCGAGGACCCCACCCCCACCAGCAGCCAGAGCGTGCCGGGTGAGCGCAGCGCCAGGAAGAGAGCTAGGGTTAGTCATGGTTGAGCTCCATTCTTTGTCTGCTGCTCCTCCAGATTTGCTAAGTCGTGCCGCTCAGGCTGAGGTCCGGATATGATCGGTCGGTCGCGTCCGCTTGACCTCGTTTCGTTTTTCGAGTTGGTGTAGAAGGCTGCGCGAGTGGAGAGATGGATCTTTGATAGGCTCGTTGATATGGCCGCTTGGCTATGCGGAGAGCTTTTGAGAGTTGAAATGGATATACCGGGCCGCACGGGAAGACCTTTTTACTGGTCCTTTTCGCGCTGCTCTGTCCAGTATATTCCGCTATCAAAGGGGGGAATAATAGGCGTAGGCGTAGGTGCCGGCGTAATTAGGCGCAGACGTATCCGCGCGTTAGCAGCAAACATATCAAAAGCGGTTTGTTTTCGAAGAACTTTCGAGATCACGGCCTGTGCTCCGGAACAAACACCTGCTGCACAGGCAGTTTGATGGTGGTGGGAAAGAGAACACTTTACACACACGGGCTACTCCTGATAGACAGGGATAGCCGCTGGCACATGTGAATGGATGTTTGAGCGCAGCTTGCGATAAATGCAGCTTGTTTTTTTAGGGTGGAAGACAATGTATTCTAATAGCTATTCCAAAGCAACCCTCAGGGCTTGACTATCCTAGAACTCTGCCACCAGGGCTGTTGCAAGTCTACCCGATTCTTTCATAGCGTTGAGAGTGAGTATAGAAGAAGCACCATCAAGCCTGTTCAGTGAACCCAAATCATGACGTCCAGTCCAGCTCCAACGTCAAAACAGGTACACTGTTGACCTCATTTCCGAGCTCAGTGATTGCAGGCCAAAGCGGGCCTGGTTCGTCACTTAGTCGACACTCTCACGCAGCTTGTTGAGCGTTGCCTTTAGATTAGACGTCGACTCTGCCATCGCAACCTCATGCTCTCTGTTGATCACCTCGAGTGCATGGAGCTCGCCTTCAGGGTCCCGTGTTTCCCTGTTGAACTCGTGCTCGCAACGCTTGTATATCCAGGTCAGGACACGTTCTTCCAACTTAGCCACGCAGAGGTCTGCTGAATCGATACCGATGCTCACAAGCTCTGTAAGAACCTTCGTTTTGTTGGAAAGTGAGTTGATGATCTTTTTCATGCCCTGCAGCATAGTTTTGCGAGTAGCGGCCTTCTTCTCTGTACACTGGACCTGTCTACGTCCGTCGCAGAGCTCATCGCGTAGACGTTCATTTAGGGAGTCCATGCGGGCGACGTCAGCTTGCAATTGTGTGGTGTCCTTGTCTGTGCCTTCAAAATGGCCAATTTCCGAGATTTTGCGTTTGATTGGTAACTTGAGAGAGTTGTGACGTGCAGAGAGCATTTTGTTCTGTATCTTGAGCTCATCGGTCAAGGCAATGTTGGCGTCCCACATGGAAATCGACTGGCTATTCGTGTCTGAGACTGAGCTTTCGAGATCTATGATAGACTGTTAAATGGGCTTCGCTCATTGAAGACATACACGGTTGGGATATTCACCTTTGATCTTTTCCATCAAGTTGGACAGCTGTCGCTCCAGGTCCTGGTTTACCAACTTCAGGCGTGAGGTTTCACATTCAAGTACGATGCGCTTTTCAACGCCCTTTTGGAGCTCAGTGCGCCAAGTCGAGGCCTGGATCTCCATGTTTGCCGCATGCCGGCTCGCCTGCTTCATCAGGTCTTCGCGCTTCTCATCGCGCTCGGCCAATTGCATCCGAAGCGCTGAGATCTAATCGGACATGCCCGGGATGTCGGTTTGCAGTTGGATAATACGCTTCTTAAGTCGTTCGCTTTCTGTCTCAGCTTGCACAAGCTTCGTCGTCATGCGCTTCATGTCGTCCGCAAGGACCGCATCCTGTGTCAGAGCATGATAGATGCTGTGAAGTATGTAGCCGATGGGAAGAAAGACGACCAAGACGAGCGAGATGAGTTTAATAGACGCGTAGTCTAGGTACATGGTGTTGGTATATGTGAGGAGCTTTGATACAGCGTGGGCAATTGTGAGCGTGAAAACATACGTCCAACCAAGGAGGTGGCCAGCCGTGCGGCAGGCATGGCCCAGGTGAAGAGGGAGCAGCCAGCTGAGGGAGACGAGTATGCTGACTGACGCCAGAACGAGAAAGTGAAGGAGCTCGGAATGAGCCTCCATGGTTGCTGTGCTATGTTGGGGCGATGATTTGGGGGAAAGAGCGACAGCCTCAAGAGAAGGCGTCGGGTTCACTCACTTGAAAAGTGCAGTCAAGTGAATAGGGAAAGAGCGGGTGAAAGCAGCATCGAGGGAATTCCGGAATGTGTGTGAAGTGGATGACTTTTGTGTTCCTTTATCTGTCTAAGGGGTGATTCGTCTCCATACGAAGTGATTCGAATGTGTGTAGCTGAACTACCAATGCACAAGTCGTGACTTTGATTTGATTAGGGTATTAGTGGGATCGATCAAGACCCTGAAACTCGAGATTATAGCCACCACAACGGTATGGATACTTTATGTATACTTTGGCACGGTACGTTCTACAGAGGGAAACTTACCACTGTCTGGACAAACTAATTTCTATGTTATGGATCCATCCTCGTCTTTCCTTACGAAGATGGTGATTAGGACTGTGCCACAGGAGCTCAATTTTCGAGAGTTACAATTGATCTGGGTAAGGTTCGATTGATATCGTAACTGGCGGAATGTCAAATCGGAGTCTGGCGTCCTGTCCAGGTTCTGCGGCTCATAGCTTGGGGCTTGGACGCCGGTCATCAACTATGACCGTCCATGCATACTAACGCCATATCTGCAATATATGCAACTGAGTATAATCAGCTCATAAGTACAGTCATGTAACTTCAATAACTTCAAAAATGTAGATGAAGTGTCGTGGTGTTGAGACCGAGACAGACCGACGTGGCCGATAAGCTCAGAAGATCGTCACAGGGATTATGCGGATCACCTCGACTTGGCGTCATCATCCTTTGACACGGTTCAGGCGGCTTCCTGTCAAGAACGGACAACGCCACCCTCTCCTCTCATGTTTCGACCGCACACCTCGCTCCTTGGTGCCTAATGGATCATGCCCCCCGTCGTTCCCCGCAAGCGCACGCGTTCTACCTCTCCGGCACCTGCAGCCTCGAAAAGGCGTGGCAAACGGACTGTCTTTGACGCGCTAGACGCGACTTCCAGTACCACGGTTGATGCACAGGACAAAGCATTTTTAGACGCGTTAGGGGGTGAAGACAGCGACAGCGACCTTAGCGATGCGGAGAGCGATGAATTCGAGGACGCGTTACCTAACAAGGCAAAGGGCAAAAGCGGACAGCTCGCTGATCAAGATGAGGACGAAGATGAGGATGAAATGGACTGGGAAGATGCGCTGCCAGCACAAACCGACACTACTACCACACCATATGATGATAGTCCCCATCGCAAGCATGCGCCATGGAGGAGACAAGAGCCCGACGCATCCGACGTTCTCGAAGTCACTCTCGGCGAACCCTCCAATGATGATGACACCTTAGCTCAAGCCGCCCTAGGCCCAAAGGGTGCCTCAAAGAAAGATCGCCAAATGCGAATCGCGACACACTGCGTTCACGTTCAATTGCTACTCTTCCATAACCTCACAAGGAACGGCTGGATATGCAATAAAGAAGTTCATAAGATATTGGTAGAACAATTGACAGACGGTGTGAAGAAAGAAGTTCAACGCTGGAGGAGAGACAGCGGTTTGCCTCCGGACGAGTCTTTGGAGACTGAAGATGACAGAAAAGCAAAACGAAAAGCTGCGCGCGCAAAGGCAAAAGGAAAGAATCCCGCACCAAGGCGGGCGGATAGTAATCAGCGCGATTGGGGTGGCACAGCTGAGAGGACAGAAAATCGCGTCCCCAATCTTAGCGCCGGTGATCCTCTGCTTAAACTACTCAAGTATCTTGCGGCATACTGGAAGAAGCGCTTTCGGATTACGGCGCCGGGCCTACGTAAACGTGGATATATGCCCTCGATCAAGGCATTAACAACAGAAGTGAAGGCTTTTGAAAATACGAGTAATTCGGCGTCCAAAAACAAGGGAGATGGGAAACTTACTGGAGAAGACATTGAGAGATTCGGCGAGCAAATTCGAAATGTCGAGGAATTCAAAGATGCTGCGCGGAAGTGTGAAGGTAGCAGAGACGTTGGCGCCCAGCTCTTCACAGCACTCTTGAGGGGTCTGGGGTTGGAGTCTCGGATGGTTGCTAGTCTACAGCCCACGGGTTTTGGTTGGGGAAAAGTGGAAGAAGCAACGGCAAAGAAGTCTCAAACAGATCAGGCTAAAGCCAACGATGCGGACTCTGGTGGCTTTGTGAAGTCCCCAGGGACTACAAAGCCCTCATCTACCAAGCAGCAGCCTCAAGCAAAACCCGAAAAGCCAATTAGGGCATCGAACAAGCGCACTTCAAACCGGACATCCGGCTCTAAAGCTACACCAATCGACCTTGACGATGATAGCGATAGTGAGCTTAGCTCAGCGCCGGAGGACTTGTCGGATGCATCTGTCGTGGACATCACGCCATCAACTCAAACCCCTCGCCTGCCAAACAAAAGTTATGATGCGGATCTTCCTTTCCCTACTTATTGGTCAGAAGTTCTCTCACCTATAACCCAAACATGGGTTGCTGTCTCTCCGCTAGTCATCTCGACTGTTGCTAGCACGCCTGAGCTTTTGTCCTCTTTTGAACCTCGCGGTGCTGCTGCGGAGAAAGCTAAGCAGGTAATCTGCTACGTTGTGGCCTACTCAGCCGACGGCACCGCAAAGGACGTTACTGTGCGTTATCTCAGGAAGCGCATATGGCCTGGCAAAACTAAAAGTTTCCGATTACCAGTGGAGAAAGTTCCAATCTACAACAGCCGTGGCAAGGTAAAGAGATATGAGGAATTTGATTGGTTCAAATCCGTTATACGATGTTATGCGCGTGATGGACGGAAACGTACTCAAGCTGATGAAATTGAGGACGAGGGCGATCTAGTACCAGTGAAACCTTCAGCATCCAAGAAGAAAGATGATGCCGAACCAGAGACACTGCAAGGCTACAAGAGCTCGGCCAAGTATGTTCTAGAACGACATCTTCGGCGCGAAGAGGCAATACTTCCAGAGGGCAAGCCTGTCAAGACTTTTACAACCGGGAAGGGAGCCAAAGCCACCGCTGAGCCCGTTTATCGGCGCGAGGACGTCGTGCCATGCAAAACAGCCGAGTCATGGCACAAAGAAGGTCGACAAATTGTGCCAAATACGCAGCCTCTCAAGCGGGTGCCTATGCGAGCAGTGACCCTTATCCGCAAGCGCGAGATTGAAGAGGCGGAGCGCGAAACGGGAGAGAAAGCGTTGCAAGGGTTATATGCCGAATTCCAGACCGAATGGATCATTCCCCCACCCATCCAGGATGGTAAGATTCCAAAGAACGCGTACGGCAACATTGACGTCTACGTTCCAAGTATGGTACCGGAAGGTGCGGTACATGTTCCGCTGCGAGGGACTGGAAAACTCTGCCGGAAGTTGGGTATCGACTATGCTGAGGCGTGCACTGGCTTTGAGTTTGGTAATCGGCGCGCAGTGCCTATTCTTACGGGGGTGGTGGTTGCATCCGAGAATGGCGACTTGGTGAGAGAGGCATGGCGCGAAGAGAAGCGTGCGCAACGCGAGAAGGAGGATAAGAAGCGTCAGACGCTGGCACTGACTACGTGGAAACGCTTCCTGACGGGACTACGCATCATGGAGAGAGTCAAGGCGGATTACCGGGCTGAGGGTATGGAAAAGATGCCTGAGTCTGAGAATCCATTTGCGAAGAAAAAGAGAGCGAACGAGGTGGGAAATACGTTTGTTAAGAAGACGGATGACATAGACGAAGAGGAAGAGATGGGTGGCGGCTTTCTACCTGATGAATACGAGGATGGAGCAGATATTGGGGGTGGAGGATTCTTCCCGCCTGGTTATGATGAGGAGGAAGCTACACAAGGTGGCGGATTCTCCCACTCTGGTCCCGATGAGGAAGATGTCGGTGAAGGGAGCTTCTTGCGTGATGGCCATGAGAGCGCTGATGAGGGCGGCGGGTTCATTATCGACCATGGTTCGCAGGATGCCAAGCCCGCGTCAAACCTACAGCATCTTTCTACAACCGGGAACGGAGGGGACGCTCCATTCTCACTCTCATCGCTACACCAGAGCGCGCCGGAACCTGCCTCGAAGGATGGCAGTCTCGTCGATGATGCGGGGCAGAACGGTGAGGAAGAGCAAGAACATGAGAGTGACGAACAACAAGAGTCGGCTACTACTCCCAGTTTACGGGGTAGACGAGGCCGTGGTAGAGGCCGGGCCACCCAAGCAAAGAAGCCAGCGACCTCAAGAAAAGCCGCCTCCGCCAAGGTGACAAGGAAGCAGAAGAAGCCCTCCAGTGACACCGAAGACTCCGCTCTCTCAGAAGAAGGTGAAGATGAAGATGAAGATGAGCAGTCTTCTCTTCCTTCGGACGCACCATCAGCCAGTGAAGCAGAACAATCCGACTCTCACCCCACTTCCGACCATGGAGGAGAGGGTGCCGAAGAAAGCCAGAAAAGCGAATCGGAAACACAAGAGCCTGCAAAAACTCCTCGTGGCCGCCCAAAGCGCCAGGCGGCTAGTCGCAGTGCGAAAGCTGTTCGCAGCCATTATTTCAGCAACGACAGCGCGGACGAGACCGATGGCGTTGAAGCTACGCCAGCGAAGAAGGGCGCGGAGAGAGGTAGAGGAAGGGGAAGAGGACGTCCACGCGGACGGGGGCGTGGACGTGGTAGAGGGAAGATTTGAGTGAGTGGTTGTACATACTAGGGTCGGCTAAGTGGTTAACTGGTAGCTATGCTCGATACCCAAGGGAGGCTTAGTACTGCTAAATTCAAGTGTGGATACTTTTAAATACCGATAGTACATAACGAACATGGAGGTGCAGTGAGCCTGGCCTCAGGACATGAACAAGAAAAGGTATGCACAGCAAGCATAACCTTCATCGGCAAACCTCTCACTGTGAAACAGTATAAACAAACAGCAACCAAACAATCATCACGAGGTAAAAGCAACAGTTCCCCGTGACCCCATCCAACAATCATCCCAGAAGCTGCAAACACCCTCCAAGGCACATAAAAGCGCAGCTCCCGCACCCACTCCCAATTCCTGCTCCAGAAAAGCCATCCGTCATCATCAACCTCACACACCACATCAAATCACAACCACAAACCACAAAAACCGTCCACCACCAAAACAACCACCAAAACAAAAACACGCCATGCCCATCCCCCACGACAACGGCATCGACCCCGCATCAGCAGACCCGCTCTGGCCATTCCGGACAATAGCGCCATCGGGGTCAAACTGTTGGGCCTACGAAACAGTGCGATACGACAACGGGCTGTATTTTCTGCGGATGACGGTGATGGCGCGCGTGCCAAGGTGAGGAAAGGGTGTTTTGAAACTATCTAAAGAGATTTGTGGATGTTGCTTTTAGGGAGTAAGAGCGTGGTGGCATGGCGGAGCTTTTTGGGAGGAATGGTGAGGGAAGGGAGCGGGCTTGACATGGGAGGGGAGGGGAGCGGTGGGGTTCAGTAGCTTAGTGGAGGGGAGAGGGCGTGTTGCGGTGTATGTACAATGCAATATCCACCGCTATGGAATTTCTTTCGATAACACATACTGTTATGTTGTGGACTGTTTTTCTGGACAAGACCGTTTACATTGAACATGTATTTATGTCTTTAGCTTTCACTTCGTGCGAGCATGGCCTTACACCCAGATTTCCTACAAGGAGCCTATCAGAACCATACAAAGTGGACAGCATTGGGGCTCCAGGTATAAAAAACACTCACGTTATTATCCCAGATGCAATAGGTCTGTCATATCTTCCCAGAGCTTAGTTGTGTATGAAATCCCGCATCACCATTCCAAACGTATGCGGATCTGCACTATAAGCATGCGGAGATCTATATCATCTACAAATGCTCGTATATACAGTCAGTCTTTCAGAGATCTCCGAGCCGAACACGTGATCGAGGTCGAACATTTCATCGACATATTCCTCATTGTAGTGTGCAACCGCCGACTTTCATTCCCGCTGAATTGTCCGGTTGTGTCCTGGTGACTGAGACCTATCTCCCTCCTTGGGCATCGTGTGTGTGTTAGGCTACACGAAGGTGGTTAGTATATATATACCCCTAAACGCGCTCCCGGCTCTACCTATCTCACCCTCCTATACATACATACATCTCTACCTTTCCAGCGAACCCACAAACATTACTAGGCAGCCATTTAGCTACCTATCCAGCAACTCGATCATCCATTCGAGCTACTAGCTTCTAACCCTCTCCTAATCTAAAATGCTAAAAACACGCAGATAAAGCTATAATAATAAAGCTAGTGTAGTATAGTATAGTAGCAGCGGCGTAAGATATTACCTATTATTACTATAAGAAAACGATAGACCCCTTCTTATTATACTTCTTATAGATATAAAACTGTATAGTATATACCGTATTAAATAAAAGGCTGCGCCCCTATAGGGGATAACTCTAGTTATATCTCTCTAATTCTCTATATCCGTTAGATAGATAACGGCTAGTACCGCTAGAGCCTAGGGACTAAGAATTAGAGCCTACGTATATAGAGAATGAGGGCGTTTTTTAAGGTGCGCGATAGTAGCATGCGCAATTTGAAAGAGATACATGTAAAGGAAGAGGGGTTACATGTGTATAGCCTTTAGGCTGCGCGGTTGAAAAGAGGGGAGAATAAATAAGTGGCGTGGTACACGACCACTCGAAAACCGCAGACCCCACTGCACAGCAGAGCACAGCACTCAATGGCGAACGAACCAGGAGATGAAAGAAGTATATGAGATATCATATCGTATTCATATTCATATCGTTCATAGCAGCAGCAGCAAGCAGCATCAGCAGCACTCACTCCACACCCGCCAACCAACGCACCATGCACCATGCACCCATCCACCAACCAACCCACCCACCAACGCACACACGCACGCAACCCACTCCCCCCACCCGTTCCCCCACCAAACACCTAGCACCAAGCCAGCCCCTCAGCCCGCACATACGCACGCCCCGCACGCACGCACGAGCGCAACCGCTCGCCCCGCCGCCAACCCTCCCAGCCCAGCCCAGCCCAGTCCGTCAAAGAGAAGCAAAATAGAGCCAAAGAGAAGCACGCGCCGATAAAAGGGGGTATAAGTAAACACGCGCCAGCCAGCCGCGCCACAGATATCGCGCCGCTCGAACGCGTCCGAAGAGAAAGAAGGAAACCTAAGGGCCTACGGCGGGTCAAGGAAGGAGAAAGCGGGGCAATAGAGAGGAAGGGTGTGCGAGAGCCTGGTGGAGCTGACTATGGGGTGGGAAAAGGCCATGTCGAAGTATGCATGCAAGCTTGTATGCAAGCAAGCAAGCCAACTAGTAGAGAGGGGGAGAATAGCAAACGACGGGCCGTAGCGCGAAGAAAGACGGAATGAAGGAAGGAGATGCGTACGCAGACGAAAAGATAAAGAGAAAAAAAAGCATATTGAAAGCCGCATACCAAGCGCGACGCGACCCATGGCAGCCGCCCAGAAGTGGCCAAAACTGGTCCTCCCGCCCTACTCTGCCGCCCCAACAATGGAATCCAGACTATGCCGCGCCGTGTCGTGCCAAACCGTAAGCCGTAAGCCGTGAACCGTGACATCGTAGCGCCGTCCCAAGAAACGCCGCATTCATTGTGTTGCGCGTCCTGCGCACCCCAGAGATAGAGAGAGAATAAACTGCCCCACAGGGACGCATTGTCATTCCCCTCTCACTCATCCCACGCGAAATCTGCCTCATCGACCCTCGTGCAGGTCAAATACGGCAAGACGGCGCCGCCACCACCGACGCCGTCACGCGTGAGGTCGAGCTCTAGGAAATTGCGCATAAGGGGCGCCACGGCGGCCTGGGCTAGGTTCTTGAGCTCCTCGACACGCCGCTCGAAACGGCGCATGTTGTCGCGCGTGTAGAACTCGGCGTTCAGCTTGAGGAAGCGCTTCAGCTCATCGTGGCCCAGATACGCTCCGCCGCCTTGTCCGATCAGTCGGAAGATCCGGCCCGTGTTCGGCGGCGGTGGCGGCGGGTCTTGCCCACCTGATGCTGAGCCCGTCGCGCTGCGGTTGCTGCTCGGCGCGCCCACCATGCTGCGGTGTCGTGCCGATGTATCTTTCAGTATCGATGTCGTCGGTCGTGACGTGTTTTCCGTGAGCCATTGTCGGAAAAGGCACATGGCCATCCAGTCGAGGAATCCGTTGCTGGGGGTGATGCGTTCGCCGCGCGTGGTTGTGAGGGTGAGTTTGTAGAGTTTGTTTTCAATCTTCGTCTTCAGGTCTTCCAGCTCGTCGGCCTTGTCCTCTATTACTTCCATAACGCCTTCGCCAATCTGGCCGCGCAATTGATTGGCGCCGACCGGCCACTGTCCGACAACGTGGATCAGAGCTTCTTTGTAAATGACTCGGCTCCTGGCGAGGTAGCCAAGCTTGAGGTACGATTGAGGGTATTTTGCGATTTGCTTGAACAGTCGGCCTTGGAACCTGAGAAGGTGGTGGTCGACGCGGGGTCCGATGACTTCGAGAGCGTCGTACATGTCGGCAAGCTGCAGAAGCGTCTTGCACTCGACGTACGCCTGGGCAATGTTGACCGAGTCCAGAGCGGGAGGATAGTTGTAGAATATGCGGAAGAGGTTTGCGTAGTCGCGGAATATGTCGTCATCGGGTCCATGCGTTGCAACGCCGGATGTGTGCGTGATGTGAAGAGCCGAGAAGTTGGTCATGGTGCGAAAGAAGCCGGCGCTCGGCGCCGTGGGTTTGTTGTGGATGGGCGGTGGAAGAGGAGCGCGGTCACCGCCAAAGGGAGCGGGAGAGGCCTCCTGCATTGTCGTTGTCAGGCAACCGGTCGTGTAGGCACGAGAGGGCAGGATGCAACGCACCTTTTGCACCAACATGGGCAGCTCATCGCCGTTTTCTCCCCAGTCCAGTTCGTAGCGCCATCGTCTCCGGCGGCCCGCGTCGTCGGTGGGTGGCAGGCGAGCGAGAGCCCCGCCGCTGGGGTGCGCGCTGCCGTCGGTCTGCGTTCTGCTCCAACCTTGGGCCGTGTCGGCCTCAAAGAATCCGCTGCATTGGGACAGGATCAACCTGTGCAGGACGTATCGCTCCTCTCTGCGCGGGGTCGCGTTCGCGCCCGCATACGCGCCGGCGGTGGTCGCGGGCAATCGGCCGGCGCGGGGACTCGAGGTGATGACAATCTCGACATCACCAGTCTGCGAAAAGACTGTTCTCGCGGTTAGTTGTCGCGTCGGGACGCGCGTGGATGGCGGGCGTACCTGGGAACTCGTTCAAGGGCTGGTAGGAGGAGCCGCCGGTGTGGGAGCGCAGGCGGTGTCGCCTGGTCGAGGTGGAGATGGAAGAGGCTGGGCGGCGAGCAAGAGAACGGTCACCGGCGACCGTCTCAGGATACGAGACCATGGCGAGGCAGTGTGCTGCCCTAGAGGCAGGCGGGCTCAAGCATGCGGGGAGACGAGGAGGAGGAGCAGGATTGAGAGAAGGGTGAGGGCGGTGGATGTCTGAGGTGTCGAGGACGCCGGCGGGCGGCTGGGATGAGCTTGTTTGGCGGGCGGCCGATCAGCAATCAGCAACGGCAGCAAGAGAAAAGCGCCACGTTTAAAGGGTATTTCTGCAAAGGCACGCTTCGAGTCGCGCAGGTCAGCCAGTCGCGACCGCTGCAAGCGCCAAGGGAAACAACGCATCCAGCAGCTCGAGCTGGCAGCGGCACGTCTGCATTGCTCCGGCTTTGTCTGCCTCTCTACATTGGCCCAAGCGTGCGCCGAGTTGATGGTTCTGCGACCAATCGAGCCGTTGCCAGCCCACCGTGCTGCTACGGCCCGACCCAAGACTACCCACGCCGCCAATCACTCCAACGCCCCAAACTCGCCCCAGCATTTCTGCCGTCCTGTCTCGATTCGCCTAACTCCCGAAACCGCTCTCACGCCCGCTTGCGCTCAATCGCCTCCATGCCCCCCATCCACGGCCGCAGCACCGACGGGATCGTCACCTTCATCGACGCCTCGTCCCAATTGTTCTCCAGAATCGCCGCCAGCACCCGCGGCACCGCCAGCGCCGTACCGTTCAGCGTGTGAGGGAAGTCAAGCTTCCGCCCAAGCTTCTCCAGCCGCACCCTGGTCTGCAGACGCCGGCTCTGGTAGTCGGTGCAGACTGACGTCGACGTCACCTCGCCCCAGCCATTGTCTCTGTCGCGCCGCGATGGGAAGTACGCCTCAATGTCTCGCTTCCTCGTCGCGCTTGCCCCGAGGTCCGTCGAGGGCATCTCGAGGATGCGACAATGCAAACCGAGCGACTCGAGAATCTCGCGCTGAATGTCGAGCATTTCGTCGAAAATGGCCTCGGAATGGACGCTGTTTTCGGTAGCAAAGTTCTCGCCCTCGGACAGGTCCGGCAACGTCCACGCAAACATTTCGACTTTTGTGAACTCGTGCACTCTGTAGAGGCCCTTGGTGTCAACTCCTCTTGCGCCAGCCTCCGCGCGGTAGCACCTGTTGACACCGATCAGCTTCAGAGGAAGATCTGCGTCTGAGAGGATTTGGCCAGCCTTCAATCCCGCCAGAGGGATCTCGGCAGTGCCAGCAAGTACTAGCGACGGCTTCCCCTTGTCCTTCTCAGCCTGCTGCAGCGCGTAGATCTGCTGTTCGTCATTCTGGTCCCTGGGCTGGAAGCCGCACGCCGCAGCAATGTGCGAGTAGACGATTGACGGCGGTGACACGGCCATCCAGCCTCTTTTCCGCGCAACGCTCAAGGCGTACTGAATGAGAGCTTGCTCCATCAGAGCAGCCTCATTCATGAGGTAGTACCAGCCCCAACCCGAGGTTGTGGCAGCGCCCGCAAAGTCCAGCAGCCCCAGCTCAGACCCAATGTGCACGTGCGACCTCCAGACGCGGTCCGAGGATGACGGCTCGGGCTCGGGGTGGTCGTTGATGTACCCGATGACCTCGGCTTCAGTGCCGATGGGGGTGAAGCGGCTGCTGAGGTTCGGCAGCTCCAAGGCCAGGTTCGCCATTTGCTCCTCGAGCTCCTTCTCTTGGTCCTCAATGCCACTAAGCTCCTTCTTGATCTCTCTGCCCTCGGCCTGCAGCGCCGTTTTGTCCATGGTGATTGCGCCTTCAGCATCACCGCTGAGTGAAGCAGCATTCGCGAGCTTACGGCGCAGCGCATTGCCTCGTTCGCGCAGGTCGCGCGCGCTGACCTGGCAGTCCTTCCATTTCTCGTAGAGTTCGATGATGGTCCATGAGTTCTTGCTTTGCGCCCTGTAGTTGCGATCGATGCAGTTTTGCTCGTAGAGGCCTGGGTTCTGGCGGACATGCTTGACGTCGAGCTGCGGCTTGGGCGCGGATGGGGGCCGGGAGTAAGCGCGGCGCAGAGGGGAGCCGGTCAGGGAGCGCAGGACGCGCGAGCGGCAGGATGCGCAGGCGAGGAAGGAGGTTTGGGTGCGCTTCATGGTGTTGCGGTGGTGGAGAGGTGATCGCAGCGATCGGATGGGGCGAGGGCTGCAATGCGACTTTTGCTTTTGCGGCGGAGGGCCAGCTCCCGCCGCTGAGCGGGGGTCGCGGGGACGGCCGGCTGGCTACCTCCGTCTGACATACATATCCTTCCCTCCCACGCCACATGCACATGTCTTCTCCGCACCACTCCAGAAAACGCGGCTCCGAGGCGCTTGATTCCCCGCTCGACGATGCAGCAGCTTCTCCGCCCAAGCGGCGCTGCGACAGTGCTGCCTATGTGCACAAAGCATATCGGCCGCGCGTGCGTCATCCCAACCATCCCGACTGCGGCATAGGCCAGAATTTCCACAGTCTCAATTACCCCTTGTCCCTGATGCCCTACAGCTCATGGCACGTGCTGCATCACCGCGCCAGCGACCGGCGCCCGGAGCACCGCCTCAAGTGTCCGCTCTGCCGCCGAGACAGCGCGGAGCCGACTGCCCACCGGCGGAAGCTGTTCCTGGTCGCGGAGCGGCTCTCGTGGGAAGACGGGCTGGTGCCGCGCGCCGAGCGCGAGCTGAACGAGGAGCTGACCTGGGAAGTGAACTACTGTCTCGGGCTGCACGAGCCCGCCATCGAAGACCCGGACCACGTCCCCGGCGGGAGGCTGTCTCGCCTTAACCAATGGCACCCTTTTGCCGATGAGGACGATTGCGTCGCGACGCTCAAGCTGGTCGCCTCCGCCGACTGCCTCACCCAGAAGTCTTGGACCGTGTGGTCCAACTTGGTCGGCTCCCTGCGTGAATCCCAGACGGCGGACCCGCTTTCCGCTTCTAGCAAGCAGTATACAGGCGCGTACAAGAGCCGTTACCTCCCCACGCCCCCGTCCTCTCTCCGCTTCGTCTTGAACGATTCCTCGCCCCCGCCTGCGTCGCCTCCGCGCTTGCGCACCTTGCAAGAGTTCTATGCCCTCCTCGACTCCATCGAGCGGTCCTCGTTCGTGGGCGCCCAGTTCCTGGAGGCTTACGCCGAACAGTTACGGGACGACCTGTGCAATGATTGCTGGTTTAAGCACAACATCCTGCCTGGGCCACCGTCGCCGTAGGCCCGTATGCCCTTCACTGTAAGGAAAACAGCTCAATTCAGTTCAAACCGCAAAGCCAGCACATTAAAATATAGCTAGCGGGGCAAGCCTAGCCCAGCCATCTGCGCCATTCCATTTAGCAAAGAGATATCCAACAGCATTGCTACCCAAGCCACAACCATTATTAGCATTATCATCACATCAAGCCACTTTCCCAACCCGCCCCTCGGCCCATCTCGCTTATGCGGGCACTTACCATCCCCACCCGTCCAGATGGCATAGCATACCCCAGCCAAGCGCGCAGCAAGAGCGGGCCTCGGGCGTCTCTACCCTGGCCAGTGTAGCTGTCTCCCAGCCAGCCGCCACATATCGCACGCGGGACGGAAGCGCAGTGGTACGAGGTAGCGAGGAGCGAGTAGTGAGCAGTGCCGCAGGGAGGTGGTCTAGCTGGCTTAGCGTGGGCACCGGGACGGGGAGGGCGCAGCGCGTGGATAGGCATGCGGGCGTCGGGTATGCGGGCGTCAGTGTCAAGACAAGACAGGACAGCAACAGCGACAGCGATACCGCCACTGCGACTGCGACTACGATTACGACTACAGCTTCTACCAGGGGAAGCAGCGCGGCGGCGACGGCGTTAGGTGTGCGGGGTGGCGTTGGGGGTGGGGTCGAGTGGGTAAAGGGAGTTTGGAGTTCGGGTTTGTGGGGTTTGTGGAGTTGTGGAGTTGTGTTTGGTAGCTAGGTGCCTACCTACCTCCAGTAAGTAGAGAGAGAGGAAGGAAGGGAGGCCAAATGGGGAGTCGGGGTGGGGTAGCGGAAGCAGTAAGGTATGGTTACCACATATATCCGGCAGGATTGCGTACCTAGGTAGGTAGTTTTTCGCCCACTTAACCTACCCCTGCAGAGAGAGAAGGCTTGTGCACGTCGTTTTGAGAGGCAGAAGAAGCTGCTGCCAGCCTAGGTAGCGCAGACGCTGGGGGTAGGTATGTAGGTACCCGAGTATTTTCACAGAAGCGCAAAGAAAGGTACACTGAGTCCTCACTCACACACTCTCGCTCACGCTCACTCACGCTCGCCCCCTCACTCAGCAAAGACAGATGCATTAGCAGCAGTAGCTATATACAGAGCAGCCAGACCAAAGCAGCCCAGCGCCCGCGGCACGCTGGCACCGCGTCTGCCTACATTGCATCAAGCCGCTCCTTCATCTCGTGCTTTACAGAGCCCTGCATTGCATACAGCGCATCCCAGCCGGGATATCCGACATACATCGTCTGCTCCCTCGTACGTGCGTGCGTGCCGATCGTTTGTTCTGCGCGCGCCCTCGGCGCCGCTACTGCTTCTTGTCTGCTTCTTTGAGGAAGTCGCTGCGGGGCGTGCGTTAGCGGGGGGTTCTCGTGCGGCGGTGATTGAGGAGTAAGGGGGGGTGTCATGGTGGGCGCGGGCGCAGGCGCGTCGCGCTGTCTTTGCCCAAGTTTATTTGCGCGGTCCGCGAGCGGCGGCCGGGCGCGGAAGAGATGGGAGGGGAGGGACAGGGCCGTACGTTATAAAGTTCTCCTCATCCTTGCTCGAGGCGTTCAGCGGCGGCGTGGCCTGCAGCTCCTTCTTCTTGCTGCCGCCGGTCGCGAGGCTGATGCCACCGATGACGGAGCCGAGGATGCCCATGGCGAGCTGTCGGGGCGGGCAAAGACGCAAAAATCAGCTTATTTCCTTTCTTCCTTTTCCATCGGCGGGAAGCTCGGGGATGAGAATGGCAAGGGACGGGTCAATTGGGCGGGGCAGCAGCAATTGCATTGATTGAGCGACGGGCAAGAGAGAGAGAGTGTGTGTGTGTGTGTGAGAGAGAGGACGGGACAGGGTAAGCTGGGGCGGGGGGAAGGCGTACGACGTGCGAGCCGACCTTGCGGCCGGCAATCTGGTAGTAGACAACCATGATTGATGTGCGGAGGCGATGGAGCGGGACGAGGTCGTGGTGCGTTAGGTTGGGTTGGGCGGCGTCTGCTGCTTGCTTGGCTGGCTTGCTCTGCGGTTGCGCGAACGAGGTCTGTTCCGCTCGGCCTGGGCTGACTAAGTGAGGTAGAGCTCACCAGCCACACACGGGGCGGTGCAGGCGAGAGGCGGGCCCCGATCTTATCAGCCCGCGCTCCGCCGGCGACGTCACTGTCATCGTCTTTCCCGTCATTTCGACGCCCCCGGAGGAGGCGGCGCGCGGAACTTGGCCGCCTGATTGGACTTGTTGACTTCCGGTACCGTCCGCTGCCCTAGTCTGCGTAACTTTATCTCGGCTCTGTCACTTTCTTTCTTTTTCCTTGACTGTCACACTGTCGCCTGCCTATCCATTCCGTCTCTCTGTCTGTCTGTCTGCCTGTTTGAACTATCGAAAGAGAAGAAGAAGAAGAAGAAGAAGAAGAAGAAGAAGAAGAAGAAGAAGAAGAAGCAAGGCGCTACTCCTCCACCATGGCGAAAGATAACCCCGCAGACGACATCCCCCGCGAGCGCAACGAGCCGCGCCCCGACTTCAGCATACCCCCGCCGCGCAAGCCGCTCCCCAAAGCGCTGCAAGAGACGCTGGACAGCGAAGAGAAGCTCTGGGCCGCCATGTACGACGGGACGTAAGTAACGCGCTCACCAGCACCACCACCACCAGCCAAGCAAGCAACGCGCGCAGACTAACACCACGCTCCTCCACACAGCTCCGGCGAGTCCACCGACTCCCCCATCCGCTACGCCGCCTACGCCTCCCGCATCCGCACCATCCTCCTCTCCGCCCACCGCTACGTCGCCTACACGTCCGACGTCGGCGAGTCCTTCCGCCCCGTCGCGCACCCCCACCTCGTGCGCGCCGCGTACGGCGTCTCCTGGGCGTACCTGCTCGGCGACGTCGCGCACGAAGGCTACAAGGCGTACGTGCGGAACCAGCGGGTGCTGCACCCGGAGGGCCCAACACCAAAACTCACACCCACAACATCCAGCACCGGTAGCAGCAACAGCAGCAGCGGCGCTAAGTCCGCTGCGGGCGTCACTGCTAGGCTGGTCGGGAAAGACGACGCCGTGCCCAGCGCCGCGGAGCAGAAGTCCCTGGGCCCGAGCACCAGCGCGCAGGACGCCGCGCACGTGCCGGCGCTCGAGGACTACCGCTCCGTCATGGCGCAGCGCGCCCTCTTCCAGGGCGTGGCGAGTATGGGCCTGCCCGCGCTCACGATCCACAGCGTCGTCAAGCACTCCGGGACGTATTTCCGGCGACATGTCAAGAACGCGCGGGTGCGGACTTGGGGACCTATTGGTGTAAGCACTCCTGCACTCCTACACTCCTACTTTCTACACCCCTACACTCCCCCCACCAGCAAAACCCCCACTAACTCCACACCAGCTCGGCCTCGCAGTCGTGCCCTTCCTGCCCTACATCTTCGACGCGCCCGTCGAGCACGCCGTCGAGTTCGTCTTCCACAAGGGCTTTGCAGCGATTGGGGGTCCTGGGGCCGTGGGCGCGCGGCCAGAGACTGGGCGCCAGGAATTGCGGCAGGTGGAGGCGAAGGCGGGGAAGGAGAAGGAGAAGGAGCTGTGATTTGGGGGGAGGGAAGTAGGAGGGGGGGAGAGGAGAGAAAAGAGCGTGGAAAGCACGCTGTGTATAACATTACCTACATGTAGATTACAACAAGACAAGACTCCGCTAACCCAAACCTAATCTCCCAACCTAATAACCACAACAACCTCAACCCCCTCAACCCCCTCACTGCACAAACAACCAACCAACCAACCAAGCTTTCCTCTCAGCCACAGCCGCAGCCAAGCACCGAAAACCCCAACAGCTAAAAGCACAAAAAAGCACAAATAATAAACAATAAAAAAAGAATCCAAAAAATAATAAATATATAAGAGAAATCTAGGCCCAGCACATAAATCAATGATAACACCTATGTGAACCGCATACAAAAGCAACAAGACAAGGCCAGTAGATGTATGCCGCACCGCACCGCACGCTCAAATCACACCCCCACAACAAGCACAAACCGAGCACAAACGCACAAACGCTCAAACACTCGGCTCAATCGCCCTTCCCGCCCTTGACCCCACTGCCGCCTGCGCCTCTCCGCCGCATACTCTCCGCTCCACTCCCGCTCCAGCCCTCACTCTCCGTCCTGCTGCGCCCCCTGCCCTCACCCGCACCACCACCGCCCCTCCGCCCCCGGTCCTCCTCATCGTCGCCCACCTCAAAAGCCTTATCCCGCAACTCAATCACATCGACCACATCCGCGCCACCAGCACTCAGTCCCAACCCAGCCATCCCACCACCGGCACCATTCCCCAGCCCCACCGTCCCCCCACCCCCAATCGTATTCCGTTTCGCGCTGCGCGAGCGCGCGCCCCTACTCGCGCCACGGCCGCCGCCAAACCCCCCCGGCGAGAGCGAGCCCGGCGCCCCTGGCCCGGCAGGCGGCACCAGCGCCGAGGCTTTGCTCGCCATCTTGCGCATCCAGGACTCGACGGCGCCGCCAATCTGCTCGATATCGAAGCCTGCATTAGCACCGGTGCCAGACTGGCCAGCGGTGCTGCCGCCCACGCCGCCCACACCAACAGGGGTGGCGCCCGCGCTGCCGTCGCCCGCTTCGGCGAGGTGGGCCGGGTTCCATGCGCCGAAGTAGTCCTTGCCCGGCGGCGGGGCCAGCGACGGCAGGTGCTGCGAGAAGAGCTTGTTCAGTCCGTCTTGCGCGGGGCCCGGCTTGCGCACGTTTTTGCCAAACGTGCCGACGCCGCCTGGGCCCGAGAGCTGGAAGCTCTGGCTGATGCTGGGGGCGCGGGGGCGGGGGCCGTGGCTGCCGCTGCCGCCGGAGCGGCGCGGGAGGCTGTTGTGTGGGGAGGCGGTGGTCGCTGATGAGGACTGCGTGTCTGTGCGGTGCAGGTCGAGGGACGTGTTGGTTGTCGAGGCGGCCGAGAGCGGCGCGTCGTCGGAGAAGGTGAGGCTCTTCCGCCTGGCGGGCGGGAAGAAGCCCAGGTCTTTGCGGGGGAGTCGCGCGATTTCGACCGGGTCCCCGCTGTGTGGTAGCTGCACCCACGAGTCGTGCTTCCAGGGCGGCTCGTTGTCTTTGTGGTCGGCCGTGTCTGAGACGGCCGACGTGGGCTTGTGGAAGTGGTGGTGCCAGCCGTTGGTGTTGGGCAGGCTGTGGGCGTGGATGGGCGGGTACTCTGCGCCGGGCGTGGGCGAGTCCAGCAGGAGGTCGTCCATTTCGTCTTCGGGTGGTTGATGTTGTTGCTGTTGCTGTTGCTGTTGCTGCTGCTGTTGCTGCTTCTGCTGCTCGTCTGGCGGCGGGACGGGCCGGCCTTTCACGGCGCATGCGTCGACGGGCAGCACGAGGTGGCGCCGCGTTTGCACGCTGTCCTGAGCCCACATGCGGTTGGTCTTGCGCAGCACAGCCGGGTTGCAGCTGTACTTGATGCTGATGCCGGCGAGGGTATCCTCGGGCCGCACGCGGTGAATGTAGACAAGGGCATCGCGATCGTCGTGCTCGGTGGGTGGTGCCGATGAGGAAATCCTCTCGTCCGAGTTGCGGCGCTTGAAGCGGCCCAGCGAGTCGGCCTGCAGCTCGCCGTTGGCGTCGAGCAGGTCGCGCCGCTTCATGGCCCGCACCAGGCTCTCGCGCTCGCCCTTGGAGCCGGCGCCAATCTGCGTCTCCTCGCGGCCAGCGGGCCCCCATTGGGCCGGCGGAGCGCTGCTCGTCGCCTTGCGGTTGTGCGTGGCCTCAAAGGGCCGCCGGCGCCGGGGCGACGCGTCTCTGCTGGCGGCGCTGGCATCGCTGCCCAGCACGTTGGAGGCCAGGCCTTGCAGCGACGTCCACGAGCTGTTCCACAGACTGGCCAGCGGGGCCAGGGCGTCCTCGGCGCCGGCGGAAGGCGTCGCGCTGCGGCTGTCGGGGGATCGTGGGGCGGGCCTTGCGGATGTCGACCGCGAGGGGCCCAGGTTGGGGATGGGCGAGGCGGTGCGCGAGGCTCGCGGCGAGTCTAGGGGTGACGAGGGGGAAAGCAGGCCGTCGGAATCATGGCTGTCGAGGCCGGAGGACACCAAGCGCTTGTTGCGGGGACGGAGCGAGGAGGCGGGAGCGAGATGGGTGCGGGACGACTGCTGCGAGGCATTGGCGGACGGCATGACGATCGTGAAGGGCGGATGACGAGATCAGGGACAGCATCAAGCTTTTCTGCGTTCAAGGCGCCATGAGAGTTGGCTTTTGTGCTTCCGGCGAGGTTGAGGTTCTGACTGGATATGGCTGGATGAAGCTGGGCGACTGCGTTGCCCGTTTCGGCCACGGCCGACGAGAGGCCGACGAAAGAGCCACCTTGTCGTCGTCAGCTCGGCCGCAGATATATCATATTAGGTACAATTCAACCAGTCTAATCTCCGCGCCTCCCACTCCTCTTCCTTCACCAGCACTACTACTCTGCAGCCTCAACTCTGGGACTACTACTACTACTCCTAGTAACTAACCACTTCCCTCCCTCCCGTCCGTCCAACGGCCGCCGAGTTGGTGCGCGAGCGCCCAGCTGAGCCCTGCCCACGCGTCCTGCCGTTGACTAGTACATCATATCTCACCTCACCGTCCATGTAGCGCAACCAACGACAGAACAACCCCGACACCCCACCATTTCTTTATTCAGAATGCCTTCCAGCGAAAGCCCACGCCGCCGCACGCGCTCGCTGCTGCTGCTCCCGCCGCCGCCGTCGCCGCCGACCTTGGCCGCCCTCAAAGCCGCCTACGCCGCAACCCTGCTGACCGCGCTCCGGGAGCTGCAGCGCACCTCGCGCAGCACGCCCGACGCAGCCGCCGCCGTGCTCGAGATCGCGCTGCCCTGCCCGCACCTGTACGGCCGCGAGACGGCCCCGCGCAGCCTGCTCTACCCCCGCACCCAGGCCCTCGTCGCCGGCCTGTACAAGCTGATCTGCGTCATTGCCGCCGCGGACGCGATCGACGTCGAGGACGCCGACGGCGTCGACGCCCGCATCCTCCTGCTCGCGTATCCTAGAGACGGGAACCTGACGCGTGTGGGCGCGGACGGCTCCCCGGAAGCCGATTCCCAGGGCCCGGTCGTGGACGTGGCGACGCTGGCGCGCTGCGGCAGGCCCTGGGAGCGCGTTTTCGCTGTCGAGACGGAGAGCGGCGAGCGCCTGCTCAAGAGCTTCCTGGGCGCCAGCAGCCGCGCGCAGAATGTCCAGCGCCTGCGCGGCGGCATCACGCAGGTGTTTGAGGCGGATGACGGCGCGGCTGTGTCTGCGTCCGCGTCCGAGCCTCGCAAACACTACTCGGTCGCCGTGGGCGGGACGTTCGACCACCTGCACAACGGGCACAAGCTGCTGCTGACCATGACGGCCTTTGCGGTCGAAGCGGCCGCCGCATCCCCCACCACCGAACAAGCGCGCAGCATCACCATCGGCATCACCGGCGACGCACTGCTGCAAAACAAAAAATACGCCGAAGCACTCGAGAGCTGGGCCGAGCGACAAGGCGCCACGTACGACTTCCTGTCCACGATCCTCGACTTCTCCCCCAACAGCACAACCACAACCGAAGAAATCAAAAACCCCGGCCCCAACGGCCACGCAGTCAACGTCACGCTCCCGGCGCGCCTCACCCTCCGCCACGTCGAGATCTGGGACCCCTTCGGCCCGACCATCACCGACGAGAGCATTTCCGCGCTCGTGCTTTCTGGGGAGACGCGCGCGGGGGGCAAGGCGGTCGACGCCAAGAGGCGCGAGAAGGGGTGGCCGGATTTGGAGGTCTTTGAGGTTGATGTTTTGGATGCGTTGGATGGTGGTGAGGGGGCGGGTGGGAAGGTTAACGAGGGAGCGGGTGCGGGTGGGCGGGTTACTGAGGGGGTTGTGGGCGGGCAGGTAAATGAGGAGGGAGCAGGCGTAGAGGGCGCAGTGACGCTGGCTGCTGCCTCTGTTACTCCCACTGCCACTGCCCCTACGCCTGTGGACCAGTCCTTCCATGCCAAGCTCAGCAGTACCGAGATCCGGCGGCTGCAGCTCGAGAAGCGGGCGCGTAGGGGGTGAGGTGAAGCCGAGTCGAGCAGAGCAGTTTAGAGCGGAGCGAGGCGGCGCAGGGCTTGTGCCGCACTCACTCACTCAGAGTGCGAGAGAGAGAGAGAGAGAGAGAGAGAGGGAGGGAGGGAGAAAAAGAGACCTAACACTATGCCGCGGTGCCACACGGCGAGCGCCAATGAGCGCTCCGGGACACGCGTGCCTGTGCTGCGCTGAGCTGAGCTGCGTCGCGCTGGGCTGAGCTGCATTGAGCCGAGCTGAGGTTATGGTCTGGTTAGTTACGCGTCTGTGACACGACGTGGCAAGGTTTACGTAGAGTAGAAGAGGGCGGATTATGATCAATGAGGGATGAATGAAAGCCTTAGTTAAGGTGGGTAGGTATAGATAGATAATTAGCAGATATGAGTATGAGTATGAGTATAGTATGAATATAAGCACGAGCATTATTAGTGCCAACTCAAACCCAAACTACTTCTCATTTCTCTCTCTATATACACACATTACAGCAGCAGCCCCCTACTCCTACTCCTACTCCTAGGGACATACAACCAGACACAACCAGACACACAACCAACAACACAACAAGCCAGACACAAACAAACAAACACAAACAAACGTCCAAACATCCAAACATCCAGATAAATAGCAAGGTACGAACGAAGTAATGTTGGCATCGTCTTTAAAAACAAAAAGCTGCCAGACCAGACCAGACCAGACCAGCGCACCCACACACCTGCAACGCCGCCGCGACGGTGCGCAAGCAAGCAATAGCACGCAACGAAAGAAGCTTCGGCGCAAGATCGAGGCCGAGCCTGCGTTGCTGCGTTGCTGCTTTGCTGCTTGCTGCACGCGTCCCGCAAATGCTTCTTTTTTCCCCGTTTCCCGTCACCATCCCCCATCCCCATCCTATCGCACCCATCCATTCACCAAAGAGCACACACACCCACAACACCTTACCTGCTCCTCGTAGAGCCCATACCCCGCTTACCAGCCAGCAAATGCTTCTGCAGCGCGCTAGTCTGGTGCCTATCGGCCTCACCCTGCCTCGCCATGCGGTTCATCTTCTTCTGCGACAGCTTCTGCAGCCTCTCGGCCTTTGAGCGCGCAATTTCGTTTGTGACACCGTCGTCGCGCCTGTTGGTGCTCTGACTGCGGCCGCGGCTCTTGGCGCGCTCGATCGCGTTGCTCGGCTTCTTGGGCGCCGCGCCGCCATCCACGTCCATGGCGTCGCCGTCGTCGCCGCCCGCGCCCTCCGACCGCCCGCGCGCAACTGACCGTCCGCGCGACTGGTTGCGCGCCCGCGCCGCGATGCCCGTCGTGTCGTAGCCCAGCGAGTCGAGGTGCTCCTCCATCTGCGACAGCTTCTTGGCCTTGGCCGACCGCGGAATCTGCGCCCGGTTCTTCAGGCTCTTGCGCATCCGCGCCTCGTTCTTCAGCAGCGCCTGCTTCTCGCGGATCAGGTCCGCCTTGTAGTGCATCTCGGCCTCCTCGGCGTCCTCGATGTCGTCGTCCGACTCGTACCGCCCGTCCGCCTCCATCTGCTCCTCCTCGGCCTCGAGCGCCGCCAGCTTGGCCTCGATCTCCGGGTCGATGAAGTCGTAGACGTTCTTGCCGTCGAAGATTTCCGGCACCTTGTCCATCTTCCAGTCGTCGTTCTCGAGGAGGTAGTTCTCCTTGAGGTTGATGTTGTACACACCGGCACCGCCGTTCTCCTCCTCGATCTCGCGCTGCAGCTTCTTGCGGTTGGGGTCGTTGGGGTCGTACTTCATCTTGTTCTTGACCGCGTCAGGAATGTACACCTCGCGCGTCATGCCATCCATGGGAACGGCGACGTGGATGCGGCGCATGACATCCGCAAGACGACCAGTAACCTCGCCGGAGGCGGTGGTGGCAGCCTTCAGCTTCTCCGAGTTGCGCTGGGCCAGGAGGCGGTCGCAGACAGCGCTACGGACAGCCATGACATTGTCGGCCGTCGTGCAGGAAAGTTGCATCAGCTCGACCTCGCCAGACTTGAGCATGCCCTGAATCTGCTCCTGCGTCTCGGCGTCCAGGTCCTCAGGCTTCACGAGATCCGTCTTGTTAATGACAACGAAAACCAGCTTGTTGTTGAACAGAGGCTTGATGCTGTGGAAAAGCTGGATCTGTGCGCTAACGCTGTAGCCGCACTGCTCGCTCAGGTCCATGAAGTAGAGAATGGCCGACCTCAAGTGGGCAATGGCCGTGATGGACTGCATTTCAATCGTGTTCATCTCTTCCAGCGGGTGGTCGAGAATACCGGGGGTATCAATAGCCTGGAAACGAAGCATCTTGTGGTCGACTGCACGAGCTGTTAGCCAGATACGCAACAAGGACACGGGACGACTTACAGTGACCGACGAACAAGCTCTTGGTGGTGAAAGCGTACGGCTGAACGTCGACATCGGCGCGGGAGACGTTCCGCAGGAAGCTCGACTTGCCGACGTTGGGGTAACCGCAGATAACCAGGGTCCTGGTGTTGGGGTCGATCGAGGGCAGACGGCCCAAGTGCTGGCGCACCTGCTCGAGGTAGAGCAGCGGGTCCTTCATGCGCTTGCAGATGGTGGCCATGCGACCCAGCGCCGCACGCTTGAGCTGCTTGCACTGGAAGAGCGATTGGCCATACTTGAGCAGACGGACGTAGTCACGCGCGACCGTCTCGATGAGGTGCTTGGCGGTGGAGAGCTGGCCGAGAGCGATGCGGAAGTGGTCGGCATCGTACAAGGTGTTCAGGAGATCCTTGTGGAACGGGTGGATGTCCTGGAGCCTGGGGAAGCCGTCGAGGATGGCCTGAAGCTTCTCGGTGAACGTCTCGGCCGTGTACTTGACCTTACGGGTGTAGAAAGCTGCGTACAGTCTCGTCAGTCTCGTGTATCTATGCGCCCTGGCCTTGCTCCTCTCTCGTACCTCTGATTCTGCTAATCTTGAAACCCGCTCTGATCTGTGTCGGCAGACGCCTCTGGGTGCGGCTCAGGACAATGTCCAGGAACTCCTGGGAGTTGGGCACCGGGGCGATATCCTTCCAAGAAGTCTTCATGTTGCCGACTTGCCGTCTCTGGGGATAAGAAGCACGGCGGCGGGAAGGGAGGGTGGAGGTAGAGAGTGGTTGCGGTGAGAGGGCGAAGGCGACTCTCGACGATATCGATAGGCGCGAAAAAGTTCAACGGGGCCTCGCAAACACAATCCAGGGCCTGACCGCCTTCGGCCAATCGGCGCTTCTAATATTCCCAAATCCGCACTGCCGCATCCGCAATTCGGCCTCAGGCATCCATCGCCCCTCCACCCAAAAAAAGCTCCCACCACCCCGCACCCGCACTCTCGACCGCCATCACCAAACGCTACCGCAGCCACCATCCATCACCGACCACCGCAATGGCGCCCACCACCGACCTCCCCGCCTTCAAGACCTCATTCCTCGAGTCGTGCGTGTCGGCCGGCGCGCTCAAATTCGGTACCTTCACGCTCAAGTCGAAGCGGATATCGCCCTATTTCTTCAACGCCGGCCTATTCCACCGCGCCGACCTCGTCCGCAGCATCTCCACCGCCTACGCGCACACGCTCGCCACGCACGCCCAGAGCGACCCCTCCTTCGAATTTGACGTGCTCTTCGGCCCCGCCTACAAGGGCATCCCGCTCGCCGCGACGGCCGTCGACAAGCTCGCTACCGTCGACGAGGCCCGCTTCGGCCGCGTGTGCTACAGCTTCAACCGCAAGGAGGCCAAGGACCACGGCGAGGGCGGCAACATTGTCGGCGCGCCGCTGAAGGGCCAGCGCGTTGTTATCGTCGACGACGTCATTACTGCGGGCACGGCTATCCGCGAGGCCATTGATATCATCAAGAGGGAGGGCGGCGAGCTCGTCGGCATCATCGTCGCGGTCGATCGCCAGGAGAAGACTCCCAGCGCTACCGACGACGATGGCTCCGCTAGGCCTAGCGCCATTGGCGAGGTCAGGAAGCAGTATGGCATCCCCGTCCTCTCGATTCTGAACCTCGATGAGATCGTCGAGTACTGTAAGAGCTCTGCTTCAGAGGAGGATGTCAAGAGGCTGCTCGAGTACCGCGAGAAGTACAGGGCCACCGACTAAGCGGCCAATTTAACACAAAACGCCATCTGCAGATAAGGGAAGCGCATGGCGGGGCACAGGCGTAGCACTGTCGGAACAATGCCGGTTCAGATACGCGGTTGTGCTCCCGATTGGTGGTGCGTATGCAAGCAGGGTAAAAACGGTGCGTCGGTGTACCTCTTCTCATTCATTTCGCAAGTTCAAAGTCGACCAAGCCGAGCTCAACGTCAAGCATCGGAGATAGACCCGTTGCAAGGTATTGTGTTCGGTACTGTAGCCGGTGGTCCTTGGATGCGTACAAGGAATCAAGCTTGTTGCAAGGAATTCGCGTTCGGCACTCTAGCCGGTGGTCGTCGGATGCGTACTCCGTATGTACAATTTCAAGTTTAGACGATGTAACGACAATAGAAAAGCGTATAGAGCGAAGCATTATTCCAAGAACAGCACCATTGAAGCTAGGCAAAGTTTAATTGTGAACGAGTCTGCAGCTCGTAACGAAAAAACCCTATCTAATGCTACCTTTCCAGGCACCAACTAGATATCCCGCAAGCGGGACGTCAAGATGCGTGGAGCATTGGCTCCATATGGTTTCGGGTCTCATGAGGAAGCAAAATGTCAATAACAACCGGCCGTTCCGAATCATTCAAATTTTTTGTGATATCGTTCATGCCCTTCCACAACCCCGCATCTACTGCGTGTCCCGGACGACCTTGTCCACCGCCTGGGCGAAGTAATCTATGTTATTTGTGTTCAGACCAGCCATGGAGATACGGCCGTTCTTGGTCATGTAGACATGGGCGTCGGAGCGGATCTTGAGGACCTGCTTCTCGGACAAGCCCGTGAAGGAGAACATGCCGATCTGATCCGTGATGTGGTTCCAAGTGCCAGGGGTGCCCATCTCCTCGAGCTTAGAGCGCAGCGCCCTACGCATCTTCATGATACGCCCGCTCATCTCGCGCAGGTTGTCTTCCCACTGAGCGAAGAGGTCAGGGTCGTTCAGCACCACCGCGGCAATGCGCGCGCCGTATGCCGGCGGGTTCGAGATCTCGGAGCGCTGCAGGATCTTGAGCTGAGAATCGATGCGGTCGATGGTCTCAGTCGCGTCGGGCGCCGGGTTCGTGATGAAGTGGAAGCAGCCTGCCCGCTCGCCGTACAGGCCAAAGTTCTTGGCGTACGATTGCGCGACCACCATCTCGAAGCCCTGGTCCACAAAGTACCGGATTGCCCACGCGTCCTTGGCCAGGTCGCCTGACGCGAAGCCTTGGTACGCGGTGTCGAAGAACGGGAAGTGTGACTTCGCCTTCATGACGTCGGCAATCTGGATCCACTGCTCCTGCGTCGGGTCCACGCCAGTGGGGTTGTGAGCGCAGGCGTGCAGCAGGATGATGCTGCCCTCGGGCGCCGACTCGATAGCCTCGAGCATGCCCTCGAAGTCGAGGCCATTGGTCTTGTAAGAGAAGTAGGGGTAGGTCTTGGAGGGCACGTGGACGTTGGAGAAGATCTGGTGGTGGTTCACCCACGTCGGGTTGGAGAAGTAGACGGTCTTGCCCTCATTCGGTCTGTAGAACTTGGACAGGAAGAGCGCTCCCAGGTGCACGGCGCCCGTGCCCGAGATCGTCTGGAGACTGGTGACCTGCAACGCAGAGGCCTGTCAGCTGCACGTAATCTGGGCAACGATTCCCGATCCATGACTCAAGCCGAACTTATGCGTCCGGGCCTGGCCCCCCCCAACGGAAAAGAGCTTACCCGCTTGTCCGCGATGGCGGGGCTATCGCCGCCTAGTATCAGCTTCTGCGATGCGCTTGTGAAGTTCTGCAGGCCCTGGATGGGCAGGTATTCGTGGTTGATCTCGGGGTCGTTGCGCAGAATCTCCTCGGCCTGCCCAGGAGCTATGGTCAGCGTCACGGTGCGCTGGTCGCCTGGCGTCGCTCTGCACGTACCTTCTTGACTACGGGCAGAACCCAGGGCTTCGCGTTGTTGTCGCGATAGGCTCCGATGCCCAGATCGACCTTGTGCGGATCAGTGTCCGCCCGGTAGGCGGCCATGAGGCCGAACAGAGGGTCTTCGGGTGCCTTGGGCACGACATCGGCCTGGAAGGCGCTGAGCTTGATGGGCGCCATGTGGGAGGTTATCTGCTGGAGTCTGGAGCGGGGAGGAGAAGAGGTGTTATTATTGAGAGACTGTGAGTGGCCGTTGGAGGAGACAGTGGGGGTTGGAAGTGGCATGGTGAATCGAGGGCCCGCGCTGGTCTATTAAATACTCTAACTAGGCTTACGCTTCCACGCAGTGTTACGGATCCGTACTCCGCGTTTTCGGGGAGATCGGCCTTATCGATTGCGAGAACAGCAACTGTCTCCGCAGCAATGAGTAGGATTATCCGCCGGGCGGAGGGGAGCGGCGTAATGTCGAGTCGGAAGGCGCACAAGTGGACTGATTCCTTTGCAAGACGTGCTTTTATTCTGCCGCGCTGCGGGCTCGTTGAGCTTAAGAGGCCCCCGAAGATCAGGGTTCCTTACCAAAAGCCGAGGCTTTCCTCCACCTTTGCCCTCGTGCCCTGCTGTCACAAGCGCCGGCACTTCCGCCAAAGGTCACGCTGCTTGCGTCGACGTTCAATGGTCGTCGCAAGTCATCGCATTGATCAACTCTTGCCTGATGTCATATCAATACGTCCCCACGGTCCCACCCCACTACGGAGTCCCGCCGTGCACAGTGCGCGTGTCGCATAGAACACCACCTGCGCTGCACTTCTACTATCAACCGCCTCCTTCACCATCGTGTTTCCGCCCCCAACTTTCTCCGTCGAGGGGTTCCGAGTCCTGTACGTGGTACCAGCTCGTCAAGTCTGGGCCGCCTGCTCGACCGGGTTGGTCGCCGAGGCCTCTTGAAGTTCAGAGATTTCCAGGCGCGACCTTTCAGTGGAGCTAAGCGGATTTCTTAGCAATTAGCAATGAGATAACGCCTCATTGCATGCGACATTCTGACTCACAGTCACCGCACTTATCCAAAGTATCTTCGTAATACAGCTGCTGCTGCTCTACCTCCTGGCCACTTTTGTCCACCCTGGAAACCTCTCATAGCCCCCGTCGCTTCTGCAGCACAACCAGATGCAACGCCTTTCCTGGCTACCCGGCATCATTGTGTTTCTTCTGCCTACCCGTCAGATATCCGATGTTTTTCTCGGTCGGTGGTAGTGATGAGGAAGAGTCGGTTCGCGCGAGCTATATCCGGTAGGGAATCTGAGCCGTCAACAGGTAGGATTGACGGACGGCACGAAGATGCTAGCTACGAAGCTCGACAATGCGTCTACCTATGCTCTATTTACAGGCAGACGGTTGAGCGCCGATAAGCTTGCAGTTTGCTCACAATTCAGTACGCCTCCTTCAAGAAGACCTTGACGTTGTCGTGGACCAGCTCGAAACCTGTGAGCGGCGCGACATTGTGTCGCTACAAAGCTTCCTTGAAGACTGAATTGAGATCCATATACGATGTAGTTGGCCCTTGAAGACGGTTTGGGCACTGCCAGCAGAGCAGCCGGAAATAAGATCGACCATGGCTCGCTTATACCCGGCGCCAGATGCGCACATGCTGATTTCATCAGATGCCGAAGACGCCATTCGTCAACATGCAGGCAATCGCCTGTACGGTAGATCCAGCCAGCGCCCCATTCTTGAGCACGAATCCCGCCCGACCTGACCGACATCGGTTAAACGTAAGATAGTACCCGCTCGTGCAATTGGTAAATTTGTACTTAACTCCGGGCTTTCCTCTCTTTGCCTGTTTTTCAGAATGGACGTTTCTGTGTTGCCACCTGCATCCTGCTTAACACCATGGCATCGTCCCAGGATATCCGAAGCTATGAAAAGGCACAAGATGCCGCAGCGGTGGGCTCAGGTGGCGTGGTCCAAGAGCCGCAAACTCCTTCCATCCAGGATCTTGGGGAAGAGCAAAGAAAAGAAAAGAGCGAGGAAACCGAGCACAACACACCAGCATCTACACCGAGATCATCCGTTGCAGACGAGGCCACTCAAGATTCGACCGCAGATCCGGAGGCTTTGAACAGAACCACATCTGGTCCCGTTTATTCAGTATTCACTTATCGCCAAAAGCAGTATATCGTTTTCATGTGCGCCTGTGCCGCCTTTTTTTCTCCTACAAGTGCGAATATTTATTATCCGGCTCTTAATACTCTTAGCCGAGAACTAAAAGTCTCCGACGAACTGATTAACCTGACTCTCACCATTTACTCCATCTTCCAAGGCCTGGCACCTACTATAATAGGAGGTCTTTCTGATATAGCGGGCAGAAGGCCCGCGTACATCATCGGCTTCATTATCTACCTTGGTGCTTGCATTGGCATCGCCCTACAGGACGACTATGTTGCATTGATGATCCTCCGTGCGATGCAGAGCACAGGGAGCAGCGGGACTATCGCTTTGGCAAACGGAGTTGTTGCTGATATTGCAACATCCGCTGAGCGTGGTACCTGGATGGGATGGGCGACAGCAGGCCCCATGATAGGTCCCGCAGCTGCTCCCATTATCGGAGGAATTTTGGCGCAGTTTCTAGGCTGGCGGTCAATATTCTGGTTCCTAGTCATTCTTACTGGCATCTTCCTGGTCCCGTTTATTACTACCTTTCCGGAAACCGCTCGCAACGTTGTGGGCAACGGCTCAATCCCTCCTCAAGGCTGGAACATGTCGCTGCTCAACTATTTCCAGGCACGAAAGGCTCACAAAGATTCCGATGAGCTGACGCGCACCGTGTCCCGGGAAACAGAACGGCAAGCACAAGCACGTCTGGCTAAGCAACGGAAACTCCGTTTCCCCAATCCCCTGAACACGTTGAGGATCATCAAGGAGCCGGATGTTGGCCTGCTCCTGTTCTACAACTCACTCGTCTACACCGCCTTCCTCGACGTCGCCTCCTCGGCACCATATCTTTACTCGCAAATCTACCACTTCAACGACCTCCAAGTCGGCCTGGCCTTCATTCCCTTTGGCTTCGGCGCCTTCTGCGCCCCTCTCGTCAACGGCCGCATGCTCGACGCCAACTACCGGCGCATCGCACGCCAGCTGGGCATGACGGTGGACCGGAAGCGGGGCGACGATCTGCGAAACTTCCCCATCGAACGCGCACGGATAGAGGTTGCTGTGCCGCTCGTGGCGATCGGCATGGCCGCGCTGACGGCCTACGGCTGGGTCATGCAGGCCGAGACGAACCTCGCCGCGCCGCTTATTTTCTTCTTCATCATGGGCTTGACGATAACGGGCGCGTTCAACGTCCTCAATCTCCTGATTGTGGACTTGTATCCGCTTAGCCCGGCGACGGCAACGGCCGCGAACAACCTCGTGCGCTGCTTGGTTGGCGCGGGAGGCAGTGGTGTTGTTATTTTCATGATTAAGGCTATGGGCAGGGGCTGGTGCTTTACGCTCCATGCGTTGATCGTGCTGGCTGCTAGCCCGATTCTTTGGGTGCTGGTGAAGTGGGGGCCGACGTGGAGAGAGAAGCGGAGGGTGAGGGCCGAAGAGGCGACTAAGAGGAAAGAAGAGAAGAGGATGAGGGAAAAGGGGGAGAATGAGAGGGTATAGACGTTACGTTAGAAACGCTTTACGGTTAGACAGTAACGCCAATGCTCACGAAAGTCATGTCCAGGTTTCTTCAGTTTCCGGCCTTTGAGACGCATGCTCTATTGGTGTTCGTGATGGCAAGACATGTATTTGCTCAGAACGACAGTTCAACGTCGTCCCCAACACAAGCTCAATTTCAACTGGCTATGAAGCCAAAGTCAAGCCAAGATACTCCCAATCCAAACGATTAATAGAGCGGTCTAGCAGTCAGACGTGTTATAGACCTCTCTTTCTGTACCCTTCGACCGGGAGCCCACACCACCATCACGCAATATAAAAGTAAATCCAACCACACACTCTCTCTTCTCTCCTTTGTAGATTCGCACAAGGGAATTAGGAAGCCCTTACAAAATTCCTGGCAGATCAAAAGTGACACATGTGGGGGCGCACACATAAGCAAACAAGCAGCATCCTTCCCGCCGCTTGAAGAATGCGGGATGCATTCGCAGAGCGGAGTAGATTTCTAGTCACCGTCTATCAGTGCTGATGAACAGCAGCAGGGCGTGGGAGATGTGACGGGCATCAGTGCAGTGCGATGTTCGACTAGGCACGCCTGGAGATGCTACAGTGAGGCTCTCTGGGGAGTTAACGTCCTTGTGTCTGCGCTTGTTCGACATCCCGACATTGCACTTTTGATGGATCAGGGATGTTATGGCGGGACTAAGCGGGCCTCGTGGGGCTTGCAGTGTGGGGGGATAGTGTTTAGCGTGCGTGCGTCCGATTTGGGATCGGTGAAATCGCGATCGATTCGCTATATATTAATCTAACTGGCTGTACATACAGGTTTTCACTCAGCTCACATTTTCAAGTAACAAATTCATGGTTATAGCTAGGAGGGTCAGGGATATAGAGGCTTGCATTACCCTCATAAAAGAGGGTGTGTACTAAGATCCAGCTTAGACGACTAGGGTCTTGGTATATATCTATTTATCTAGCACCCGCATTTTAGTATCAGATGCAAGGCAGGAAAGCCTAAACCGCAGCCATTGGCTCAGCTCAGCATGGCTAGGAACTAGATCTGCTGGCAGTTACGGCAAACCTTGTGGCCGCAGTTCATGCACTCGTTGGTGTAGTCACCGTAGTCAGTCCAGCACTGGCAGCACGTCCAGGACTCCGGCGCGAAGGAACCGGACGGGCTCTTAGCCGCTCCAGTGCTGCGCTTGACGGCGCTGGCTTGCTGCTTGGTGGCGTGGGCCTTGTTGCTAAAAGAAGCGGAGTGGTTGTTTCCGAGAGACATGTTGTACGGAGTGTTCGATGTATGCGTGTAAGTGTGTTTGAACGTGTTTGGAGTTCTGTGTGGAGATGAGCTGCGAAGATGGTTTGTTTGTAGACGTAGCTCGACCAGGCTGTTGATATGCTACAGTGAATTTGAGACCTTGGACATTGATGTTTGGAGCAGAGCGCTGATAATGGTGGTGTTGCCAAAATGAAGATAACGACCCTTTGTTGGACATTGTATATTTTAACAAAGAACACAGGAGAACAAAGCATTTGTTCTGCTCTTCCATCGAAACGTGTTGGGAAATTGGAGGAGCTTTACAATTAGTCGAAGTCGAAAAGTATTTACTACACAAGAGCGGGCTTGGCGGGACATATTAGGAATAGTTACTTACCAAGGACTAAACGAGCGTGCGCGCAAGAGCGACGGTTATAGCGCTGCGGACTCCCCGCTAGATGCGGAGTGTAATGTTGGAGAATTATAATTCTCTTTTGTTAATTTTTAGTGTAAGATAGGAGGTCGCAGTTCCCGCTTCCCACCCCCTACTTCTTCTCGAACCAGGAGGCTCTGACGAGGTTGACGTTTCCATCGGATCGGCAGACGCTAGAGAGCGTCATCAGCATTGTGAAAGGTGAACGAGTGAGGTACGGTGGTCTTGGAAAATTCAATGGTCGCTGTTGACCACGTGGAGTTATAGAAATAAATTGACCCCTAAACCTTTCAGCAACTAAATTTCAGGTTTACTTCTTATCGTACTATGTCCAGATTTTCGGCTATGGCTGGCAATATCCCCGCAAATGTTGGCTTGAGAATAAAGTTACGTGCCGTACCTACACAAGCTTCTGTGCCTGATGATTCAGACCCATGGCCTGGTTTGGTAGTCGGCCTTAAATAAAAGACCGCAAGCCAGCGATATCTCTGTGGGTATTTCATCTAAGACAGGGGTTTTCTGATTACAGAATCAAAGCTGATAGAAGAAAATTACGATGTAGCGGGGTGACAGTTCCGCATCCGTCCACCTGATTGGATAGTGTCAGCCAGGATCACTCCGATAACTCTCGTTTTTTCAGCCTTATTACAGTCAGTTGTTACACTACAGCCTTACCCCTTACACCACACGTTTATCCACTGCAAGGGAATAAGGATCTTAAAGAGAAAACGTGTTCTTTTAGATAGCAGCATATATACCTCCATAGGTAGTAGTAATTTAGGAGGACAAGCGGCGTCCAATTCCTCGCGCCCAGCTTCACAGATAGCTAAGGATGCGCCTTAACTATAGGCTCGGACACGTCATCTTTCTGGGGTTGCGGATTGGGGCCGAAGCAATGCGGTTTTCGTTATTTTCTAGACCGAAGAGAGGTGGCCCGGGTGATAGGCAGAGGTTTATGTTGTAAAAGCTGAATCTCTCGCCAGGGTTTCAGGTGGATTCGATAATATACCCAATCATTTCTTCCGTGGTTCTATCCGAGCACAAGAATGTAAGGCTGACCAAGCTCCAAAGACCTTGGCACCTTTTATCAGTGGAGTGGCAGGCATCATTTCCGATATCAGCCACCACTGATGGAAAAATTCGGTTGCCAAAGCCGTAGGTTTCAAGGTAGGAACTCTACTCGTTCCTTACGCCTTTTTCCCGGATTTCTTGCTTTTAGCTGAATGCTCGTTCAACCTTTCGTTCAATCTTCCAAGCATGTCAACGCCCATAAACACCGCTATACAAAATATTAGCATTTCCCCCTGACCATAGATATAACTTGAAGATATTAAATTGAAGGTTTGCAGCAGAGTGTGAATGGCAGATAACTCCACAAATCGTATTCAAGGAACGATACCAAAGGGCATTTTACAGTTGAAAATTGGTCAGAGAAATAGTCACTTACAAAGAGCGAGGTAGGGCACATAAAGTGCACCCAAACGCAGTTTCTGGTTGCTTGAGAACGATTTCCAGCTGAGATAGTCGGCGATACACGTGATGGTAGTCATGCCAGTCTGGCAGGCGTAGAGAAGAAGCTGAAGAGGGATTTTGGGGTCATCTGAAACTGAAATCAGCAATTGAAAAGTTTTGTTAGTAGAACTGACATACTTCTCATCAGGGCACCGATGGCCCAGACGCAAAGCGGAGCGTGATAAAGGAGCTAAGAAAGATTTAGCAGACTGAACAAAAGTAGCAAAGCATTATTTACCTCCATCCACATGTACATCCGAAACCATGCCCTATGTTTGCAATCACAGGTCAGTTTGAGCCTGTCATTGAAATGTCATATGATATTTGGCACATACGGCGGTGCAATGAAGAATTGATCTTGGTAGGTATCGATGTAGTACTTTCGCAGACTCATCATGAACACGGGCTTCATCGACTCAGGGTACAGCGGCGTCAGATCAACGACTACATAACGCAAAATGAGCTCAATATATTGATAAATCAAGTCGATATACACGCAACTTACGAAACATAACAGGCAAATGTATGCAAAAGAAGATCAGATACAGCAGATCCCGCTTGCGGAACAGAATTGAGCGACCTTTAACATTCAGATCCCGCTTACGGGACAGAATCGAGCGCGCCATGATGATTAGCTCTTTACTGTAGATGAAGGCTAGATGTTGGTTGTTTTTGAGACGGGTTCGTGCGTTGTCTAAATCAACCCCGGGTCACGTGTGCCAAGAACCACGTCTAAACGTCACACTGTGACACTCCCTTTTGACTCTTGACACTCAATATCTCAATGAGTCATCTTCATCTCATTTAAGCGCCAGAATTCCTAGAGAGCCACCATGCATAGAGGATTATTGTATATGAGCCTGTGGACTCGGAGATCTCGGTTTTGATGCACTTAAGTCCGAGGGAACCTCGGAGTTACGAAGTCAAGGCCTAGTAATGCGAGGACATAGTTAACTAACCCCTCGGTCTTCCCTCAAACCCCTTCGGTCTTCTTTGTGTCTTTTTTCCTGTCATCTTCTTATCAGATCATCTTGATATCTTTCTCAGTTGTGATGGAGCAGACCCCTACGAATTCAAGTCGGAGATCACACTCGCCTGAGGATGCCAACTCGGAAGTCCGAAAGCGCCGGAGAATCGCCCTTTCGTGTTATGACTGTAGGCGCCGGAAGCTAAGATGTGATCGCGAGTATCCAGCGTGCGGCCGTTGCCGTAAAGGTGGACACGCGGACACGTGCACTTACGATACACGGGTAGAACCGATACCCGCCCGGGAGCCTCATCAGGTGCCACGTCCGGGAGCCGATGATAGTCGAGCTCAGATGCTGAGTCCGACATCACCAAATGACCTCAACTCTTCTACTAGGACACCGATTCTGGATCACTCAAGCCGAAATACTGTGGAGCTTCTCTCTTTCCAAAGGGCAAAAATAGCTGAACTTGAGGCTCGCCTTGCCCGGATTGAGAGCAACGGCACTCAGTCAAGCAGCAGTCCACACCACCCGACCCGCGGATCACCTGCTCCACAGGATGAGATCCTATGGCCAAGCCAAGCTTTCGCTTGGTCACGAAGGCCCGTGATGAAGGATGTAGAAGAGAGCGAGACAATTCTACTCAGAGGAAAGGGCTTCAAAACACAGTTCTTCGGAGCAACAAACGTTATTGCCAACATGGTTACGCATGTAAGTATCTAGCATCTCACTGTGAATGCTTATTAATTACAATGATGATTCAATTTCTCACTGAACAATAGTTCCCGGGTCTACGATCTTATATGCAGGGTGCCCTCAGAAAGTACCCTTCCCTTGTCCAAGGACACACAGAATCGAAAGCTATTCAAAGCCGATGGAAAAGATACAAACAAGTTTTGGCGTCGATGCCGGCTCCGGAATTATCTACTTTCCTTCCCGAGAGGAGTGTCGTGGATCACCTCGTCAAGCTGTACTTTGACACACTCGAAACGATATATAGGATCCTCCATCGACCCTCTTTCTGGGAAGAGTATTCTACCTTCTGGAGTGAGCCCGAGAAACGCCGACCAGAGTTTGTCGCAATTGTTCTTGCTGTGATATCCACCGTTATCACAGCCTCTTTCACGGAACCCACCACATACTGCGCTGAAATTCCTATACAATTATGGTCAGGAACGCAGTGGGTCGAAGCTTGCGATAGGTGGGTCTCGCAGCAGAGTGCGAAGCATGCCCAGATTGACATCTACCAAGTACGCTGCCTATGCGTTCTTTCGAGGTATATCAATTCCATCAAATGGAAACAGCAATGGATGGATTCCAGAAATTTGATGACTTTTGCCATGACAACAGGCCTGCACAGAGATCCGCGCTGGTTACTCAAAGAAACAAGCACGCATGACCAGGAGATGCGTCGCCGATTGTTTTATACCATGGTGGAGCTTGATTTGCAGGGGTCCATTAATCGAGGAATGCCTTCAGCGACGCATGCTCAATACTACGACACAGCGGCACCACTTAATGTCAACGATGATGACATTGATCACGAAGGCCGAAAAGCACCTCCCACTTCCTGGCCAATTCAAGAATACACATCGACGTCCTATCTGCATGCCTCAGCGAAAAGCATAGATTTGAGGATACGCATCAATTCGGCTCTCAATAACTCGGCACGTCCACTGAGCTACGATGAAGCAATGCTATATTCGAACGACGTAGTGCAAGAGCTGGGTAAGATACCCTCTTGGGCTGGTCGTAAAGAAGCGAGGCTAGCGCGAACCACGCTCGATATCCAGCTGCGACAGTACCTAATCATGCTCCACGAACCATTTGCATGGAAGGCGGCATCGGATGTGCGATATTCATATTCAAGGGCAGCCTGCTTCGATGCTGGGGCATCCATTGTGGATCAGTACAACGAATTGAGTTCCATGGATAGGGTAATCATGAACCTATTGCGATCTGACCCAACCCGCGCTGCTTTGGCTATCATCCAGACCACATTCGTGTCAACCCTGGCGCAAGATTTCCGTTTCTTTCAGAGCCACAAAGCAGTCATCGACGACCTTGTACAGAAAGCGCTGGACATGGTTGAGGACAAGACTTTGCGCACTAGTGCAGGCTGCGGGCACATGTGGCACATATCTGCAGCTTGCAATCTCTTGCTCTCCAAAGTGGCCCCGGAGGAAGCAGAATCCCGCTTGAAGGAGGCTGTTGAGAGGGTGATAGGTATTTTTGACAGGATCAGTCAATCGCAAGAACCTGTCCCTGCTCTGCCAAATACCAACACAACAGACACTGTATGTTTTCAGAACCAATCGGTTATGGACGGCGTACTAACCTCACTTCAGCCTGTTATACCAGGGACCAGTGCATCCTACACAAATGAGTCGAGCTTGCCCGATGAACTTGCTTTTGCAAATGACATTTCAGTAAGTAGCCATCAACAGCCGCAGAACTAGCTTTCGCTGACATATAAACCAGGGAACGGATACAGCCATGTTCAACTTCCCTGAAACCCAGGCATGGGGTCTTGATGATCTCTGGTCTTTTGGTCCCATTGATCTGTAAACCTAGGACTGACGACCACTACCGCAAATCTTCTTGGGAAGCCATTTGAATGGAAAAAGTCTCTTGTTGATACGATTTTACGACACGCTTTCACAAACACGATCCAAATTTGCTTGGAGAGGTGCTTGTTCTTTCCTCAAATGCACTTTTTCAACAGCACTGAAGGATGGCAACCTCTCCTATCATCGCGTTAAGCTTTCTTTCTTCTCTGGTCTTACCTCAAAAGAGCTCGCGCAAGAAAACTCAAAATAATCTCCATTTATGTTATTGTCCAGCCACGCTTCACTTCTATTTCGCATCTCTCAGCTCAGGGAAAGGACAAATGTAAGATAGTGTAAACTAAGCAAGTACTGGAAGGAGGACCACCCTACTCTAAAGGCAGTACGGGGATCGTTGACAGCTTAATGGACCAGATGAACGGACTCGCTTCTCAAATAACGAAAAAATCATTTCAAATTGTACAAGCTGAAAATACATCTGGATCCACGCATCATCCTAGTGCTTGATATATTATTGACTTCGTCATGTTCGCTCTCAGCATATTTATAGTGGTTTTGTTCTTACACGAAAAGCCGCCGCAATGCTTTCCCAAACTCAACAACAAAGTCAGATCCAACCACACATAAGGCGAGACCTCAGTTTGCAGCTGTTGCACAACAAATAACACCAACAAAAGAGCAAAGACCGTTCTCGTACAATAAAGCAAACAAAAAGTCCATGTTCCCTCACTCGAAGAGTGCGAATGGGAAAGAGGAGTGTTGACATGCAATGCTGTTTGAAGGTACCTTTACACACAAGCTGCATCTGAAACTTTTTATCTATACTCTTCAAACCTTGGTTTGTATACTAGAAGTTTGTTTCCTATATTATCCTTTTCCTGTCCCTTCCATGCATGTATATACCATATGCTCAAACTATGAAGAAAAACACATCCCGCCGTTGCCTAGCGCGGGAACGGGTATAACCAGAAAGCGTAACACTAACACAATAACAGAAGTCATAAAATCGTACCTCATACCCCATACGCCTTAGCCCTCACAAACTCCAACCCCAAGGACCACCTCCCAAGACCAACTCAATCCCTCTTCGAAGCCGGCAAAGCCTTCTTAAGCCTGTTCCTATACTTCTCCGGCAAGCGGTAGTTGATAGGCGACTCAGAGCCCACAAAGACAAACGAGTCGTAAACCGCGCACCCCACCACAGAGCCACAAGCGGTCGAGACCCACGGGCCCCACAGCCACCACAGGCCCACCTCCGTGAACATGTTTGTGTTGTAGCCGACCATCAGGCACACGAGGCGGGGCCCGAAGTCGCTGGCCGGGTTGAGCGCCACGCCCGTGTTCATACCCAGCGTCATCTTCTGCATCGTCTGCACCAGCCCCATGATGAAGGAATGCAGGCCCGCACCAGGAGGGTTGTTTTGGTCATCGCCAAGCGCGAGCACCGACATCATCATGATGGCGGCTGCAAGGAACTGTGTGAAGAATGCCGTGGCCGGACTGACATAGTCTTGGGGCTTGGAATAGAAGTACGTGGCTGTGTCGACTAGGCCTGGGTCCATGTAGTGGATCACGTCGTGGAAGATGGCGTAGGCCAGTGCTGATGCGACGATGCATCCCAGTATTTGTGCCACAAAGTAGATGCTGGCTTGCTTGACGGGAAAACCGCGGAAGAGCCAGAGAGAGTATGATATGGCTGGGTTCATGTGCGCGCCGCTGACTCCACCGCCTATGTAGATGCCCAGCATGAAGGAAATGCCCCATGCCCAGCAGGACGTCTCGTAGTTCCCGTATTGGCCGTTTGTCAAGTTGACCTGAAGGGTAGCGCACATGCCCAAAAAGATTGAGACCACGGTCTAAGTAACTGTTAGCATGCTATGTGTTAGTTAACAGGGAAGTGAGTGGGCTTACACAAAGGAACTCAGCAAGAGGCTCAGGATGTTTCGCGCGTATCCTCGCCCACCAGTTCCTTAGCTCATCAGGATCGACCTCTCCCTCTTCTGCTTCGTCTTTTTCGGCCTGGCCAATAGGTTCGGCATCGATAGCCCATTTAGTGTTGTCCTGTTCTGGAATGGCGATGTTTCCAATCTCGTCGAAGTCGGCAAAAGGATCGAACAGCTTCTCCGGGCGACCATCGCTGTCCAGGGGCGCCCGACCCTCCGTCCCGGTCGGGTTTGCTGCGGCTTGGTTTTCGTAGGGTAGAACTTCCTCCTGTTGCTCCCGCTTCTCAGTCTCCTCTGGAGTCTCAACAGTGGCTTTGCGTGGGGCTTTGCCCTGCTTTTTTCCTCCCCCAGGCTTGCCATTGTTGTGAGGGAAGTCTTTCCCCAAGCTGTACGATGGGTCATGATGGGACACGGGTTGCCCATCCCTCTGGTGAGGCAAGGTCTCGCCGAGGCTAAAGTTTTGCTTGTCCTTTACCTTCTCGGGATTTTGCTTACCCTTTGCTTTCTCAGTGTCATGTTTACCCTTTGCCTTCTCGGGATCCTGTCCTCCCTCACCCTTTTCAGGGTCTTTTTCGGCAGAGGGTTTCTTACTAGCTTCGCCGTCGACTGGATTCAAAACCCGAATCGTATGGGGAAGAGGCTGTCCCAGACCGAAGACAGGCTTTCTTTTCGGTTGTCCATACCAAGGGTTAAGCTTGTAGTACGCGTCGGGAGTATCACCTTGAAACCTGGCGCCAGACGGTCGTTTCACGGGTTCTTCTGGACGGTCATCCTTTTCCTGGGACCGCGCGCTAGCCTCAGTTCGATAGCTGGGGTTCCGGCCGAGGTTAGGGGGTTCTATGCAATGTCAGTTACATGTGGAGAATAATATGCCTTGGGACTACTCACCGGGAGCGACATGCAACAGTTCCTGTGTAGCTGTTATGCCCTGGACAGCGTCATGCACTGCCCTTTGAGCATCGCCGAGCTGCTGAATCTGTTTTTGGTTGGCATCCAGCTCCGCCCGAAGCTCTGCAATGCGGTCTTTGTTCTCAGACGCCTTTTCCGCTGCAGATTTAGGTCTGTTGCTAGTGTCCTGCGATGCTCTTCCAGATCCTAGTTGCCTCGACGACAATAACTTCTGAAAGTCTGCGTCCGAAGTGTTCGAGTCATCACTGGGTATGCGGCGACTTGAGAGATCAGTGTCCGAGACCTGAGGAGTGTTGTTGGCATTGCTACCCGAGTTGGTAGTCAGTAGGCCTTGTTGATCCCCTTGGAAAGCGTTAGTTAGAGCAATATTAGGAGCTGGGGCCAACGCAATGTGGTAGAACGGGAAGAACAATACTCACCGTGGTCTTGGGATGGCGGCATGGTGACAGACGGCTTGCGGCGAGTACGAGAGACGCTAGCAAGAGAGGGCAGAGGACGGCACTCAGACAGGGAATTGAAACCCCTTTCAACAGTGGGAAGATTTTAAAGGGAGAACTTACAAGGAGTTCTTCCCCAGGCTTGTTGACGTCAAACCCACAACATGGTTAGGCAAGCGCGAGATGCGTTGCCATATGGCCATGTGTTACAGACGCGTATGCCTCTTCGGGGCACTCAGCCGCATTGACGTATGAATGCCCATCACTGCATGCCTGCCCTGGAAGCGATCCTGCGATAAACGCGGGAGGGTTGCTTGATGGGGTCGAGAGGGACGCTTGGCTCCACAACACGCTGGCACATCCTTAAGTCTCGGGTCGCAAGGGCACGCAAGGGTACACAAGTTGGCGGTGCGTCCGTTGCGACAATGCCAGAACGCAAGCGAGGTCCTTGTTTGAAGCCCGAGAACCAATAGGCTCGTGGGGCCCTTTGTGCCCACGGTGTTGATCAACATGCCAACGGAAATTCGATGGCGGTCAAATCGGCGATATGAACAAAAGCAGAGGATGTTGTTGCGCGTCTTGTCCTGCCGCACCACATTTTGGGAAAGCCCTGTTCCGTATAAGGCTATCTGCCGCTCCAAACTACTGCGAGCCAAGGCGGTGTCGACCCGAGAGCGAAGAGAGGGCGACCGAGATAGAAATGGAGGGAAAATCTCCTGCTCTGGTGTGACGACGTTGATCCGACGTCATAAACGTGGTCGGGCCATGAAGCCAACACCACATCCGTATACACAGCTGAAAATCAACAACCAAACTGACTCAATATAAGTCCTGTGCGCATCGCAATCGCGATGGAAAATGAGGCTTTGCGATGTCCGAATCCATCGAGGATTCAATCCCGTGTGGAACCTATCCTGAAAAAGTTGAGGAGGCTGAATTGTTTGTGCGAGCACTGGAACCACGATGCGACTTGGGAAAGGGGTATGTCTATCCTGGTATCGATCTGTTACCACATGCAGATTTTGCTTGATTGGACATGGAGTACCGTTGCTGATGAGCGGGTAGATCCAGAGACAAGCGTATCTTCTCGGCACATTCCACGCGAAGGTGCTGTTGAGGTGCGATTTTCAGATTGTGGGATTGTGGGATGCTGAAGAAGAAGCGGTCGGACGCAGGCGCTCGGCGGATGAAGTCATCACCTCCATCGGTTGACGGGCCGACAACGGGGACGCCGAACGACCCTCCCCCCGCAAACTTGCTCCTAAAATAGAACCCGGATATACCTACACCATAGTCTCCGGGCTAGTTACTACGCACGGTACTTTGATCGGTCCTCTGCACCTTGGATGTGCAGATTTCGCACCAGATCATTCATGTGACTTCATCAAGTCATGTCTCCGCAGTAGATCTCCACAAGAGAAGACAATCCAGGATATGCCGTATTCGTATTCTCAAGCAAGTATATTGTTTTCATGCCATTCCTCTTCTCCAAGTATCCTCAGCTCTATCTCAAGCCAAGGCATATTTTTTTGCCACTAAAACCTCCCTTTACGCAGTTCCAGCATCAAAGTCAATAGCCTTGCTCGTCTTTCCCTTCGAATCCTGATCCTCCTGCACATTCGTCTTTAGCTTCTTCATCTCCTTGTCTAGCTTCTCCTGGACATCGCCATCATCATCACCCTGCGCCTGCTTGATCATCAAATCCATGCTCTCAAGCGCCAGCTTGAGCACCTTGTTCTTGATCTTTCCGACCTGCAGCGCCTCGCCCTCACTGCTGTCCTCGCCAGCCTGGTCGATAGCGTCGTTGAACCCACCCTCGTCTGCCTCGGCAGACTCGGCGATCTCGCGCGCGTTCTTGATTATTTCGTGATCGGAGTCGGAGACCGAAGCCAAGTTGTTCATGTCAATCTAGAAGAGGTGTTAGTTGCGAATGGATGGATAGGGTAAGTGTAGGTCTGCTCACGGGAAACTTTTGCAGCGCTTCGTTCAGTGCGTCCCCGGCCTTTCCGTCCGAGATCTGGAAGTCCGCGTACTTCATCCCCGACTGCAGCGCGCGCTTGGTGTTCGTAGTCGTGTGGCTCGTCGGCGCAGCCAAAGTCGAGGCAACAAGGCCCAAGATAATAGTAACGGTAGAGAAGTACATGTTGATGAATGTAAACGTAATGACGATAACCAGTACCGAATAGATATTACGAAAGCGTAAGAGAGCGTAGAATATCGTAATGAGTGAAGAAAGTATGTATGTACTAAGCGATCAACGCTTTAGTAGCGTAATAAGGCTGAAGGCGGAAGAGGCTGCTGCTGGATGAGATGTTACTACTGCCTCCACCACCTTCTTATATACCACTACTACCAACAACCCCCTCTCACACCAAGTGCTCTCTCCTCCATCGTCCCGTCCCAGCGCACCCAGCATAGCCGTTGCAGCGCACAAGAAGCGTCGCACGTATCGCATCGCAAGCGTTTGATCTGCACGCCTTCCCTATTCGGCCACAACACCACCTCGCTACGCCTCGCTACGCCTCAGATCACCCCGCTATGGAGCAGTACGTCCTGCGTAAGGCAATGCAGAAGCAATGCGCCCGCATCAGCCCCGCTGTAGAGCGCGCCTGCTCGCACCTTATCTGAGTGATCTGCGAGCTTGGCAGAGATCTGACACGCTTCTCGCGCCCGCGGCCCGTTCCAGCTGTTTTTGGGCATTCGTGCCGTTCGATACGAGCAGCTTGCCGGGCTGGAAGCGACTTGATGCGCAGGCTGGAGGCGAGCATGGCCGTTGGAAGCAGTTATGGTTCGGGGCCTTGAGTTCGTGTTATGCGGTGGCTATCTTGGCAGGTTGGCGTGCGTGTGGAGGCTGCTTCTGTATGTACATTGGTGTGATTGTCTATGCAGTATCTATGAACGAGCTTACAAGTGTGTACCGCGCCGGTTCTATGCGCTATCTTCCCGCCAACGGCTCCGCACCTTCTGCCAGCTCTCCTTTTCTGCCCTCCCGCCCAGCTTCTCGAGACCCAGTCCTCGTTCGACCCACTCTTGACTGCCCATCTCGACTAGTCTGCTCATGGCGCGCGCGAAGGCGAAGCGCTCCTCGTCACCAGAGAAGATGGATGTGTTTTTCAGGGTCGCCATGTCCATGCCCAGGTCATCCATGAGGCTGCGCATGGCGTCGGGGATGTTCTCTTCCTCCTCGCCCGTCTTGGGGTTCTTGCCTTCTTTTTGCGCCTCTTCCAGCTCGTCGTGAGAGATGAAGAGCTCGCCTAGAGGGTTGGCTGTTGTGAGGACGAGCTTGGCCTGAAGAACTCGTTAGTGATGGTTGCAGGCCCCGGCTTATGGCTGTTTGGACTTACTCGGCTTTCATAGACGGCGTCGATAAACGTGATGAACCGTCTCGCCCAGTCCCTGGTCTTGTGGCTCATTCCCGGCACATCCGTAACGATGAACGCCTCGTAGTTCTTCATAAGTTCAAGGTAGTCCGCGGCGCCCGTCGCACGTCCAATGATCTCATGGAACGTAAACTTTGCGCATTTCCCACTAGCGACGGGCACACTGATCTCGCGTCCCCAAACCGTATGCTTCGCCTCGTGCGGGGGATCGTTTTCAAAATCTCCAAGGAAACTGAACCAGTGATCTGCGTGCGTTTTTGCGGAGGCGTCCAGAGGGTGGTGGTACACGCCCGATGGCGGCCTAGGAATCTTGCGGTAGTCTGTGGGCGAATCGAGGTTGATGACGCGCAATCGCGTCTTCAGCAACTGAATGCAAGGGATAAAGGAATCGCGCTGAACACCGTTCTTATAGAGTTCATCTGGGTGCCGGTTCGATGTCGTTACAATAACGACGCCATGCGACATAAGGCTTTCCACGAGACTGTTTGAAGAAACTGTCAGATCTCTCTCCGTACTCGAATATTGCTCACACGAGAGCCACAGGTACAACTCACCGTCTCAAGATCATAGCGTCGGCAACGTCGGTGCACTGGAACTCGTCGAAGCACAACACCTGGCTCTTCTCCGCAATATCCGCTGCGACAAACGGCACACCGTCCACATCAATTCCATGTGCCATCTTAAACTTGTGCAGCTCTCTGTGTACCTGCTGCATAAATCCGTGGAAATGTATGCGGGATTTGGTCTGTATGTTGTGGGGCAAAGTCTCATAGAACAGATCCATCATCATAGTCTTTCCGCTTCCAACATCACCATACATATATATGCCTTTTGGTAGATCTTCGGGAATTCCAGTATTCGATGAATCGTCCTTTGAGCCGAACAGGGAGCTGAGGAAGGACTTCTTTTGCGGTTGCAGGGATTCGATGGTCGGCTTCTTAACCGGCGGCGCAGAGTAGCTGGCGAGGGTTTCGTGAAGAGCTTGGAGGTTTTCAATGATTGCTGGACCTCTTGTTAAACCTGCGAATTTCTGGAGCATATATGTGCATATTTACCTCGTTGGTGCGAGTCATCCCGTAGTCGGCCAGCTTCAACCCGCATATTGTACTCGGCCATGGGGCCCCGGCTGTGCGACTTCTCTGTAGATCAATTGTTATAATCCGAGGTCTCTCATTATCTCTTTGCGTTTCTTGCGCCCATACCGTTTGGCACTGCAGTCACCGTCGCCAGTTGGCGCGCGTAGCTCGTTTGCGATGCACGGGTAGGGGTCGTTCGGAATGCGCCCGCCCGCCTGGGGAGCGCCCGGCGCGGTGGCGAACCGGGAAGTCTCAGGCTCTTTGCACTGTCGGAACATATCGACCTGCGCGCGCAGTGCGGTTGTCTGTATCCGGCGCGGACAACGGCCGGTCTCAAGCCGCGAAGGGCTTCAGCGGCGACCATGGTTCTGGAGGCGGGAAGCGATGAAGAAGGGAAATATAAGGAAATCTGTCTATAACATAACAACGAAAGAGAATAGGGGTATGCGAAAGAGAGGAAGCAAACTCGGAGGCGAGAAAGCTGCGTGTCACAAGGCGTGCAAGGTCAGCGGGGGATCTCAGGAATCGCACCGAGCGCTCCAAGGCTCGGCATTTGCGAGTTCGGCACAAGTCCGTCTGCCCGGGTTGTCTGCGCCCGATCGGCAAAGGGTCTGCGGTGACGTAGCGGGAGGCCCATAACCGATGGATAGACTCAACGCCCGCCGGCTCCCCTAGTGCTTCTACAAACAACTGCTACGCCAAACCTTACTGCGACCTCACTCCATCCATGGGGCATGTTGATGGATGCTTGCATCGCCCGTCGTCCTCAGAATGGTGGTCACGTGCCACACAGGGCAACCGACGCCGCTGCCTGCATCGTACGCGCCCCGCAGCCTGTCATCAGAAAGAACACAGCTCGAGGTCTCGGGCGCCCCGAGGCGGATGCCACCATCGTGACACGACACCGAGTACCGCTACTCCAGATTGATCAAAATCACTTGTGTTTACTGTTAGATTTTCAACATGTTGCGATATTCAAAAAGGGCGACGCTGCGACTGCTCAGCCTCCCGACGTCACCGAGGGAGGCCGCCTGGGTACTGACCGTTGCTACTATAGGACGAATCCGCCCCATGCCCCTCGTGCTCCCTCCCTAGCTCATCCTCCGTACACCCTCGAGTCGATCTTACCTTCAGCGCCATCTACGCGTCGCTTCTATTTCTGGTGCTTAGCAAGTGCCCTCCATACCTGAGGCCTTCAATGGGCCCGTCGCCCTCTTAGCCTTGCTCCCTCGACCACTGCGACATGTTCGACCATTTTTCTGAACCGATTTATGAGACGGTAATGAGACGAGATGGAGGAGAGAAGCGGACACAAGACGGTTATGTTTGTCCTTCGCAATGCCCAGGTGGCTTTGAAGAGACCCAGCACATGGAGCACGAGCTCGAGGTACCGTCGCAACACTATGGGTCGCTTGAAGAGCTTGGGCCGTGCTCAACAACTGGGGATTATCCTTCCAGTTGCTATCATTGCATTCGCAGATTGGTACGGTGTTTGTCGTTTCCAAAAGTCGCCTTGGCTCATTGATAATAGAGGGGTTATGACTCGGTCAACGCTGCGACCGACCTACTTTTACACGGGCAGACTCCCGAGACTGCCAACATGTACACATCGCTGGCTGGTGCGGCGGCTACAGCTTATGGTCAACAGCCTTTTCAAGCTTCTGAATACCCCAGTCAGCTACCGCAAGACCGTGAGACAATGATTCCGGGAGATTGGTTCGATGGCCTGTATGTGTACGACAGGGTGTCACCACAAGGAATTGCTATTCAGTCGGCACAGAGCGCGAACTATCTCCCAGCAGAAAGTGAACAACTGGAACATACTTTGAGAGCGCACTTGGAGCAGTACTCAGCTCAGCAATACCCGCAGAACCCACCTCAACAGGCAAATCCAGATTTTGCGGGACAGCCAGCTCAACTTCTTGCGCAGCAGCCTGAACAGTACGGAGGGACGCAAATACAGCCCACGAGCTTCTTGACTGCAGACTGGCAACCACAGCCTACGCAGCCTGCAGATGACACCAGTACTCAGCTTAGTGGGAGGAGCGGTTCCCGGAGCCAATCACGCACCACACGTAGCGGATCGCGAAGTATTCGCGGTCGATCACCCGGCAACGGCAGCTACGAGTGCACTGACTGTTCCCGAAGGTTCCAGCGACGGACGGACCTCGAGTATGTAGCACCAACCACCCTCCACTGATCTGATCAATCACGTGCTAACAATGCAACCCCAGGCACCACAGGCGCTCCCACACAGCGAACGAAGAACGGCCGTTCCGATGCACCCACGAATCATGCGGCTGGGCCTTCCTCTACCCAAAGGACCTCGAGCGTCACGTGCAGAAGCACCGTGCAAAACCGAGACAGGTTCCTTGCATGAACGAGAACTGCAGTAAGATGTTCACGCTGCCGTATAACATGCGCAGGCATTATTCGAAGAGCCACGAGAGCTAGGCTGGCCCTTGGCTCTCGACGGCGACTGGTTCATCTGAGTTTTACTGGTGATTGGCGAAAGAGCAAGGTTGGTCATGCTGCGTGGTTGTCACGTGGCTTTGTTAAGTGTGCAGTATTCGAGCGGAATTGCGGTCGCGGGGGCTAATACCAGGGATTGGGTCTGTGTTGTTTCATTTGAGCGCGCGCTGGTCGTGTCTCATTTATTCCTGTCTTTTATCTCTTTTTTCATCTCTCTACTTCCACTTACGGGTAATGACGTGACGGGGCACGGGAAACGCATGAAGCAATGTCAGCACGGCTGGTCCGGCTGCGTGGCTTGTCGATGTCGATATGATACAGCTGTGCTATGAATAGACGACGTTGACACTATATTTGTGGGGGCCTTTTGCTCGCGACGAAATGTGTTTTTTGGTTTTGTTTTATTGAGTACCGTTCCTTTCTAGCCTCGCAAATGCGGTAAGTCCCGTGATGGCAAAGGCACTTTCATCACTTAGGCTGAGATTGATTTGAGTGCATATAAATACATAGGGCTTCACTGTCGCCTTCGCGCTCCACCCTATTCATCATCCAAGTCATCGGCATGCAGCCTCGCCCACGGACTCCTGGCCCTCAACGCACGGCCATACCTCTCCAGCACAAACGGAATCGGCACGAGGACGCAAGCCAAGAAAGCGAGGATGGAGCCGGCCCAGCGATAGCCCTCGTTCACGAACATCTGGCGCGCAAACAGCGGGAACCCGGCGCCAGCGAGATTGCGGATCAGGCCGATGCCGGCGAGGGCGCTGGCTGAGAAGGTGCCGTACGAGTCTTCGGTGTAGGTGTAGGTTAGCAGGATCAGCGTGTAGAAAGACCAGCCCCAGAGGGCCGAGGCGATGATGGGCACGATCCAGTGGATCGAGGTGTAGGTCGTCCAGGCGAACCAGAAGAGCGAGATTGGGAAGGCTGCGGTGCGGCGTGTGTGTGAGCTGTGTGTGCTGTGTGTGTGTGTGCGGGGGCGTGGGAGTGTACTTACTCACAGCGGCGAGCTTGCCGAGCTGCACGCGTGCTTCGGGGATGTTTTTGCCTCCGGACTGCGCGATGCGCTTCTTGTAGTACCTTTCCTGCCAGAGATTGGTGATGGGGCCGCAGGTGATTCCCACTGTGATGCCTAGGAAGGCGAGGCCGACGCCGATGATGTTGAAGCCGTGGCCTTCTGGCCCGAATACCAGCGAGAACGCGGTGTTGAATAGGAAACTCAATCCGTAGAGATACCCGTTGTACAGAGCCGCGAAGATGATGATTGCCTCTGTTCCCAGGAACCGGAACGGTCTCGTCAGCGCGACTTTGAATAGCTCGCCCCAGCCGCGCCTCTTCATCTCGTCTGGGACGTCGATGTTGTCCGTGTGGCGTCTCTCTCTTTCGCGCTTTGCGCGCTTCTCGAGCAGGATGCTGCGTCTTGTCTCGCCGACGAAGAGGATGGTTGCCGTCATGATGAGCCAGAAGCCGCCGCAGATCCCTAGCAGTGCCCACATGACATCGTTCCACTTGCGGTTCTGCGCCACAAAGGACATGAGGAAGTATCCGGTAGGCGAGCCAGCGGTCGCCGCCCATAGGAAGATGGACATGGCTGGGCCCGTGTCGTGCGAATGGTATAGATCGGCGATTGTGCCGCCGAAATTCGCTGGAGACAGTGAGCAGTGCGTGGCGCAGGTGGGGGATGGAAAGCGCACCGATTGTGACAGACGAGAATAGTCCAGAAAAGAAACGTAGAGTTAGGAAGCCTCCTAAATTTGGAGCTAATGCCGTACCCATCAGGAACAGAAGGTATATGCCGTAAGATATTATGTAGATAGGACTTCTGCCGAAATGCTATGATATTGTCAGTGATACAGTCAACCATCTAACCACGTGAGATCATACCTCTGATAAAGGGGCTCTGTCTTATTATTAGCGGAAGAAATAGCCTTGTGTTGGAGATACTTACAAGCTCATCGGTCCAAGAGCCAGGCCCAGCACATACAAACTCAGTCCCAGCGTGGCCACCTCAGTAGACACGCCCATAGATTTAGAAAAACTCGTGCTAGCAGGCGAGTACCCCGAGGCTCCCCAGCTAACACTCAGGTCTATGAGGACAATAGAGCCAATGAGAAGGCGTTTCCGCCAGCGCGGCCAATTTCGGGGATCCTCCGGGTCGCCAAGCGGAAACGTGACGATGTGGACTTCGGAACCATCTGCCCGGCGCGTGTCCAAAATGTTCTGTTCGGCTGATGTAGCGTTGCTGCTGCGAAAGGCCTGGGAGAGACCGTCATCGGCAGTCGTAGTAGACTCGGAGTGCCGTTCTGCGGCCATGATGCTGGCCGCTTATTTAGTAGCGCTGCGCCTATGAGAAAGCAGGAAGAGCCCAAAAGGCGGACGGAGGGGAAGAGCGCGCAACAAATCTTCTGGCGTGCTCGACTGCGCCTCTGTAGCACAATCCCAGGGCGCACTGCTGCTTGGTGCAGTAGTAATGCGCGCCTCAAAACTCCAGCTTACCTTACCCCGCCTTGTTCGCGTGCGGTACCGAGGATTTTGCGCCACTGGTTCGGCAATGGAAATCCGCGATCTACCCAAGGATGGAACTGGAAATATGTATACCAGAGATAGAGATGACAGAGCAAAAGCTTGGCTGAAAACGTGCGGCGTTAAGCACATTTAAGCTACACAGAAAATGCCTAGACGCGCCGCAGCTAAAGGCACGCCTTTACTGATAGCGGACGCTTTGGCGTTGTGGTGACGTTGGCGATTGCAAATTGATCGACATGAAGATAGATCGTCCAGAACTTCGTTCCCAATCGGGAAAGGGTCTGCTTACTAGTTGACGCAGGAGGCTTGTGTACGTAAATTTATGTTCGCTTCCCAATGCAATCCAATGATCCATGAATATTTATCGCTCTTGAAGAACTCCTGCTAGACAAGACAAATTCACTGCGCATCACCGGCAGTCTTCTTTGCAGAAACCCCGAGCTCTCCGGGTAATGTCTATGTGTTTTGGCTAGGACACGACTTGCAAAAACCCTGCCTCTAAGGAGTGTGTCTTGACAACGTTTATGTACGATGGCCTAGTAAGAACGAACTAGGCCGTCTAGAAGCTTACCAAGGTCAAGTTTCTAATTCTCTTTACTATACTATCCTTAGTTTCGCGATCTAACTTATTTCTCTTCCACCCCGCGATATTATACATGCGCGAGTCTTTAAAATCGGGGTTTTAAGCGTAGTGGTAGTATAGAGTACCTAGTTTTTGCGCTGTTTGGCGGTTACCTTATGCTTATACACCCACCGTACACATACCTAACCCCTGCATCCGCACACACACACACACACACACACACACAATGCAAACATCCATCCACATCCAAACTCACTCATACTCTATTCACTGATACTCAAGTCGTGTCCATACTGTACTGTACTCAACCCTCCATACCACCAACCACCAACCCATCATCAGAGACCGAACAGGTACCTACCTAGGTACCTAGGTAGTCTAATCCAGTGTACCGTACCTACCCACCTAGCACGCAAAAGAAAAAAGCAGACGCAAAGCAAGACGCAAAAAGCAGCCAAACCAACCAACCAACCAACCAACCAGCCAGCCAGCCGAACCCGTATAGTCCCAGAAAGAAGCAGAAAGAAGCAGCCGTACCAAAGCACAGCCATACCACAAAAGCCATACCGCAACCGCAAAAGCAAGCGCAAAAGGAAAGGAAAAGAAAAACCTTCACCAGCCACCGCTCTTTTACCCACACCTCAAGTCCTCAATCCCCTACGCACACCCTCTCACTCTACCCCTCAACGCCCTTAACCTCGCCACCGACAACAACCTCCTCGCCCTCGCCTGCCTCCGTCTTCGCCACCTCCACATTCGCAAGCTTCTTCCCCTCGAGCTCGAGCTCCCCGACCCTCCTCTCAGCCCTATCCTTCGCCTCCATGACGCTCTCATACTTCCTCGCCAGCTTCTCGTGCGCCGTCTGCATAGCATCGAGGCGCTCCTCGAGCGCGTCCCGCTCAGCCCTCGCCTTCTGCTGCTCCGCCTCCGCCTTCACAATGCGCGCAGCTTCGTCATCGGCCTGCGCGCGCGCGGCAACGAGCTCCTTCTCGCTCGCCACGGCGCGGCCCACAAACTCGCCGACCTTGGCCTTGAGGCTGTCGTGCTCGGCCTTGGCTGCTTCGGCGGCGGAAGCCGCGGCCGCGTCGGCGTCTTCGCGCGCTTTTTGCGCTTCCGAGAGCGACGTCTCGAGAGCTGAGATCTGCGCTTGCGACGCTTCGTGCGAGGAGGTGATGTCTGACAGCTCGGCCGCCTTGGCTTCCAGGCTCGCCGACGCCGAGGCGTGCTTCTCCTCTGCCTCCTTCTGCGCTGCCTCTGCGGCCTCGAGCTTCGTGACCTGCTCGGCCTGCGCCGCCTGCGCGGACTCGAGCTCCGCCTTGCTGGCCTCGTGGGTGGAAGTGAGTTCCTCAATCTTGGCCTCGAGCTCTGACTTGCCCTCGACGCTCTTACCGAGCTCCTCAATCTTGGCCTCCAGCTCTGCCTTCGACGAAGCGTGGCCCTCGGCATCAGCCGTCAGCTCCGCGATCTTGGCCTCCAGCTCCGCCTTAGCTTCCGCCTCCTTGCCGAGCTCCTCAACCTTACCCTCCAGCTCAGCGACCTTGGCCTCGACCTCTGCGACCTTGGCCTCAGCCTCCGCCTTGGCTGCCTCAGCCTCGGCTTTCGTGGCCTCAACACTCTCCTTCTCAGCCGTCACGGCCTCGACCTTAGCTTCCGCTTCCGCCTTGGCCGCCTCAGCGCCGTCCTTCTCCGTAGCAAGCTCCGCGACCTTAGCCTCGAGCTCAGCAACCTTGGCATCAGCCTCAGCCTTCGTCGCCTCAACACTCTCCTTCTCAGTCGTCACAGCCTCGACCTTAGCTTCGAGCTCCGCCTTCGCCGACTCCGCCTCCGCCTTAGCGGCCTCAGCCTCCGTCTTCGCCGCCTCAGCAGCATCCCTCGCAGCGGCAGCCTCGTCCTTCTCGCCCGAGAGCGTCGAAACCTGCGCCTCCAGCTCCGCGGCCTTGGCCTCAGCCTCCGACGCCTTGGTCTCGAGCTCCGCGGCCTTGGCTTCCGCTTCGGAGGCCTTGCCCTCCAGCTCCGCGACCTTGGCCTCAGCCTCCGAAGCCTTAGTCTCAGCCTCCGAAGCCTTAGCCTCAGCCTCAGCCTTGGCGGCCTCAGTAGCCTCAAGGGCACTCTTCGTCTCGCCGTGCGCCGACAGCTCAGCCTCATGCGCGGTCTTGGTCTCAGAGTGGGCGGCCTCAGCAGCCTCGAGCGCCGACTTCGTCTCGCCGTGGGCTGTCTGCTCCGTCTCATGAGCCGTCTTGGTTTCAGCGTGAGCGGTCTCAGCGGCCTCAAGGGCGGCCTTGGCCTCAGTGTGCGCGGCTTCGGCAGCCTCAAGGGCGGCCTTCGTCTCGGCGTGCGCGGCCTCGGCGGCTTCAAGCGAGCTCTTCGTCTCGCCGTGGGCGTTCTGCTCGGCCTCGTGCGCCGACTTGGTCTCGGCGTGAGCGGCCTCGGCAGCTTCAAGCGCGGCTTTAGACTCGGCGTGCGCAGCTTCCGCCGCCTCGAGCGCGCTCTTGGTCTCGGCATGTGCCGTCTGCTCAGCCTCGTGTGCCGACTTGGTCTCGCCGTGTGCAGTCTGCTCGGCCTCATGTGCCGACTTCGTCTCGCCATGTGCCGTCTTCTCGGCCTCAAGGCCCGTCTCAGCATCCGACAGCTTCGTCCTCAGCTCCGAGAGCTCGCCAGCCGCCTCGTCGATCTTGTTCTGGGCCTCGGTGGCAGCAGCAGCAGCTGCCTCGCGCTCGGCCTCGCGCTCCTTAGCCTGCTCCTCGGCAGCAGCACGCGCGGCGGCAAGGTCCGCCTCGAGCGTCGCAATCTGCTCCTTGAGCGCGTCGGCAGCGGCGACCGCCTCCTGGAGGTTCTTGACCGTCTCGCCGTGCTCGCCCGACGCCGAGTCGGCCACCTGCTTGGCCGACTGCAGGTCCGACGTCAGCGTCTGGATCTGCTCGTCGAGCTTGGCGGCGGCGGCGGCGGCCTCGCTCTGCTTGGCATCGTGCTCGGCCTGCAGGGCCGCGAGCTTCTCCTCGTGCTCCTTGGCCTCGGTGCGCGCAGCCGACAGGTCCGTCTGGGCAGTCGCCAGCTCCGTGGCCACGGCCGCGACCTTCTCCTCCAGCTCGGCCTTGATGGCGTCCCTGGAGGCGTTGGCAGCCTCGAGCGCCGCAGTCGTCTCATTGGTCTTGGTCTCAGCGGCCTCGTGGTTTGCCTTCGCGGTGGCAAGATCCGCCTTGAGCGCCTCAATCTGGGCGTCAAGCTCGCCCTTGAGGCCATCGTTGCCGGTCTTGGTGGCGTCGTGGTCGCGAATCAGGGCCGAGATCTTGGCCTCGTGCTCGTGCTGGATTTGGTCCTACGTCCCTTGCGTCAGCACACGTGTCTCGGCGGGTGGGGTGAGACAAGTGAGGGGCAAGGTGGGGGGATGCGGGAAAAAAAACAAAAAGCCATGTCCGGTAGGTAGCACTCACCAGTTTCTGCTTGTACTCCTGCTCGAAGCCGTCCTTGACGGCGTCGCGCTCGGCCTTGCGCGCATCCGTGATCTGCTGCACGACGACCGACACCATGTGCTCCTCGAGAGCGGCCTTTTGCTGGAGCAGCGCCGTCTCCTTGATCTTGAAGTCGGCCTCGAGCTCCTCGGCGCGGTGCTGCAGCGTCTTGACCTCGGCGTCGCGGTTGCCGAGAGCGGTGTTGGCGTCGGCGAGCTTGCGCTCCAGGTCCTCGACGGGGTTGCCCGTGGAAGCGGTGGTGCTGGTGCCCTCGGCGGCGGCGTCGCCGTTCTGCTCGTCATACTCGCCGTAGGTGTCCTCGCCCTCGGGCTTGCCGCCCGGGCCGAAAAAGTACTTGTACGCGCGGAACATTTTGCCCGGGGCCTTGGTGGGGCGCGATTGGGTGGGTGAAGGGCGCGGGAGAGGTGGTGGAGGGGGAGGGGTGCGTTTCGAAGGTTTGCGGGCGAGTGGTGGTGATTGTTGTGGTTGTCGCTGTTGCTCCTGCTTCGGACGCGGTTGCGGCTGGGGACCCTGAGATTTGCTAGTGCTCAGGAGGCGGGAGTCAAGCTCGGCGGCTAGTTCGCGCTCGTCGCCGACCGAGTGGATGGTTCGGAGGGGGGCAGTTTCTGCTCGCTTCCTCTGGCGGGGAGCAGCGCGAGTAGTAGTGGTGGTAGGATTGGGAGTGGCGCTATTAACAGGTTGCTGCTGCTTCTCGGAGATGACCTTTGGTCTATCGCCGTGGTGGCTTCTTTGGTTGGGGGGAAAAGGCAGGTGTTAGTAAACAAACACAAAACAAGCCTTTCGGGACGAGGGTGAATGAGGGGGGAAAAATTTGCGGTCCTGACTTTTGGACTTGGGGCGGGTGGAGCTAAGCGGAACGTGTGTAGGTGTGGAGATGGGACGTGGTGTTTTGCGCCGCGGTGGACTGCGCTAGGCAATTTTTTTTTTTTTTCGTCGTTGTCGCTGGTGGAGGTGCAAGCGGACGGACTTACTCGCTGGATCGGCGGGCCTTGAACAGGGTCGGCATGGTGACTGCACTAGTTAAGAAATGCTGCTTGCTTCTATCCAGTATGTTTGTGTATACAAAGTATGTACGATTGATGTCTTTGTTTCTGCATCTCACACTTTCTCTCCTTCCTCCCTTCTATCACGTATGCTGCCTGCCTGCCTGCCGGGGCATTCAGCATTCAGCAAGCAGTTGCCGCGAGCCGGGGAAGCAGCATCCCGCACGCGGCCCAGGCCCAATCACGCCGTGCAACGTGCCCGCCAACGCAGCCAACGCATCGCCCGCCCGAACGTGTTCGCTGCCCCGCCCCACCCGCGAGCCAGCTGTGTGATGTCTCGCGTGCGTGATCGCGAACCGCGAACGTAGTGAGCCTGATTGGCGATTGCAGTGAGTCTGATCGGCGGCGCAGCGAGCCTGGTTGGTGATGACTCGATGCGCAGCGGGACGAAACCACACCTCACGCACCGGACAAGCAAGCGTAAGCCGATCGCGCAAATGACCTTAACAGCGGAACGCATCTCAAACGCGCGGCTACAATGGTGCAGGTGCGGGTGTGTGCGGGCGGGCTTCAAACGACAGCCAAACCACAGGCAAACCCGCCCAGCAACAACCCTTCACGCGCACCCGCCCCAGCCCGGCCCAAAAGCTTTCCCACCACCAGCGCGTCCTCCCCGCGCCATCACGTGCGCGCACTCAACCTGCCCGTTCGGATCTAGCCGCCACCGCATCGGGCAAGTACGTGGTACACAGCATGCATCCATCCTGCCCCGCCTGCCCTAGCTACTACCTACTACATATGTAAGCAAACACGCTGCCTAAGGCCTAGGTGCGTAGTGAGCCAGCCCAGCCCCAGCACAACCACGCGTCATCAGTGACACGACACGACTCGATACGTCCCCGCATGCGCGTACGGCACGGCACCCGGCTGCGGCTTAAGGTGGTCTGCTATAGAGGGGCGCCGACTAGGAAGACCCCGGCTGGGCCGTGGCGTGGGCAGCGGGTTTCGGGCGCGGGAGATCCGCCGTCCATGCGCCTGTGGGCTGGTGGCGCGGACGTGGACGTGGGTGGTGGGAGGGTGTTTGGGTGGGGAGGTGTGGCTTTGTTCTTTTTGTTCTTTTTGTTTTTGGCTGTTTGGTTGTGCGTCTAGGTGGTGTGTTTGCGGCGGGTGCTGCCTGCTGTGCTGCTGTAGAGCCGTGCTGCTGCACCTATGCTCTGTTTACTACGTCCGTCCTGCCTTGTCCGTCCGGCTGGAAGGGTTGGCGTGGTGCTGTTGTGCGTTTGGGCGGCTTTGTTGCGTACGGGTAGGTAGGCAGGCGGCTACCTAGAAGGAAGGGTCTGTCTGTCTGTCCGGCTGTCTCTTTCTGCGCGGCGTCGTTTGTTCCCTCTACACAGCCAGTACCATCCCTTCACCACCAACTACGACAACACAACCCTCGCAAACGCCTCGCCGACGCCCCTCTCCCCCAACCACGCCTCCAAAGCCTTCATATCGCCGCGATTCGCCCGCTCACCATGCCGCTCGCCCAGCGCGTCCGTAATCTCCGCCATATCGGCAAACGCCCTCTGGAGGACGGGGGCCTCGCGCCAGCGCTCCGACACCTTCTTCTGGTGGCTGGGGATGTCGCTCCAGCTCACCGCCTTGATGTAGCGCATGTAGGCGTCGATGTCGCCGGCCCGGCCCTCGAGGCACAGCACGCCCGGCTTGCCCGCGAGCACGAAGCCGGTCAGCGCGTATGACGGCGCGGTGGTGACGAGGTCGAGGCGCTTGGCGCGCGTGCTGAGGGACGGGAAGTAGAACCAGGCGCGCACCAGCTCCGCACGCGCACTCGCATCGCCTCCGCCCCCCTCCGTCGCCTCACCGTTCCTGGCACCAGCGCCAGCGCCAGCGCCCCCCTCTCTCGCGCACGCAGCTTTCGCGGCCGCTGCGCCGTGCGCCCGCACCGCTTCCACGGCCCCAAATACGTCGTCTCCAGCTTCCTCGGCCACCGCTTGCCCCAGCGCCGTGTGCTCGGCCCGCGCGAGCCAGTGAGGCTGCCGCAGCGCCCAGCGCAATGCTGGCGGCTCCGTCGCGTCTGCTTCCGTGCTGCGCAGCGGCACTGTCACGTCCATGCGGATGGTGCGCGCTTCGCTCTCTTTTTCTTCTTCCTCTGTGTCTAGCGCTATGTGTACCGCGAAGGCGAGCTCGGCGGGCGTGCCTGGAGGGTGCGCAACGCCTGGAGGGTGTGTAGCGTCTGAAGAGGTATCCAGGTCCGCAGAATCACACCACGCGCGCAACCGCGCGGCGGCCTGCTCCGTCTCATCCGACAGTTCGAGCTCCCCCGGCGCGGGAAACATGGCGGCGAAGAGGTCCATGGTCGCGAGCTGGGCTTCGAGCGCGTCACGCGGGAGGAGGTGGGACGGTGGGGCGGCTGCCATTGTTGCATATGCGGGCACGGGCGCGCGATTATGTGGGAGGTTGTGTGCGTGTGTGTGGTTGGTTGGAGGGGGGAGGTGCGCGAGGTGGTAGGAGGGCGTGAACGTGGCGGGTGTGTGGTGTGTGGTGTTTGGTGTTGAGAGTATTAAGATGGATCCATGTCATGTCGCGCGCGCGGCGCGACTTCGGTGTCTCGGGCTAGGGTCGCGATGGCATGGCCGCTGGGCAAGGGTGTGCGTGGATAGGTAGGTAGGGCTGACTGGTGATGTAGATATGTGCTTAATGGCGGGCTTCATGATAGCATGGGCGTGGGTGTAGAGGGCTCGATGTGGGGTAGTGTGCGCGCGGGGCATGGGTATAGAATCTCTATAGGTAGCAATAACATGGACGACTAGCGTAGGTACGAATACATGTCCGCCCGCAGGACAGGAGCAGTCGCCGCCAAACGGGCGCAGGAGCAGCAACAATCAGGCGCCAGAGCCTCCCAGCAGCCGCAACCAAAACGCCGGCGCCTCAGCACAAAAGAAGGAAGCAGCAGCAACAGCGACGGCTGCGCTCACGGCTGCGCCAAGCGGTTCTCGACCTTCTTCTTCTCGCCCTCGCGGATCTCGGCCAGCTCCTCGCGCGTCGAGTTGTACTTGCCCGCGACCTGGTTGAAGGGGTTGTCGGGGTGCTTTTCGAACTCCTTCCTGATCTGGTCGACCTTCTGCTGGCGGCGCAAGCCCTTCTCGTCCTTCATCTCCTCGAGGCGGCGCTCCTCGTACGCAGCGTAGGCGGCCTTGAAGCGGCGCTCCGGGTGGCGGTCGATCTTGTCGTTGTTGGCGCCCGACGTCAGCGAGAGCGCGTCCAGCGCGTTGTCGATGCCCGACGCGCTGAGCGCGGCCGCCTTCTTGTTCGCGGGCGCGTCGAACGACCCCAGCGCGTCGTCCAGCCCGCCCCCGGCGCGTCCGCCCTTCTTCTGCGCTGTCTTCGTCTTCGAGGGGCCCTTGGATGGCAGCGCCGCCTCTTCTTCCTTCATCAGCGCGTCTTTCTCGGCCTTCTTGCGTGCTGCTTCTGCCTGCTTCTGCGCCGCGGCCTCACTGCGTGCCTGTGTCAGCTATCTCCGTCGCGTACGAGAGAGTCGAGTCGTCACTTACGCCTTGGCGTTGCTCTTGGAGCCCTTGGACCACTCGACATCCTCCTGCGCCGACTTCACCTTGTCCGCCGCGGCCTGCTTTGCCGCCGCAGCGTCAGCCTTGCGGGCCTGGCCGGCCGCCTTCTTGGAGTTTTCGCCGCCTCCGCCGCCCTTGCCGCCTTTCGCCATGGTAGTTGTGTGTGCGGGTGTTGAAGTGTAGGTCGAGTCCGCTCAAGTCCGGTGCGGGTGAAGATAGCTTGGGCCGAGCGCTTGCGTCAGCGAGTCGTCGGCTGAGGTGTGTGGTGAGTGTCAGGTGGGTTGTGTGTTGCGGAAGAGTAGAGTTTGCAGCTGTCAGATGCTGCCCGATAAATCGGAGCTGCCCCGCCACCCCTCTTGGCCGGGCATGACGGAATCGGATGGTCTGTGCCCCGAACAGTAGCTGCCTCGATGCAGTCGCCAACATTGTGCGACATGGTACAAGAATGCTGTGTCCGTATTGAAAGTATAAAGAACTACTCTAGGTATGTTTGAAATGGGAAGTCTGCAACCGTCTAACCCGCTGTGCACCGTTGCACCACTCTAAACTAAAACTCAGCCGCAACCATTCTTGACTACACCCTCTCCGCCCCCGAGTCCATCGACAGCGTCTGCATTATGTGCGAGCCGTTGTGCGAGTCCCCATTAATGAGCCTCTCCTTCCATATCTTCCTCTGTTCCTCCTCCTCGCGAACCGCATTATTACACCGGTGGCGCACGGCCAGCACGCTCAGCGCAAACCCGACAATCCACCAGGCGAACAGGATCGGCAGTGCGCGGTACTCGCGGTTGTGGCATCCGTGCGACCAGATCTGTACGAGCATGGTGTAGGTCTCATGCGCGGGGAGCGCATAAGTCCAGTGGTAGAAGCCCGGCGTGAGCTCGAACGGCATGATGGTACTGGAGATGTTCAAGATGACCCAGGTGATGACGAAGAACGTCATGAACTTCATGGGGACGAAAGCCGTCGCGAAGTCAAGGACGAAGTAGTTGATGTGCATGTAGAACCAGAGCGTCATCCAGGTCAAGCCAAAGTCGTCACCTGTCACTGCCCAGTTCTCACGGAAAGCCCAGACGTAACCGGTCATGCAGAGAGATGCGACAAAGGTAAATGCCAAGGAGAGGGCGAGCCGGACACAAAAGTTCTCGAGCCGTGGGAGCTTGGTCGAGAAATGAGCAGCGGCGGCGATGCCGTTTATAGCCATCAAGAAGAAGAATTGCATGATGATGCCCATGACGAAGGTTACGGTATTGTACAGAACGCGCGAGCCGTGGGTGGTTGGTTGGATCGGGTTGTTGGTAGCTTGGATAGGGTTGAGAAGAGCTTGGACTGCCGCTGCATCGGATGTGCTGACGGCTTGGATGGCCCGGCTTCCATTGATATGGTTGTATACGACGCCAGCTACCGGTGCTAGCTCGGCAAGGCTCGCCTGTATTTGCCCCTGGGCGGCAGTGGGATAACGAACTGCATTCCAGATCGAGGTAAGCGTGTTGGCAGGATTGTAGGACGACGCGGCTTCGCCCCCGGCCAAAGCAGCAGACAACCTGTCGCTGGCTCCAGCATGGCTGTAAACCGCTCCCCAATAATGGCCTTGACAAACGGCATTTCTGAGATCGGCGGGTGTAGGATATTCTGTTGCGGAGTGTTGCTCAAAGGTAGGAAAGCTGTCCGCTTTGAGTTGCTGGTAGGCGCCCGAGATGGCTGTACCAATCACACCCTGGTCATAGTCGACCATGAGTATTCTCATGTTGTGGGCTCTGGAACCCGACTGAAAGGTAACGCCGTAGAGCCACGACATGTTTGCGAGGAAGAGGAGCTGGAGCAACAAAAAGGTCATTCCAGCCCCTATGAAGAACTGCTTCCGCTTGTCATGCCAGAAGCTGTGATGGAGCGGAACACGGTCTCCAGACCGCTTGGTGAAGGAAAACATTGTGAAAAAGTAAAAATGAATGAGGAAAGTACACTCAACGAGTTGGAGGAATGATGTGAAGCTTCAAAAGAAGGCGCTAGGTGTCACGGCATGTTTATATTATATGTCAAAATGAGGTGCCAGCAGGCACGACAAGATTGGACATGGGCAGCTGCAACTCGGCCGAGGGCCATGCTTTTTCGATGCAGCGAGGGACAGGGAGCCCCGGGCCCGAACATAATTCCTGAGATCATCCGTCGAAACAAATGTCGTGGTTAGCGCAAGGCTTTCGCGGGGACGCGGAGAGTTACAACCGCCGACGTGTTTAAGGCGGAGCCCCGCCATAAGTAAGAAGTGTGGTCGGGTGGCGAGCTGTTTTAACCCGACGGCCGAGGGCACCGTAGGTACTCCTATTTTTTGCCCACCCCACGTGATGACATACCTGCAAAACCATATAACGTACTTTCTACTATTAGGTAGTTTATATCTTTATCCCTTTATAAGTGCATCTAAGCCCTTCGGGTTTTTTTTTATTTTCGTGCCCTTATGGTATACTCAAGTACTTTTATATTTCTACCTTTATATCTTTTCAAATACTATTATACCTTGTATTCTTTTTTTTTACCTTTACGTAGTTATATAGTACCTACTGACCATAGCGTAATAGTCTATTATAACTACCTAAAGAGCACTCTATAGGTATCGTAGATTTCACTCAACGTGTAGTTGAGGGGTGGGCAAATTATCCGAGCCCGCCGTAAGAAGTGTGGCGGTGAGCTGTTCTAAGCTGACGACCGAGTCCATATGGAATAGCAGGATGATCGGAGAGTCGGAGAATGATGCGTGAGCAGTATAAGACGGCTTGCGCTGCTTCCGAGTAGAGTAGGAGGAGGTCGGGCGGACGTCATGCCGGGATTGGCGCTTGGGCTTTTCGCGACGCGACGTCGAACATTGCTGCGCCTATCCCCACGCGTCCCTACCTTACTCTGCTCTCAGCCCACCACCCCGTGCTCGACCAGTGGCCTCCTCCACCCCGGACCACCCGCCTTTCCGCGTCTATTTTCTCAGCACAAATATTGTGTTAGCATTCATTCCACGGAATCTGCCTGCTATGGCCACGGCTCCGCAGTAAGCTCGCCTGAACCCGACGCGTCCTCGAACGCGTCTCAATCAGCAGAACCACGACTGGACAACCGGCCTGCGACGGCCTCGACGTACACGCATACGGCAGCTACCTCTCGGACCTCCTCGGCTTCGCGTACCCACCGCCACCATGCATCTCCCTCGGAACCTAATCTCCCATCTTTACACCCACCTCCTCCACACGACGCACCCGCTCTCTCCGCCCGTCCTCCTGCTCGTTTCCCTCGAGCCCGATGCCTTATGCGCCTGCCGGATCCTGACCGCTCTCTTGAAACGCGACTACATCCCCCACAAGATCCAGCCAATTGCCGGCTACAATGACCTCGCACGCGCTGGACAGGACCTGGTACGCCCCATGCGCACCACCGATGGCGGCAGCGGCGGAGTTGTGGTGTGCTTGGGTGTTGGAGGATTGGTCGATTTGGAGGACTTGCTGGGGCTAGAGGAGGAAGGGGGCGCGAACTACGGCGGGGTTGAAATTTGGGTCATGGATGCCAGGAGGCCATGGAACTTGAGCAACATATTCGGCGGACACGGAAATGGAGGAACCGAGGACACCGAATTACCAACAAAACCGTCAGGGGTTGAGCGCGGGAGGTTATTACGCTCGTACAAGCCCGGAAAAGGCGGTATCGTGGTGTTTGACGACGGCGATATTGAGGAAGAGCTGGAGGGCGAGAGAGAAGCGTATTGTGCTCTTGAGCAGATGCCCGAAGTGGATGAAGGCGACGATGACGATGACGATGAAGAAAGTGACGAAGAACAAGAATATGACGACGCAAATCAAGCACCCACCTCGGGTCAGGGTGGAAGGAAAAGAAAAGCGTGGGGAGACGAAGAGGATGAAGACAGTGACGAGGACGAACGCCCTGCACAAAGGCGAAGGGGCAATGCAGTATGTTCAAGAATCAGAATTGTGAATTGTTTACTGACTATCCTCCCAGTCCTCTTCAATACCATCGTCTCCTTCGCGACCACCCCGGCGGGGTCTTCTTACCACGAACTCGTCAGATTTCTCACACTCCGACTCAATAAGCCGTTCTCCGTCACCTGCACATGCCCAAGTCTCAAAACAGCCTTCTGCTCGTACCCTTCGCCGTCGACTCATCAAACTTCGTGCACAACATAATCGCGTTCTGGACAGCTACTACTCGCTAGGAACGTCCTACTCAGAACCCGTATCTTCGATCATGTACAGCCTTGCATCCGAACTCGGCCGCGAAGACAACGATCTCCTCTGGCAAGCCATCGTGGGTGTTAGCAGCCTTGAGCTCTACGGCCGCACCCCTACCGGCCTGGGTTTCTCGGCAAATACTATAAAACAAGGATGGAACGGCTCTCGCGGTGACCGAATTCGCGCCGTCCTCCGCGATGAAGTACGACGTCTCAACCCTACAGACTTGAAAGATTTGGCGCGAGAATCCAATTTGGGAGAGTCGGGAGGCGTTATACCCACTCATGCACGATCACCAACAGACAATGCTATCAGACTCTCCCCGGAGCCCCGTTTCCTTCTCATTCGTCACTGGAGTTTATACGACAGCATGCTGCACAGCCCTTACCTATCCGCCAAACTGCACATCTGGAGCGACGCCGGCCGAAGGCGATTGCACAAGCTGTTAGCCAAGATGGGCGTCAGCCTCACGCAATGCAAGCAGAGCTACACACACATGGACATGGAGCTCAAGCGGGGGCTGCGGGAGCGCCTCCTCAAATTCGCACCAGTATACGGGCTGGACGGGCTAGTACCGGAAGCAGCCGAACGGGGCGCAGGCAAAGAAGGCTGGGGCTTCGTGCGGTGCTGGGGCTGGAAAGCGTGTCTCTCAGCGATCGACGTAGGGGTCATCCTCGGCGCGATCCTCGAAGTCGGCTCCAGCGTGCACGCAGCCCCCGCGCTGCCACCAACGCCGCAATCGCTCGACAGCAATGGCGACGTGGTCAAGCAGGCGGCGTTTGACGACGAGGCGGCCCAGGACGCCATCACCAGCCGCTTCTGGAGCGCCTACGACGCGCTGTGCTCGCCCGCGCTACTCACGCAGCATATCCCCATCGCGCAGCACCTGCACCGCGCGATTCTGCGCACCGGCACCGCCCTCATCGCAAAACACCAGATCCGGCACCTGCGGGCGTTCCGCATGGCGGTGGTGAAGGAGGGCCCCGACGCAGCGCTGTTCACGCACGCGGGCGCGCTTGTCAAGCTCGCACTGTGGGTCGCGGAAGCGGTGGCCGAGATGGAAGGCAAGAAAGGCAAAGGCGGCGCGGGCAACGAGCTCGTGATGGCGGGCCTGGACGAGGCGAGAGGAGTGTACGTGGTTGTTGGGCTCGGGGGCGGCGGCACAACGGTGCAGAGCAAAGAGAAAGAAAAACGGCGAGCCGAGAAGCGGAAGCGGCGCGATGAGAAGCGCGAGACTCGGCGGCGCGAGAAGGCGGCTGAGAAACAGCGCGAGCTGGAACGGCGGCTGGCAAATGGAGAGGAGGACGCGATGGACGAGGATGATGATGACGACGACGACGACGACGACGACGAGCTGGAGACGGAGGATGAGGATAGCGAGGACAGTGAGAGCGAGGACGAGGATGCCGCTGCTGGTGGCAGGGGCAAGGCCAGGCGGCTGGGTCGCAATCGCTTCGGCATCGCGTTTCAGGAGGTTATTGAGGAGACGGGGGCGCGGGTCAAGGTGGACAGTTTCGAGCATTGCGTCGTCGAGGTGCGGAAGGAGGACTTGAGCGGGTTCTTGGAGCAGCTGAGCTTGAAGGCTATTGTGGGGTAGAGGGGTGGTTGTGGTAGTGGCAAGTGGGCATGGTGGCGGGTGAGAGTGGACAGGGGAATGGTGTTTGTTCGATGGCCTTGTGCTGTGTCTTGCTAGGTCGTCTTTACGTATTGGCGGGAGTTGGTGGGCGGGCTCTGTGGTTTTTTCCTTTAGGTGCATTCGTATGTGGGTTGCTAGTAGTAGTGCTCGCATCAGTTGCAATGCATATGCATGCACGCATGTATGGAGTTTTGCTTGTCTGTCTGTCTGTCGTGTTTGCGTGCGTGTGTGGATGGACGGACTTGAGGTTTACAGTACTGTTTGCGAGCCCGCGAGACGCCAGGACAGGACCGGACAAGATGGCGTCAGCCTGATCTTCATCCACTCTTACTCTTCTTCTGTCAGTGTGTATTGTACATACATACGAGAGGCCACGGCCCAGACGCGCCTATTACATTATTCCTCGGCTGCTCATGCCCGCTTCAGCGTCAGCAGCAGCAGCAGCAGCAGCAGCAGTGATCTAGAGCCGTAGCCAATAACGGGCTCGGTAGTGGCGGTTGCAGGTTGGGGTTGGGGTTTCGGGTTCGGGCAGCGACCGAGGCCGCGAGTCAGGTAGGAGCCCCGGCCAGGGCCCCGACACGCCCCGTCTCAGCTCTGGACTGCCAAAACAGTGCTGGCTTCAGTGCTGGCGTCATGGGGGTGCGTGTGGCGGGACATTGGTATGTACGAGTACTGTACTAATTATGGGCTTGCGTACTGTGTGTAGTAGGGCGTGGATTTGTGTTGTGTGGTGGTGCTGGGCTGCTTTGCGGAGAGCTTGTCTCCTGAGCTGGTGCCTGCTGCTATGTACAGTACATAGGCAACCACTGGTTGATGGTAGTGAGACTGTATCCAGGCGGATGGCTTGGTGATGCTGGTACTGCGCTTGATTTGCTGATACAGAGTACAGTACGATGAGCAAGGCAAGCCGGCAGTGGACGCACTCCCTCGGCACTCGTCGGCATTGGAGGACACGAGGGCACTGGCCGCGAGGACGTCGGCATAGACTATAAGGTTAATAATATCCAGGCAAACTAGCAGGCCGGGCGCGGATCCTCGACGCATAAGGCGCGTAGCGGCTCGGCAACGGCGTCTCAAGATCTCCCACATTACCCGAAGCGGCAGGCGGCCCCACCGACACCAGACGCGCCAAGTTCATGCTGTTCGCCCGCCTTGCAGCCTTCTGGCCTTCAAGCACCTCGCTTGTCGAGGATCCGACGTGTATCATGGTAATCCACCTCCCTCCCCTCCTCCCCTCCCCGCATAGGTCGGTACGCCTGTGCTCGGGCGTCCCAGTAACCGCCCAGGTCAGCCGCACTACTGTTGCAATGGGGTTTGAGATGGCCGTCGCCCTTCGCTTCTGCTTGCTGCCTGCCCTGCGCCGTCGACAGATAAAAGCGCGAGCGGCCTGCGCTGCTTCTTGTTCGCCATCATCATCAGCTCCTCCCAGCTCCACTACCACTCCACTCGACTTCCATTCTCCGGGTCCTGGTGATCCCATTCGCTTCTCTCTTCCACTCCAACTTACCTTGTTTCCTTTATTTTTTATATACCTGTACCTGTGCCGGCCACATTTTATTTCTCTTACTCCCCCAGCAATCCCTCATAATGCACTTCCAAACCCTCCTGGCCGTTGCCGCTGGCATCTCCTCCGTCAGCGCGCACGGCGTCATCCTCTCGGCGCAGGGCGAGGACGGCTCGACGCCCAGCCAGGGCTTCCTGCTGAACGAGGATGTGGCGCGCAACTGCACGTCCATCAGCCCATGCCAGCAAGACTCGACGATCATCCGGGACTCTGAGATCAAGCAAAACATCGTGAACGGATGCGGACGCACCGAGATCGCGGGCAACATCGACATTGGCGAGCAGACGGAAGTCGAGCTGGGCAAGAAGCGTGTGACCAAAGCCAAGAAGGGCGGCAGCGTCGCCGTCACCATCCACCAGGTCAACGCCGACGGCGCCGGACCCTACGAGTGCGACCTCGACGACACCAGCAACTCGGGCACTAACTTCCAGAAGCTCGACGTCAGCAACAACGTGCCCGGCGCCAACGGCCTCTCGGACGCCAAATTCCAGAAATTCACCATCAACGTCGCCCTCCCCGAGGACATGAACTGCAAGGGCGGCTCCACCGGCGACGTCTGCACCGTCCGCTGCCGCAACAACGCCCTCGCCGGCCCCTTTGGCGGCTGCTTCGCCATCCAGCAAACGGACGGCACGGGGCGCGCCGATAACAAAACCGCGTCCCAGATCACGACCGCGCAGAGCCTCGACGCCATCAGCAAGCAGATCCAGCAGAACAAGAAAGACTTCGACACGGCCAAGCAAGCCAACATCGCCGCCGGCTCGCCGGACACGGTCGCCGCGGCCGCAGCGTCCGCCCTCGCCAGCGACCCTCCCACCGCCACGCCCGGCGCTAGCTCCTCCTCTTCCTCTGGCAACGACGACAGCGGCAACGATGACAGCGGCAACGATGACAGCGGCAACAACGGCGGCTTCGGCGGCTTCGGCGGCGGCAACGGCTTCAGCAGCAATGGCTTTGGTGGCAACGGTGGCAACGGCGGCAACGGCGGCGGCAACGGCTTCTTCGACAACTTCTTCCGCAGCAGGCGCGCTGGTGCGGTCGAGAGGCGTAGACGCCAGGCTGAGGCTGCGAGGGCCCAGCTGCGTGTTTAAATGCCTGCTCCCTGGTGCCTAGGTACCTAGCTGGAGGCAGGTAGTGTTGAGGGGTGTGTGGTAAGGGTGTATGGACTAACAAGTCCGCACACAAGAAAACAAGCACACAAGCAAACACAAAAACAAAAACAGACGGCTTTCCTTTGTACAAAAGGGTGTGGGTGGGTGGTGGGTGGGTAAGCAGAGGGGGAGGCATAGGCATAGAGATTGATCTTAAGTCTTGACTAGTCCATCGAGCAGAGAAGTAAGCAAGCAAGGCAGTGCGTGCGTGCTGCAGAGGCGATTGCATTTGTACTGTAAGGTAGTGGTTGGTGGGCTGAGTGGATTACTGAATCTGAATCTGAATCTTCTTTTACTTCTTTTCAAATATGAAAAGCTTTGATGATGGCTGTCTGTGGTTTGCTGTGGTTTGCTGTGGTTTGCTGTGGTTTGTGGGGTTGTGAGGGGTTGTGAGGGGTTTGGGGAAGTGCGTAGGAAGGAGAGACAGGGAGAGGGTGGGCGGAGGAGCGGTGTTGGCGTTGCGCGCTTGCGTCTTGTGTGTTGTGTGTTGAGGGGAAGTGAGTGCGCAGTCCAGACCGCGGCCGTGTCGCGTGTTGTGTGTCGTGTGTCATGTGTCAAGTGTGTTTTGGACAAAAAGGGGACGAACTGAAGTGGACTGAACTGAACTGGCTTGACGAAGACGCAGAATGGCATGGGACAGAATGGAATGGGATAACTAGGGATGTTCTTACATTTCGAAGACGCGCGAGCAGAACCTACTTCCTTCCCGCCTTACCTAGCTAGCTAGCACAGCGCGCGCCGGACTGTCTGTGTTTGCGCCTTTGTCTGTGCCTGTGGTTGTGGCTGTGGGGCCGGTGCTGGGCGTGTGCGTAGGTAGGTAGGTAGGTATACTCTCTTAACCATGCCTGCATGCAGTGCCATAACCCGACGCAGCGCCTCCCTAACCACTCATCGCGTCTCGGCCTTTGCCCTCGCCCTCGCACACACCCATCCCGGCATTACCACAAAACCCACTCTAACACGCGCCCACCCGCCTAAAAACAGAAATAAAGCAGACTCCCCACGCCCGTCATGCCGACCCCAAACCACCACCACCGATCCGCATCAATATGCTGCGGCTTCTGCGCGAGGCGGCGCTTCAGCGGCGCCAGCGCCTCCTCGGCACTGCGCTTGAGCTTGGCCGCGCCCGTGGCTTTGGCTGTCGGGTTCAGCGTCGTCGTGGGCAGCATCTGCGCGGGCGAGAAGGCGAGGTAGAGCGGGATGAGGGGCGCGCCGTCGGCTTTGTGGAGGTCGAGGCGGGGGAGGTCGTGGAAGGCGTCGGGGGCGATGGTGTAGCTCTGGAAAAGGACGTTAGTTCGTTGTTGGGTGGTGGGTTGGACGTGTGTGTACCTTGAAGGTCTCGTTCTTGCTGTAGCGCGTGTAGACGCCGGCGTCGAACTTGCACGGGTCCGAGAGCAGCTGGCGCCCGTCGTCGGCGATGGGCGAGAGCTTCAGCTCGCCCGCGGCCGTCTTCTCAAACGTCCCGTGCTGCCATTGTATCAAGCCCTTTGGGCAGGCCGGGTCCACGGCTGCGCGGCTGCGGCGTTAGCAGGCTAGCTATGTATGTAGGTAGGTAGGTGGCTGGCTGGCGGGAGGGCACGCACGGTTCGCGAGCGCGCGGTAGTGCGCCTCTTCGTAGTGGCCGTCGGAGGTGAAGGAGTACGAGATTCCCGGCAGGGCGGGCTCGATGATCTTGTCGTTGACGGGATCGTAGAAGCCCTGCACTGACGCCCGTTAGCCGTGCCCCCGCTATCTTTTTTATTCAACCAATGGATGACGCGCAATCGCCACGCACCGGACCCGTCAGCGTCTTGTTCGACTTGGAGGACCAGGTGCCGTATAATTGGGCGTCGGCGATGCCTTGGGCGGTGGCGAGTGTCGCGGTGGCGGCGAGCAGCGCTGCGACGAGCATGCTGGACGTGGTCGCGGCGGGCAACGAATGACTCGGGTAGCTGTGGAGCAAGCGTCGTGGTGGACCGTGGACCGTGGCCGTGCAAAAGAGCGAAGAAGTGTGGAGTTGGGACCGATCACCAACCAAGGGCTGGCTACACGGCAGGAAAGGGAGCGCGTCGGCACCACAGCAAGGGTAACTTGATCGCGGCTCTAAGCCACACAACAGCTGACTTTCACGGTGCTTCTTTTGTATTTCTCCTTCATCATTGGTTCACATTCGCTTTGATCGAGCACAAGCATCGATTCGTGCCACAATGGCTACCGTACAAGCGGCCAAAAAAGAGCTGCGCAAGCAGATCAAGCACTCTCTGTCGTCATTGGCGCCTGAGTCCGTCGCAAGCCAAAGTCCGAGCCTGTCCGAGCACGTGCTCTTGACCATGGAGCTGACATCCACTCGCAGCATCAAGCGCGGTCCGCACGCTTCTGGCTTTGCCAGAGTATCAGGCCGCGGGAAGAATCAGTGTCTACCTTTCAATGCCGTCTGGGGAAATCTCGACTGCCGCGGTTGTCCAAGATGCCTTAGACCAAGGCAAAAAGGTCTTCATTCCATACACCTATCAGAGATCTCAGCCTGAGCTTAGACCGAAGTCGATCATGGACATGGTGGAGCTGCATGGATCAAAAGACTACAAAGAGTTCCAGCCTGACAAATGGGGCATCCCCACGCCCAGCGCCGATTCAATCCCCACGCGAACGAACAGCTTTGGCGGGCTGGGCCGCTCTGAAGCAGACACAACCCCTCAGACTGCCTCGGAGAGCGGACTGGACCTGATTGTAGTGCCAGGCATGATGTTCGATGCGGGCCTCGGAAGGTTAGGCCACGGAAAGGGTTTCTACGATTATTTCTTGGATAGGTGCGCGCAGCAGAGTGAGCAAGTGAAAGAGGTCCGGATGCCGTTTCTGGGTATGTCCACACTCGTAACGTCACCGAAAGAAAAGTTGTTGCTGATAAAGTATTCATTTTAGTTGGTCTTGCCTTGAAGGAACAGCTTCTCTCCTCAGGTGAGACCGTACCGATGGACTCGACTGACTGGCGACTTGATGCTCTGATTACTGGCACTGGGGAGATCCTTCGATCCCGCAAGCCTGACCCCACCCATCGCTCTTAGCTTCTGCGATTCGAGGTTGCCCCGTCTCAAACTTCGACTGAATCCGTATACGCCCGTGATTGATGCCCACGCGGGACGTGAACATGCCATGCTTTTTCGTCTTTTTGGTTCATAGCTTGCAATTTAACCTTGGACGCTCTGGATGAGCGAGACATTGTCGCCCTTGAGGAGGATTTGGCCTGTATGGCGTCAGCGCCGTGCGGGCCTAGACTTTGATGCAGGTAGCTTACCGATATTCCGCCTCGACTCTTCCTTGTCTTTCGTGGCAAGCTTCACCTCAATGGCATCGTCGATCACGAGGTTCATGAACTCGTCGAAGCCCTAGATGTACGCGATTAGCGTTGACTGCGACGATGTGCTCTGGCGAAGCTCCCTACCCTGATCCTGCCCTCGATTCTGATGCCGAGCTGCTCGTACAGCCAGATCTGAACGGTGGAGCGCTGCTGCAGAAGCTTGAAGATGAAGTTGATAGGCGGCAGCAGCACCTTTCCACGGCCTCCTCCGCCACGACCAGCCATTGTGTAGGGGTGAGAGGAAGGGTGAACGGTCGAGAGGAGTTATGCGACGGCGATTCGAGCGGGAAACACGTAGGAAACGCGCGGGGTGGTCGTGTTGTGGGTGGTGTGGTGCTGGGGAGCTTTAGTTGGCCCTCGCCGAGACGAGGTTTGTTCGGGCGTCTTCCGCCTTGCGGCTCACGCCAAGCCCGACCCATTACGGAGGGCGGAGGGACAAGGCATGGGATTTTCTGAATGACAATGCGACTTCCCTCGAGCACCTGAAGGAACCACCCGCTGCGCACCGGTGCTTCTGCCTCTTCCTGTCTTTTTCTGACGGTCTCCCCAAGTCAGACCCGCCTCCGCCCGCGCTCTCTCCTATGCGACAAACGTAACGCATCATCAGCCCGCCCCACCTTCAGACCACGCCCACCTCTACACCTACCCCTCTGCGCGCTCCCAACCCGGCCCCCAGACCATGGCTGCCAACGGCGATGCGGCCCAGCAGGCCTTTGGACCTGTGCTTGCAGCGCTTGCTACGATGCAGAGCAATGTAGACCGCGCGCAGAAGGGACAAGCACACGAGTTCTTGGAGCAGTTCCAGAAGTCGGTCAGTGGACTTGGGCTCGCGCCCCGCTCACCCTCGGACGGCAGGCTAACATGATGCTCTCTTCAGGCCGAGGCATGGAATACAAACTTCTCCATATTGCAGGCCGCCGATGCCGCCGTGGAAGCAAAGCTGTTCGCCGCGACCACGCTCAAGGGCAAAGTACGTCGCCCGCCGCTTTGCCTTGGGCTCTGCTGACCTTTTTCAGATCGTATATGACCTGCACCAGCTGCCCCGCGAAGCTTTGCCGCCTCTTAGGGATACCCTGCTCGGCGTGCTCGCTGCCTTCCGAGCCGGCCCCAAGCCCATACGGATGCAGCTGTGCGTTTGCCTTGCGAACCTGGCCATACAGATGACCGAGTGGAAGGACGTTCTGCAGGTCATTGTCGCAACGCTCGGAAACGACCCGGAGAGCATCCCGTGCGTCCTGGACTTCCTGCGCGTTCTTCCGGAAGAAGTCACGGAAGGACGCAAGATCAATCTTACAGTACGTTCGGCCGATATGACAACACCTCGCGAGCGCATACCAGCGACATCTCGAGCCGCTATCAGAATCTAATCTAATGCGATGCACAACAGGAAGATGAGTTGATTGAGAGGACAAAGGAACTGCTGGAGGACAATGCGCAACAAGTTCTTGCATTGCTGGGCCAGTACTCCAGATCTTCCGGTAGGTTTTGCGTTGAGCCTGCTTGGCGAACACAACTGACCCCATTGACAGAATCTGCCGCGAAAAACCCTCAGCTCATGGACTGCATCAACGCCTGGACGCGTGAGGTGCCTCTCAATGATATAGTCAACTCGCCACTTCTGGACACGATCCTCAATGGACTTTCCGCCGATGAGTCTTTTGAATCAGCGGTGGAATGCATTTGCGCAGTCATCAGAGAAACGAGGGACGTGGATGAGACGATCAACGTCATCCAGACGCTTTACCCCAGGATTATCGCATTGCGCCCGAAGATCGAGCAATCCGCCGAGGAGGAAGACACCGAAGTCTTCAAGGGCATTTCCAGGGTATTTGCCGAGGCCGGAGAGGCTTGGGTTGTGCTCATCTCCAGAATGCCCGAGCAATTCCGGGATTTGGTGGAATCAGTCCTCGAGAGCGCTGCGCGCGACAAGGAACGGGATGCCATTTCGTTCACCTTCAACTTCTGGTACGAGCTTAAGCAGTACCTTACTTTGGATAGGTACATGCAGGCCCGCCTGCAGTACGTGGATGTCTATTCGAAGCTTGTGGACATCATGATCGGCCACCTTGAATACCCTAAGCCGGAATCCGGGGACGAGAAGGATCTATTCGAGGGCGATCGCGAACAGGAGGAGAAGTTCCGTGAGTTCAGGCATCAAATGGGCGATGTCTTGAAAGACTGTTGCGAGGTGATTGGTGTCACGGAATGCCTGCAAAAGTCGTACAATCTCATCGAGCAATGGGTCAGTACTTACGGACCTCAGGCATCAGCTAACAACGTTCCCGAATGGCAAAAGTTGGAGGCGCCTTTGTTCAGTATGAGGGCAATGGGACGAATGGTGTCACCGGAAGAGAACATCATGCTGCCCCGCCTGATGCCATTGATCGTCAAGATCCCCGACCAAGAGAAGGTCCGTTTCCAGGCCGTCATGGCACTTGGTCGCTACACTCCTTGGACGGCGGAACACCCGGAGACGCTGCAACCGCAGCTGGACTACATCATGGCAGCTTTCAACCACTCGTCGAGGGAGGTTGTTCGCGCTGCTGCTTTGTCATTCAAGTTCTTCTGCAACGACTGCGCCAACCTGCTCAAGGATTATATCCCTCAACTTCAACAGTTCTACGCCAGTGTTCTGGATCGCCTACCGCCCAGCAGTCAAGAAGAGATTACTGACGGTGTCGCATCTGTGCTATCGGTACAACCTGCTGAGAACGCTTATGAACATCTCAAGCTTTACTGCACCCCTGTCATGAATACCCTCATGCAGATGGCGCAGAACGCCACTGATGACCCGGCGAAGCTCGCATTAGCAGGTATGGTTTCTTAGGATTCGAGAATGGGAGAATGAATTCATTGACCGTGAACAGACAAACTTCAGCTCATCACCATTTTTATCCAATGGGTTCAACCTTACGTTGGTCCTGGGCAACCCCATCCCGCAGTCAAGTACTGTGAAGAGGTGTTCCCAGTCCTGGCGGCGATTGCTGAGAGCTTCCACGATTGCACTCCGATTCTTGAGCGCGTCTGTCGCTGCTGGCGATACATGGTGCTCTCGTACCGCACTGCTATGGCGCCTTTACTGCCTCAGCTTGCGGACAAGCTTGCTGCTGGCTTCACCGTGTCCAGGCAAGGTTGTTTCCTGTGGGCCACCGACGCCATTGTCAGAGAATTCGCACCTGGAGTTGAAGGTGTCGATGCTCAGATGACGACCGCAGTCTACAGTTTTTACGAGGCACAGGCCACGGCTTTCCTTAGGGCTCTTAGCGAGCTGTCTCCAGAGCAGCTTCCCGACGGTCAGTACCCCCCTAACGCTTACTTGCGCAAATGCTCATGTTCCCAGTGATCGAGGATTTCTTCCGTTTGTCCCTTGATATTCTCATGTTCTACCCTCACCAAGCGATTCTCTCGCCGCTGATGACACCTATTCTTTCTGCGGCCACCACCGCCCTTACCCTTCTCAAGGAAGAGCCCCTCATCGCGTCCCTCCACTTCCTTCGGGACTTCCTCTCTTACGGCGGCGAATCGTCACCCACCTCCGAGTATGATAACCCCAACGCGACCAACCCCCCGGAAATCCAAGCTGCTGTCAAGCAGTTGATCATTGCGCGCGGCGAGGAGCTCACTCAGCGCATCATGACCGGCATGATGTACACGTTCCCCCGCGACTGCTTCCCGGACGCATCTGGCGTGCTGCTCGAGATGTTTGCCCTCATGGCGCCGCAAGTAGCGATGTGGATCAAGACGACGGTTGGCATGCTCCCAGCCGGTAGCATCAGCCCGCAGGAGGCAGAGCGGCTCCTCAACAACATCAACCAGTATGGCGCCACCTACGCGCGAGCCGTCTACACCTTTGGTACGACTGCTAACCACCTGCATAGGCGCATCGCGAGCAACGAGATCCGCAAGATTAGGACCCTGCTGCAGGACTTTACCAACTCGTACCGGCGGCGCAACGTGGCCCCGCGCGAGGGCCTGGGCCGCCTCGAGGCGTCGCGGTTCCGCTTCAATGGCTGAGGCGGCGTCGGAGATGGCCGGCCAGCGGCGGCGGTGGGTTGAGAAAAGTGATGACGCCAGCCAGCCCAGCCAGCCAGCTAGCCAGGCAGCCAGGCAGATAGGTCAGACAGTCAGTAGTAGTAGTAGCGATTAGCAGCCGCAGCTTGCATGCATGGAAACGGAGTAGTGTTGGTGTTGGGGGTAGGGGTTCAAGGTGTCGATTGGACGGACGGGATGGCGAGGTAGGGAGGGACTTAGAAAGGTGGGAGTAGTCTATCATGGAGCTGCCTTTTTCTGCGCGCGCCGGGAGGGATGGGAGGGGAGGGAAGGGGAAGGAATGTAGTGTGTTTGCGATGCTATCATCTAGTTATTTTATCGGCTCTAGGGGCCAGGCGTGAGGGAAATATCAAAGACGGGAGGGATTGGTGATGGATTAGGTGGGGCGGGAACATGGGGTGATGGGGGGTGGGATCGAACGAACGAAGACTTATAGGCCTCCATCTTTTCCATTGTCATCATCACACACACGCATACTGCATACTGCAAGCAACACTGCAACAACTCTCTGCACACACACACTCACTCACACACACACACTCTCTCTCTCTGGCCCTTCCGACTTCTGGCTTCATGACCTGCCTACCTACTTCTTCGAGAGCTGGGTCTTCTCGCAAACTCGGAGTCGTATCACTTCACTTCACTTCGTTTCTTCATCGCTTCATTACCTACCTACCTGCTACATCAGCTTCATCATCGTCATCATCATCATCAAAGACTACATGGACATGGACATGGACAAAAATCTGATTTTTCTTTATTTTATTTTTATTTCTTTTTGCTAGGGGGTTCTGCTCGGGTTGGGTTGGGTGGGGTTAGGTTTGTGAGTGGGATGGGGATGAGGATGGCGCAATTGGAGAGGCTGAGTAAAAGTGCTTGTTTGCTTGGTGGTTGGTTGGTTGGGCGGGCGTGAGGTCGTGGGGTCGTGGGGTGGGGTTGTAGCTGGGACTGCGTCTGGTGAAGGGAGCGGTGGTCGTTTGGGTATGGCAAGAGCTTGGGAGAGGATGTGGTAGGGCAGGGCAGGGTGTGGTGTAGCATAGAGCGGATGAGTTGGTAGTATTTGAGAATTGGCGAGTAGGTTTGTAGGCAGATAGATAGATAGGTAGGTAGGTAGAGCAGCAGCAGTGGCATGCATCTACACACACATACACACAAGTACACACGCCTTAGGTAGGTATCACCAGCAAAAGACCCATCCCTAGGTCTCGCCCTAGATACCTAGCTAGCTAGCCGGCCATCCATCCGTCCGCCCGTCCGTCCGCCTGACATGGATGTCCGGACCCCGGCAAGCAACCCAACCCAACCCAACCAGGCACGCGGACACCTCCATAGGTACCTAGGTAGGTAGGTACGTCGGCCTCGGCCCCTCGGCCCCGACGACGCGGCACAGCACCGCGCCGCACCACGGCACCCACGCGCCCACGCACCCACGCTCACCCCTACTAGTCAGACACCACCTAGCCGCCCGTCAAGCACAGAGTCAGTCCGCCAGCGACCGAGTCAACACGCACACCACCCTACCACGTATGTACGTAAGTTACATACTGCATACATAACCAAGTCAGTCCGACCCCGATCGACGCGCGCGCCCCCGACTCGCGCCGTCGCTGCGCATAATTAATTTCCGCCGCGTTCGATGCTGCTGCTGCTGATGATGATGATGATGAGTGAACACGCGCTCGCGCCCGTGCCTGCGCCCCGGAGCTGTGGGTACGGTACTGTAGGTACGCACGGTACGGACGGCTCCCGCCGGCCGCCTGGCACGCGACCTCGTGGGTGGGTGGGTGATTTACATAGGGACCTAGGAGTAGGTTGGCGTTGCTGGCGCTGTCGCAATCGTCGTCGGAGGCGCCGATGCCGATGGATGCGACATTACCTAGGTGTGACCGCGCGGAATGCGGGCTTGCTTGCTCGGTTCTGCGATTCTGCGCGTCTGCGAGCCTCACTCTGGCTTACCTGCCTGCATAGATACTGCATGTATGTGTGTATGTACGCACGCACGGTAATGGCAATGGCAATGGCATCGTGCTCGTCTCAATGGATGTCTCATGCAACGTTGACGTTGACGTTGCTGGGGTCTAGGGGCTGGGGTGCAGCAATGGCGGCGGCAGCAGAAACTGCAGCAATGGCAACAGCAGCAGCAGCACGGCAATGTCCGCACCGCCGTAATGTAGTTACCAGGCACATGCACGTTCGGCGTCGGAAGGGTCTCCGTACACGTGCGTGCGTGCGTCGCGTGTGGGGTTCGCGGTGGGTCGCTGCGAGCCTGCGGCGGTAGCTAGGTAGGGCTTGCGGCTTCCCTCTCTCCGCGCAACGCGTGCCTTGTTTTTCGAGGGCTTGGCTTGGGGCTTTTTGGGGGAGGCTGGAGTGGTGGTGGGTGGGGCCGGATGGCTTGGGTGCTTGGTTGTATTGGTTGTATTGGTTGGTTGATGGATTGATTGATGGATTGCAGGGCGAGGGATGCGTACGTAGATGGGGCATTGGGGAGGAGTGAGGCGTGGATGGGAGAGCGGCATGGGGGATTGACTACTACGTGTTGCTGGCATTGATGGGCTTGGGGATGGGGTGTCAATGGAAGGGTGAGGAGAGGTAATAAGCCAGGCCGGCGATGGAGGTGTCGTCGACGTGCTGCTGTGATGGTCCGACGTGGCGCGCAGCCTCCAATGCCCGTACGTACATGGTCGTCGGCAATGCCGTGGTCGTCTTTCCCTCTGGGGCAGGAGGCGCCGGATTCGAGCGTTTTCCGTTTTCCGTTTCCTCTGCCGCGGGCGCGCGGCGTTGGCTCGATTTGGCTGATGTTGCGGGCTGGCTGGCTGGCTGGCCGTCGTGTCTGCTGCCACTTTTGCTTGAATTTGCTGACCTACGCCCTGCCATTATGCCATGCCATCTCCGATGATCGATGTAATGGATGAATGCTCTCCGTCCGGAGTCCGCGGGGCGGCCACCACACCCACCCACTTCTCTTTCATGCGCCCCAATCTCCCCACCTACGCCGCATTAATCTCTCCTTTGTCCCCTTGCCCTCCTCTTCCACCATCGCCACCAAGCACACAACCACAACCACAACCACAACCACAACCGCAACCTTCGTACGCCGTGCCTGTCGCCATCGCCATCGCCCTTACCGTCGCCTCCACCGGACACACGACGCAGCACCCATCACCGCCCTCATCTCGGCTAAGCAGGTACACGCGCGCAGTTCGTGCGCCCAGCGCAAGAAAAAAACTCAAAAAAGGCCGCGCTTACGTGCCTATGGACGTGAGTGTGTGTGTGGGTGCGGAGCGATGCTTGGACGGGCGAGGACGCGGTGACACGCGGCGCGGGCGTCCGTTCTGTCTCGGTGGGTGAGGCCGCAGCACGCGGTGCGACACTGGCCACGCCTCGTGTGCGTGCCGATGTGTTTGGTGTCGCAAACTGGTTGGGGGCGTGCTACCGCTGCTAGTTACATGACTAGGTGGTGAGTCGAGAGAGGATTCATGATGGCTCGTATTCGTAGGTACAGGCGGAGAGGAGCAAAAGGCAAAATGGACAGGGTTACGCAAGGCGGGTAAGGTTATTTTAAGCAGCACATGGCATCTACATACGTCCGTAGGATTGGGTGACGTCGCCGAGAAACGACCTTAAATGAATATGTCTATATTGAAGCACTGGCAGAAAGATGACCCTCTACGAGGCGGGCCGAAACATCAGGTCAGGCCATGGATTGGGCACGATCGGCAGACCGCACACACACAAGTCGATCGGCCAGGGACTCACGGGCCAGGGCCGCGGAATTCTGGGCCAAGCTTTTTTTCGCAACAGAATTGGCCGGGTTGCGGGTAGATCCTGAGGCACGCATCCTGACGACAACTCCCTTTGCTTGTGCTTTGCTTTGCTAGGACGGGCGGCCGGAGGGCTCGGTCGGTCATCTAATTAATCTTGCGTCTTTTTCGACCAAGGCAGCCGTAGAGGGATTGACGCCAAGGCTCTCGATCAATATAGAGAGATGAGTAGCGAGTCGTGTACAGCGGCGCGAGGAGCTGATGATGGCGAGCGCCATCAGCAGATATCGCCGGTGGCTGTCGCCCTAGCGTTATGGCTGCTTATCACAACCGCAAACGGCTCTCTCTACCTTCTTCTTCGCTCTTCTTCTCTCGAAGCTGTGAGAGTCCTCCTCCTTCTTCCCCTTCCCCCAACCCCTCCCCCCCAGTCAGCAACACTCCCCCCAGCCAATGCCATCCTTGAAACATCCGCCTATCTCGTGTGCCGCCGTCGATCCCCTTCGATTCGATGCCTGCGTACTACTATTTTAAGCATCTGCTGTCCTTTCGTCCGTCATTGCTATTACTCCTCTGCCTCCCCTTGGCAAATTGGCACCGGCACACCCAACCTACGATCAGTTCAGCGTCCCCGCAATAACTGGGCTTGGCTCTGCTTTTTTACCCCACTGGGGCTGCGGCTCCGAGCACCCCTTCATTTGGGGCCCTCTCTGGTCCCGCCGACTGACAGCGGGCGGCTTCGTCCCGGTCCGACTCTTCTATAGTGGGATTCCTTATAGCTACCGAGCCCTGTATAGCTGGACCACTTGCCCGATACCATCCTCCTCGGTCACGCCTCGCTTGGACAGCCTTTGTATCCCGGACCTTGAACCAGATCGACTGCGGATCCCGACTCGGTCCGCTCCCCCTCCAAAAGACAACCTTTTCTGCCGCCGGTTCGGCCACTCGAAAAAATCCAATAGGAGAAACGTCCTTGCACCCTCCAATGGCTTCTGACAACGAGGCGGCCGCCGCGCCGCCGCCGCCGCAGCAGCAGCAACAGCAGAGCGAGCCTGCGGGCGCGGGTGAGTCGACCAGCAAGACGAAGCCGTCGACCGAGCAAACACCTGACAAGAAAGCCCGCAAGCGAACAAAGACGGGCTGTTTGACGTGCCGGAAGCGACGGATCAAATGCGGCGAAGAGAGGCCCATTTGCAACAACTGCATCAAATCGAAGCGCCACTGCGAAGGCTACAACCAACGTGTCATCTTCAAACCACCCATCGGCGACTGGCCCGCCGCTCAGGGGAACATCTCCAACACCCTCCCGTACCATTCCGGCGTCATACCGGGCGCGCGACCGGTGTACCAACAGCAATTCCCGCCGGCGGCTTCCACCAAGACCCCATATACGCCCGCTCGAGCTGGCCCGAGTGGGCAGTACCATTTCCCACTCCCAAACTACGGGCAGTTGAACCCGGGCCCGAGTCCGAGTGCGAATCCCATAGGAGCCGCGAATCCCATAGGAGCCGCGACTCCCCAGAGCGGGGGTTACACCCAGCCTAGCCCGCCTCGATACACCCTCCAACCATCCCACCTTGGAAGCCAACCGGAACAATCCCACAATGTCCGTACATATTCGGTCACTTCTTTGCCGACCGACTTTGGCTCTCAAATGTCCTTTTCGCCAAGCACGAGCTCGGAGTTCCAACAGACGCAGTCCACACAACTGCATTACCATCCCACGACAGGCGCCCCGACGGCGCAGTCGCGCTATTCTCAGCCTACGCCGCCACAGGACTACTCGCAGGGTCAGCCACCATACCAGCAGGGCTCGTCGTTTCAGGGGGCCCCATTCACGCCTCAACAAGGACCCACTTATTCTTTCGGAGCTTCGGGAGCGGTGAATTGGGATCGCGAGGTGCTGCATCAGGCAGACCAAGACGTTTTGTTATGGCACAAGATTGCAAACGGGCTGGCGAGCGATCAGGAAACACAACAGTATTACCCAAGGATACCAGCCCAGCAGGACCATGGGAGCGCGGCTCCCGAGACGTCGAGCGTGGCGACTCATCCGATAATGGGCAAGTCTTTCTTCCTACCCCATCACTCGTATTTTTGATTGATGGTCTGTTTTGATTGAACCAGACCGACGCCTGCAAAAGACACAGACAACCACAAGTGGATGATACTGACGGCAGTGTGCGCGTGGCAGAGCAAGCACAACCGGCGTCGCAGCTTCAGCAGGAGGTTCCGTTTGACGGATTGCTGCAACGAACTGGGTACGCTGAAGACCACGTCAGCCCGACCGAAGTCCTGCAGGACGCGGCTGTCGAGTACGAGGACGACGACTACTGGGACGTGCATTCGGAGGACGAGATGGAGCTGGTGCCGGAGCAGACGATTGCGCAGGGCCAGAACCATGAGCTGGACCTGATGCTGCAGATGCACTGCGACAGCATCAACGACGTCAGCATACGGAGCTACGGCGCGTTCCTGCACCCGGGCACGCTCGACAACTACCGGCCCGAGCAGGTGGCCAACCCGCTGCGCAACCCGAAGACGGCCAGAGTGTTTGCCCACTTTATCCACGCGACGGGGCCCAGCCTGTCGATCTACGAGCGCAACCTGCGCAACGCGTCGGCCATGTTCTTCGAGGGCCCGGCGGCGCACCCGACGCAGCAGAGCCTGTGGACGTACACGCTGCCGATGATGGCGCTGAACCACCAAGGGCTGCTGCACGCCATGTTGGCGCTGGCCAGCCTGCACATTGCCAACCTGCAGGGCGCATCCATCACGCCCTCCATCAAGCACTACGCCTACGCGCTCAAGCGCGTGCACCACTGCGTCGGGCACCCGCAGAAGCGCCACCGCGTCACGACCCTGGCCGCCGCCCTGCTGCTCGGTTTCTACGAGGTCATGACCGCCGACCACGTCAAGTGGAGCAGCCACCTGCTGGGCGCGAAGCAGCTGTTTGTCGAGATTGACTACGCCGGTATGACCAAGGCGTGGCGCAGGCGCAAGGCCGAGGAGGAGGCGTACGAGCGCAATTTTGCGTATGCGAATCCGGGCGTGACGATGCAGCAGCCGAGAATGCACAAGGAGGGGGCGAACAGAGGCCCGGACGAGCGGCTCGTCAGCACCATCATTGGCAAGGAGCTGCGGTACGATGAGTTTGGCCAAGTGGAGGATGAGGGCGGACAGCAGGGCGCCGGCGCAAAGGTCCTGCCGGATCTCGACCACTACGAGATTTACCAGGACTTGTGGTGGTGGTACGTCCGGCACGATGCGTTCCAGGCGCTGATTAGCGGGAACAGATTGCTGTAAGCACACGCTCCCCACGCCCCTCCGTCGTTCTTAAGAATACTAACACTAGCGCAGCATGGACTACACCAAATGGGCGGACTGTCCGCCCCGCGCCCCCCTCGGCAAACAGGGCGCCCTGTACGGCTCGCACGACCATCTGATCCTGTTCCTAGGCCGGGTCGCGGACTTTGCGTCCAAGGACCGCGATCGCAAGATCCGGCAGATCGAGGCAAACGGCGGGCAGTGGCGGCCAGCTCCAGGGATGCAGATGGGAGGAGGGGGAGGGAAAGCGGGCGGAGGCGCGCCTCCTGGGCCTCCCGGTGGTGGAGGAGGGCCGCCTCCCCAAGCCCCCGCTCCACCCCCCACCATCCCCTTCTACGGCATGGCGCCCAGCGCGCCCCAAACCAGCATGCCAACCGCCTTCGCCTCAACAACGCCAGCCACGCCCACCACCAGCACCAGCACCAACAACCCCAACCCCCACACCGACCTACAAGCCGCGACCCTCGCCGCCCTCGCCGAATGGGCCTCCATCTCACACGCCCTCGACACATACATATCACACCTGGGCCCGTCCTTCCAGCCCTTACCGGCCGACCTCGCGCCGCCCCTCCCGCCCACCCCCTTCGGCCCCGCCCTGCACTACCGCAGCTTCGACGTCGCCGTCCTCTGGGCCCTCGCCCTCATGTGCCGCATCATCCTCGCGCGCTGCCACCCGCACATGCCGCCGGCGGCAATGGTGGCGGCCGGGGTCGCGGCGCCGCAGACGGCCGCGTGGGCGGGCGGCGTGGGCAGGATTTGTGCCGGCGTTATTGATGGGCTGCTCGGCAATCTTAACAACACCACCACCAATACAAACACCAACCCTAACCCTGGCACCAACAGCGGGGCAGGCTCCGGGCTCCACGCCCCGCTCAACCCCTCCGTCGGCGCAGCCCTCCTCGAGACGGTGATGCCCCTCTTCTTCGCAGGCATACAGTACACGGACCTGGCGCAGCGGACCTGGCTGGTGCAGCGCGTCGAGGCCATCGAGGCGCGCACGGGGTGGGTCAGCGCGGGCTTAGTGGCGCAGGGGTGCCAGAAGGCGTGGGAGCGGGCGGGGATGGCGGGGCGGGGGCCGGTGTGGCCGCCTCCTAGCTCTACCTCTACCAACACCAACACCAACACCAATACCGGCTCTATCAACACTGGTGCTAGCGCGGGCGTTGCCGGCGGCGGAGGTGTTGGTGGAAACGGTGCTGAAGACCACGGCATCCGCCGCGGCGAGCGCGCCAGTCTCGCGCAGGGCCGCGGCGAGCTCACCCAGCGCCGCTTCATCTGGTCGAATCCCGCGACGCGCGTGCATTGGGCTTTGGGCATCTTGAGCGGCGAGGAGGATGTTATGCCTTTGGGTGAGGGGGGCGGGGGAGAGGGTTGATGGGAGGAGGCGAGGGTGAAGTGAAGTCAAGTGCAGCTGGCCTGCTACCTAAGGTTGTTTTTATTTTTAGGTTCGGTTCTAAGGAAGGAAGGAGGGGAAGAAGGAAGGAAGGAAGGAAGGGTGATGTGATGTGATGTGATGTGATAGGATAGGATACCGGGAGTGCTTCATGTATGTGAGTGGATGAGATAGATGTTGAATCCAATCGAATCGAATGCGTTAGACAAAGGGCGAGCAAGACGACAGACCGAGCGGCAGAGTTGCGAATGGCTCCGTCTCTACGCGTGCATCATCTGCTTCCCCTCAATCAAGCAGCAACCAAACATAGGTACTCGCCGAAGAAAAAACAACACACCCTCTCCCCCGCCTCCGCATCCTCTGAATCAAAAATGTTTCGTCTATTCGCTCTCATACAACATAACGTCAACATGACCAAGCCCACCCAAACACCAAGCCCCAGCACTGCCCACCATTTCAATCCATTCCGTTTCATTTCCCCCTCTCACCCCCCATCCCACACCACACCACACGCAACCCACCCCAAACCACCGCCCACTCAACCCAAACCTAAACCTAAACCTCCTCCTCCCCCCCAACAGCCTCATAAGCGCCGCCACCCCCACCCCCACCACCAGGCACGCGCCGCATCCTTGGCGGCGGCTCATAGCACCTAACCCAGTTAACGCGCTCGCCGCCCAGACTCGCCTCGCCGTTCTCCCTTCCTCCAAACACCGGATTCGCATCGCACCAAAAGTCGCGGCAGTTCTGCACGCAGCCGCGCGTATACGGGTTCTCGCGGCGGGCGGCCATGACGGCGCCGGCGTTGGAGCCGTGCAGCGCCGTCGCGATGAACGTGTCCAGCCCCAGCAGGCGCTTCCACTGCTCCCAGCAGCCGGCCTGGTGCGGGTGGTGGCGGCGCGCGTGCGCTCCACCGCCGCTGCCGCCGCTGCTGCCGTTCATGCCGTTGCTGCCCGCTGCGCCCGGTTGCCCTGTTGGTCCCGCGCCTGCGGAGTCGAGTTGCCCGCCCGCTGCGCTCGTGCTGCCCGTTGTTACGAACGAGGTTAGTGCGTCCGGCCCTGCGGCTCCGTGGTGCAGGTTGCTGCGCATGGCTTCAAAGGTGGTTTGCGCGCGCGCGATCTGCAGGAGCTGGACCACGAGGAGCATCGTCACCCACACGAGCTGGAGACACGACCAACCCGCCAGGATGATGGTGAAGGGGTCTTTGTGCAGCGTTTTGCAGATTTCGGGGGAGAGGATGCTGCATTCAACCTCGCCTGTTGGGGCCGGCACAATCTCCAGGTACGACAGCACCAGCCGCACAAGCGTCAAGATGCCCAGCTCCAAGAAGAGAATGTAGAGCACAAAATGCCGGTGGTTGTTGTTGGCCACGCAGTTGTCCACCCAGGGACAGTGATGGTCTTCTTTTGCCACGCAACGGTTGCAGCGCTTGCAGTGTTTGCTGCGTACGGGTCGACGGACCATGCAGTTGACACAGAAGTTCTGCTCGTCAAACTTGCGCAGCTCAATGAGCTCGTCGATAACGTCTTTTTGCTGGGAACGAGACGAAGCCTTCGGTACGTAGCCAGGATCAGCAAGCATGGCCGTGAAATAAAAGTATCCTGTAAGACCGTAGAAAATCATAAACAGAATGTTCCACAAAGGGTTCGTCGTGAATGTCCCTAACAACGTCAGTCTTTCCCCGAGCAAAAGGAATGATCGACAAACATGGAAGGATCTGCGTGATGTAGCGGAAGCCGACCCAGAAGAGGGTGCCGGCAAAGACTCCGGCGAGAAAAGGCTGGAACAATCTTAGTTTCACGGCATTAGCTGTGGGTCCGTCTTCCTTACTGTCTTGTGCACGTGTTTCATGTCGCTGGGAGCCCATCTCAGCAATTGCTGAGCCACCCATTGCAGCACGTATGCCGTAGCCAGTGCAAGCGGAATAGCCACGTAGATGACCATGTGACTGAGAATGTAAAAGCCGCAAATGAGCATAAACGCAGGCCAAATAAAAAAGAACCGGTTCAGGAACGTCCTCCTATCCTTGACGATGCTCTGCAGCGGAAAGTTCTTTGGTGTGGCGTCCGGATTGTATCCCGTATCCGCGAGAGCCTTCTGCCACTGCCGTGACGAGTTCATGTCCTGCGCCGTGATAGCCGGGGTCTTGCCCTCAAAGTTCTCTGCGAACCGATCGGAGCCATACTCCAATAGCTTCTGTATGCAGCCCACGCTGCCTTTCACCAATGCCCAGTGTAGCGCCGTGAATCCCTGGTCATCCTTCGCATAGACGTTTGCGCCCCACCTCACCAAAACTTCCACGACGGCAGGGAAGCCCTTGTATGCCGCCCACATGAGGGCTGTATGGCCTTGCGCATCGGCAATGTCCACCGGGAGGTCTTGGTGCAGGAGTAGGACGAGCTGGAAGACGTTGCCATCGAGGGTGGCGCTGTGGAGGAGGTTGAAGCCTTGGTCATCGGTGAGAAGCGGATTCGCGCCCTTGGAGAGGAGAAGAGCGACGATGTAGTAGTTGCAGCGCTTTGCGGCCCACAGGACGGGAGTCGCGACGGCATCGCCGCCCCGTGCGTTGACGTCGGCGCCGGAGGTGATGAGGAAATGGCAGAGAGCGTAATGGTTGTTTATGGCGGCCCACTGTAGCGTACACGATCAGCCCAAGGATCCGAGATCATGAGCGGTCTCCTCGCTCTTACATGTAAAGGCGTAATGCCCTGTTCGTCGCGGAAAGTCGCATCGTACTTGCCGGTGTCGAACAGCTTCTGGATGGCGCCAATCTCGCCCAGGCGCGCCAGCTGCATGATGTCCTCCTCGATCGGGAGGGTGGGCGGCGGCGACTGGACGGGCATGTCTTTCAACTCATGCTGGTCCTCGGTGGCATGCGCAGCGTTGAGGTCGGCGCCGGACGCCGAGGGCGTGGACAGGGACATGGCGGCGGAGTATCTACAGGAAATCGAGGAGAGAAAACGCCTATATCATTACCGGCATAACATCGTGAGCGGGAAGGAGGAAGCGTGGTTGAGGGATTCGCAGAAGCGCAATTGTTCCACCGTTCACCGCGCAGGCATCAAGGGCGGAATCAGCCACGCACGGCCACACAGCCAGTCAGGGCCGCCAAGCTTTTCCTAGCTAGCCGGCTACCCGTTTCTATTTCAGTCCATTACGCGCGGCAAGTGGATTCGGATGCCTGAATGCCTGCGTATCATCATCATTGATGCATCCCGCTCTGCTGCAATACTCGAATGCCTCTTGGGAAAAAA